TTATGCATAAGTTTGAACGACGTTGAACCACAAGTTTATATTTTCGCTTAATTAATCATAATATTTTCTTAAACCAGGTAACAGGTGACGTTGTATAATTAAATTATTTATATTATTGAGGTAGCACCTATACGGACACATTCGGATATGTCAAAAACGTTGAACGTTGGATGCTTCAGCACTCGATGCACCCGGAATAAATTGACATCTCTAGAATGCCAATCTATTCTGTTTGAACTTACACCACAATAGATTGCTTGACACCTATAGAATGTCAAGCATGACTCATTAACGAAGTATTTGCACTGATTTTAATTATGTAATGATCAAAGGGTCAATCGAACTATTTGAGTAGTAATTATTATTATATCTCTAATCATCATTATCGATTATTTCGATTATAATGATTCCATATCAGTTATTCGATTATTATATGGAGTCTAATAATAATTGTTCTCTAATTAACTAAACTATAAAAGTGGAAGGACGCCATGCCTCAACAGCAAACTTGTTTTTATTTCGATATATTTGATTTTAGAAGCGGACAAAATCGACACTGTAACATAAAGCTGAATGACGATAAGTGAAATAAATTTTAATAATATCAACGAAATATTGACGCTTTTGTGCAAAAAGAGATATTTATTGCGTTAACAGTTTCAAGGATAATTATGAAAACTAAGCAAAATATAAGCCATTTTGCATATAATAATATATCTACATTGGTTTACATCATGCGACAACACCGCGACTGATGATCACGATCATGTCCACGTGTTGTGTCGCTCTTCTCTGTATTGTTATGATCTTTTTGTACGATTCCCCACCAATGCTATATTTTAATTCACGTATGACGTAAGACCGCTATCGGTATTTGTTCTCTTCAACCCACCCGGTGATGTCACCTTGTAAAGTCATCGTATCACCGAACAGGTTTTGCAGCGTTTTTAATAATACGAAAGCGACGTTTCTATTTTTTATTTATTCTTTCGATGACAGCAAATAAATGTATTTATATGAATTTTTAAGAATTTATACATGCGGATCATTTTTATTAAAATAATGTAATAACAATATCAGTACCAAATAGATGCTTAAATCTTTTCTGTATACATAATAACATGGCGGATATTAAAAGTACTTACGACTCATTATAGCTAGTTACTTATATTTGTTTTGCCATTAGTGAATGATTTAGCACGTTTTGATCAAATAGTGTTACATAAATTTGATCATCGCCTCGTATTTAAATGCCTACTGCGCAAATTTGCTCCAAAGCAATTGGATTATCGGTTGAAGGTTCGATGAATAATGTCCAATCGCGCATTGAAATGACAGAAACTCATCCACCCACGTGCGTACAGCGCTCATTGTAAACATATTCCTTCCAAGAAGTCGCACAATTAATGTAATAATAAGAGTAGGCGGAAATGCATACTAATGCAGTTATTTTACATTTAAAATGCATTTGATTGTGTAATTTTCCGAAGAATAAATCAATATTTTTGTGATAATATTAATCCGAACCGTTTGGATCACTTCAATTTGTTAGTAGAATAATTAAATATTTTTTTTTATATATATTTTCATTTACTTGTGAAAATAATAATGGAATCATTTTTATTGCTTTAGAAGTGTTTAGTGTTTACTGGTTAAATTTATAGTTTCTATCTACTTTCCGCCTGCCATCCGAACGGAATTTATCCTCACACCCTAGAACCAGAATGGCTACGCAGTGTGGTTTTAGGGGAACTCCCTCCTGCAAACACTCAGGTTGGGGAAAAAGGATTATCTATAATGGAGACTTAAGATTCTCATTGTTAGCAGTATACCCAACCAGATCGACTTCCTCGTGGTTCCCTCTGGAACCTATCATGGTTAATTCCTGATGAATTCATTATGATGGGCTGGCCAGTTAGTTTCCATTTTCACCCATAAAAAAAACCCTTTTATTATCAGATGGGCCGTATGCTTGTTTGCCACCATAGTAGTATAAAAAAATCTCTACATTTTCTATCTAAAGTTTGTTCAGATTCATTATATATTTCCCGTGAAAATTTTATCATTATCCCTTATTACCTTGCTTTCATCACTAGGTCCATTGCGGGACGGGAATGATCATATACTGTGTGAAATTAATTGAAGCTAGTTATACTAAAAAGGTCAACATTGCCTTTACATAGAAACTTCTATGTCACATGCTCATTTTCTACATTGCAATTTCCTCTTATAAGATTCTAGAGCAATAAAATATATTATGATAAACAAGTTCGTTGTAAGTCCGGCAAATAAATACGAATTTGTCTGTTAACTTAATATTTAAAAACTGATAATTTCCACCAATCACCCTAAAATTATAAAAATACGAAAGGCTCGACAGTAAGGCCACCTCGGCCGTCCTTGCCTTATATGGTAGGGTCTTCTCGACGGAAAGACTATAGGTACCTACCTCAAGTGTTGTTTACATGTATAAATAACGGCGGGCGACTCTAGAAGTATGTGAATTCGAAACAATAATCGACCGCTTCCTGTATTAACATGAATGTCATTTATTTTTTGTAGTAAACGTTTATGTGGAAGGAGTCTGTTGGTGGCAATTTGGATAAATTATAGTGACATTTTTAGAATACTGCAATAAATATCGCTTTTTACTGTTATTTTATTGTTTTGAATAACCAAAAGGTTTATTGTTCTTAAGGTGCAACCATATTTGGGTAATATCAAAAGAAACAAAGTTTATTATATAAGTAAATTATTTGTTAATGGCGTATGTACGACTTGTACAGAGAAAATATAATTAAAAACTTTAATAGGGTTTAGCCTTAAAACGCTTAAGTTAAAAGATAACATATGGTGTTTAACCCTAGATCACTAAGCTTCGTCGAATCGACGACGCGAATTCGAAACAGGTGCCGTAAATTTTGAGTGCGCGATCGCATCCATTGTAACTCTCGTGTAATCTTAGTTGTCCCGGTGCCCCCGCGATAGACGGTAGTGTTTTTTGTGTAAGAGATTTGTGAGCGCCGCACCAGCAACCATGACTCGTCGCATCGACGAAGGTTAGTAATAACGATATATTTTGTACTATTGTGTTTGTAATATTTTAAGTTTATTTTTTAGTTTTTACAACATAAAAGTAATGTGTAGTATTGTTCTATTTTAGATACGATTCTTCAACTATTATTAGAAGATAATAGTGACCAAGAAAATTCGTCACAGAGTGAGAAGGAAGACCACATCGAGGTTGATCCGGGTTATGTATCAGTGAGTGAGGATGAAATTTCGTCTTTGGACTTGGCATCAATTGAAGAACAGATACCAAGTACTTCGGCACAAGAACCTAACGAATTGATTATTATACCATCGCGTAACATACTTCGCGGAAAAGATAAGCACAAATGGTCATTGTTAAAGCCAAAGTCACAAGGCCGAACAGTCGCAAGAAACATTGTGCATATTAGACCAGGCCCCACTCGTATGTGTAAAAATGAATTAGATCCTTTACGTTGCTTTTCGTCTTTTATTACAGATGATATAGTAAATATAATTGTCACTTATACTTATACAAAAATTTTGCATCACAAGTTAGTCGAGCCACATATGCAAAAACGTATACTTGTGCCCACACTTCAAACTGGCCTGCGCGATTCGATTACACAAATTTTGAATATGCCAGGAAGTAGTAGATCGAGTTTGACACTTGAAACTAAAGCTACAGGTCATCCTATTGCAAAAAAAAAGAAAAATTTGTGCCGTATGCCCATCAGCAAAACGAAGGATGACGAAAACTAGTTGCTACAAGTGCAATAAATCAGTGTGTGGTGAACACAAACTTGATATGTGTCACAAATGTCTTAGTTCATAGTTTTTTACCAAAATTTTTACTTTTTTTGTTGATTCGATGTTTAAATTTTGATTATTTGACTTCTTTTTCAAAGTTTTTTTTCTAGTTTTTAAGAGATAAGCACTTAAAAAAAACAAATATCTTTATTTAGAGCGAAACATATGGTCTCAGTACAAAGGCTGATTATGTAATAAATATGTGATTTAATTAAATAAGAATGTTATATTTTTGTTAACAAATGATTGTAATAAACAAATATTGTAAAAGAAAAAAGTATTTTATTCAATAACATTTTATAAACCTACTTTTTTGACAGCGTAGTCGAAACGACGAAGGTTAGTAATAAGAGTTGAAAAATAAGTTTAGTGTTCTAGGGTTAAATAAAGCTATGATTTATAATGACATGGCAATTTCAAAGAGATAAATGTAAAAATATGGGAATGCAGAAGGACTATAGATCAATATCAGAACATTTAAGATTTTGCTTCTTAAATCCAATAAAGCAAATGTTAAGCAAAAAATATTGGAATGACACAATTTATGGATTTGTAACACCTACCAATATTATGTGAAAGTGAGAATATGTTTGTCATCTCTTGGCGCCTTGACAACTAAATTTGTCGTCATAAAATTTGGCTTACAATAGTGTTTGGAAAGGACTGTAGTATAGGATAAACTTGTTTGTATGTTGGACGCTTTTCTCTAATTTACCCCGCACTTGTAAAACATCACAAGAACAGGTTACATTTTATTTCGATCAATATATCTCGGTCGGGCAGTCGTGAACATAGCTAGTAAAACTTGGTCGATTTATCATCGTAATCAAAAATGTAAGGCCTAAACAAATAATTTTTTTACATGAATTCTGTACATAAGTAAACACTCGGCTAATGCAAATGCTGTGAAGACGGTGTAAGATGATATCCTTATATTATATTATAAATAAGAAAGATAGTTTGTTTGATTCCTTTCAGCGTCTTAACAGGTTAACCAGTCAAAATTAATAACTTGGTATTCAGATACTCTCTATATAGGATAGAGAAGGAAATAGACTACTTTTTTCAGGTCTGTGTAAATATTCCGGTCACGTAGACGAAATTGTGCGTAACAGCTAATAATTCAACAAATGGTCTAATCTTTTTTTTTTTGTCAACAGCGCGGTTTCCCATTTGATGAGGAGGAGGGGTCAGGAGCGTGGAGCGAGCTCGCGGCGCGGCATCCTGACATAGCGGCGCGGCTACGGCAACGGCCCGCCACTTGGGCCAGGAAGCGACGACCCTCCAGCCAGGACGCTACAGACGGTACGTGCAACGCAAACTGAATAACTGGATGTGGTAATCGGCGTTATACAATAGCACGCCACTATAGTGAACTATTTTATCATACGATACACGGAGACGCTTTTAATTTTCCTCTAAAATATTATGAACGTGCAACGAGATATTGTAACGCAATATTACTCTAATACTACTACTATATACTACTATAATACTATTAGTCACAATTTATACAAAATTAAAGAAACTTTAAATCTAGAATTAATAAGTAAAGTTAGATATAAAGTCGAAGAGATTTAAAAAGTTTATATGTTCATAAATAAACACAACATTATCCAAAAACTGAATCACTTTTCAAAGAAACGAATGATCTAACAATTTATCTCCGAAATTAGAATGGTTACAGGTTTTGTAACAAACAAACATTTCATTATTGCAGATTTCGGGGACAGCTTCGGTGGCTTCGACAGATTTCCATTTGACGATATCCCGCCAGAGTTCAGAGAACACTTCCCGTCACGTTGGAACCGCGGGTTCAGTTCACGTGACGAACCAGAACCACAGACACAAGCGTCGCCACAACCACCATCGCCGAGCCAACAAACTACAGCAACACAGACTGAACAGAATCCGGGGCCGTCCCAAAACGATCAGCAGTCATTTTTACCACAGTACGGTTTAAGAAACACAGTTGATCTCGGTCAAAAGAGTCCAGCCGATCCAAGCATAGTTGATGCTGAGGAGAGAAATCAGAGGTCTATGTCAGCGCCCCCAGACAATCGAACAGCCAACCACAATTTCTCTAACAAAATGAGTGAACAGAACCATCACGAACAACAGCATCCGACTCATTCGGAGCAACAGCAGCAGCAACAACAACCATCAAATGTACGGCATATTCCCATTTTTGTGGAGGGACGAGATGAACCAGTAATTAACAGATCTGTTGATCATGGTGAACCCAAACAAACATACGCCCCGCCACCGCCGCAACCTCATATAGACAGAGAACAGTATTTCGCAGACGAACCTGTCGGATTTCATGCACCTCCAAACTTTTCAAGAGCATTTGGTACGCCGTTCAATACTTTTAGGCAAGGTCCACAGCCATTTGCTCAGCAGAAAGTATATCCACAGACTGCGTTTGCACGTGGTGCTTCGCCTCAAAGATCTCAGTCTCCAAAACCTCAGATGTTTCCTGATGAACATTATGTACAAGTTCCAGTACGTCACGAATTTAGTAAGTCTGCTCCTCCGTCCCAACCTAAGCAGCAACAGCGAGCTCAACAACAGCCGCATCAGCAACCCCAACACCAGCAACAACAACAACCCCAACAGCAGCCGCAACAGCATCCACCAAAACAACAAACTCCACCACACCAGGAAATTCCTACACAGCAACAGCAGTCCCCACCTCAGCCCAAACCACAACAGCAAACAGCTAATGATCCAATTTCTCAAATCCTTAGTATTCAAACAGATGTCTTAAACCTAATGACTGACGTCGAAAACTTCACAGGTACTAAAAAAGACAAGCAGTACATTTATCTAGATGAGATGTTAACGAGGAATCTCATTAAATTAGATAATATTGAAACAGACGGTAAAGAAAACATTAGGCAAGCAAGAAAGGAGGCCATTAAATGTATTCAGAAATGTATAGCAGTATTAGAAGCTAAAGCTGAAAACAAAGGTGGAAGTACACCTCAACCCCAGGAAGTTCCTCAACCACAAAATGATGTTGAAATGAAGGAAAATGCTGAAAATGTTCAAAACACAAATAAGATTACAGAGAATGGTGAAGTAGAGATGAAAGATACCAAAGAGGAAATTAAAACTGATGAGCATCAGGCAGCTCAGCCAGAGGCTCAGGAACAGGTCGTTAAGGCTGCTAATGAAAAAACTGAGGTGCCAAAATCACAGGAACAAAAACTGGAAACCAATAAAGAGGGTGCCCAGCCTGAGGTAACTGACACGCGACCTGTAGATAACGAAACATCCAAACAAAAAACTGAAACCAAACAAGAGGCCGAAAAGAAAGAAGAAAAGAAGGCCACTAAAGGTGCTAAAAATACGAAGAAACGCGATAAAAGTAAAGATAAGAAAGCAAATGTAGATAGCAATAAGGAACAAATAGAAGGTAAAGAAATAAATAAGGTAGAAGTAATGCAAGTGGACGATAAAGGTGATAAGGCAGAAACGCAGACAATGGAAGTAGATGGTGCTGCTAGTCAATAAATTTAGCTTGGCGTTAGTGAATTGTTTAATGTAGATACACAATTTAATATCCGATGCACCGCGGGGCCTAAATGCATCTGCCTTCCTTTTTGTTAACTCTTTGTGAATAAAAATAACACTGGTGTTGACACTCTACTATATTATAGTGTTTATGTTTGTACATTTACGTTTTTAATATTAAAACATTGTAATGTAAAGCTATTTGTTGTATTTAGGATTTAAATGGTCTTTTTTCTTATTTAAATCCTAATATTTAATTAATTTATTGTTTATCATTACTGATAACGCAATTTTCTCAATAAATATTGAATACAAAATGTTTTTCTTTTTATTGTCTCTAGCTTTTAACTGCAACTTCGTCTGTGTGAGCAGAAAATGTTACTGACCAAGTAGTCTTATACCCTTCTCTATTCCTAATAACGGAATAGAGAACGATATTGGTATGTATATACCAAATTTCATAGAAATTTGTTAAATCATTAAGGTAGTAATAAAATAATAAACAAACTCGTTTTCACGTTTATAATATTATAAGGACATACATATATGTCGAGCTCAAATAATAATTGGGATAAGGATAGGAAGAAGTAAGGTTATACATACACATAGACTTCGATACATAGAAGACATTTAAGAAACTTAGCAGGTTATAATTAAAACATAGAAGTAAGAGCAATAGGGGCTAAAACAATAATTTCACTATATTACTTTTGTCCAATTCAGCATTACATATATATTACTGCATACAATTAAGTAATATTTTCCAATTATGCTGAAGGTCGAACTTAAAAATGTTACATCTAGAAATGACCCATTCTATTGTTTTTGCCACTTGTACTACGCGTACGTAGTCGCAGGCTAATGCTAGTTTATTTTTAAATAAAAATAAATACAAATTGTTGATTTGAGCCAATATTTATTTCGAGTATATACAGATTAAATATGATAACATTATTTACATTTAGTTAAATTATAAAATCTAATACTAAATATGGATAGTTATATAAATGATCACAGGAAGCAACTAATACAGTAATGTACTTATTAACTACACATTTAACAATGACAGGCAATACAAAAATACACATATTTTTTTATCAATATATCTATGGTATAAAGCAAAAACAATATTTTCTCACTAATTTTTGTTCTAAATTGCTAAACAAAAGAGATATATTTTTTTTTTTATTTTTATTATTTTATTAAATCCCCATTCGCGAATATGCGGGGTATTATTTTTAAATTAGGTTACTAAAGAGGACATTTATTAAGATTGTGTTTCAAAAAAAAACCGACTTAAATTGTAACAAAACCAGTTCGGATTTAAAAACTAGAACTGAACCGATTTTGATAAAATATCTATGAGAAAAATCTGTAAGTATACATATTAAATATAATCATCTGTAGTTCTTTCAGATAAAAAGACTTTCGAAATCAGTTTACAACTGACAAGAGTTATGAGGTAATAAACATAAATATAATCGAATTAAGAACCTCCTTTTTGAAGTCAGTCGAAAATATAAACTAAAAAACAATTAATATAATACAATAGTACATTACTGCAGTGGCCAGCAACTGAGGCATTGATGGACGCAGATGCAAATATGGGCTGAGGCACACATACGTGAGTCCATCAATGCCTAGTTGTGGCCAAGGCTTGTATAGTAATTTTTTAAACAATGCACGGAAATCAAAAACACAATTTTACTTTTTAAGTTCAATGACGAATAACGAACAATAATATTTTTTCACGCGCCATAATGTTCCTTTGTTTTTTTTTTTCAATGAACAGCTTTCTATTTGTAAGCCAATTCGAAATTTAAATATAAAAACCTTTTATTAGTTACCTCCTTGGTAGCCATGTTTCGAAGTAAAAGGTCATTCCATTTTTAAATTACAGGACAGATATGAGTTTACATAGTAATTTATCTAGTCGCAAAACACGACAGATATGGATTTTCATACAACCTTTCCCGGCCACCGCCTGCCTGTATCTGGCCAGTACGGCAATTTTGATTTATCTCGAAGAAGATTGTCAAAATAGTGCTCACATTTCCAAGCATGTTTGAGAAAAATATCATAATGACTACTTAATCTTCAAATTGTAATAAATATATCTTTTCATTTATTAATATAGAACATATAGAAAAGTAAGCGTGACAATTCCAGACTACGTCCTCAATTAGGAACAAATTAACCATGTCGGGGATTGCCTCGGCATGGTTAATCAGCGTGCATTGGGACAATCGTTTAGAAAAAAAAAACACCATTATGTTATTTTAAATTAATACAAAATATCCTGTTTTTTTTTTATATATTACCAAGTCAAAACAAAGCAGTAATATTTTCTCGAGTTTGTCAATCCTCAAATGTAAAAATCACTTAAAGAAATTTTCTTAATAAAAATATGTCAGGGTACGGGGCCCTTAATCGATGGGAGGCTTCTAGGCAGTTGCTTACACAGCCTATTAGATAATTCGGCCCTCATTATGAACAACTAATGATCCGGCCCGGCTTAGCATAATATTAATTTCAAAAATTCTATTTAGCATGTTATTCACTGATAACACTTCACTATAGATGAAAAAATTTAAATAACGGTTGAGTATTTTTGATTTTATCCATTAAAAACAAATCCTTCCCTTTTATACAATATAGTAGTACAGATAAAGAAAATGATAATTATACGCATAGATGTAGGTATATATTTATGTATATGTGTATTTATACGATTAAATATAATGTAATTTCATTTTGTCTAGTTTGTTTAAAAATTGTCACAATATTGTACACCGCTCTACCCGCTGACATCGATGCTTCTTTCCACTTTGGGTTTGCTGGAGAAAAACTTAGAGTTCAACTCTTCTTTGCACAATTAATTACCTCGTGTCATATTCTTATAACTGGTGTGTACAATCAAGAATTAAAAAAAAAAAACAAAGTGTCAAACCATTCACTCCCATTCCTTCATAACTCTGTCCCAGTCTTCGTCCGATATGAATGGTTTGTCGATGCACGCGATCATGTATTCACCGCAGAACACGCACTCGCTGGCCACTATATCGTCAATCTCGTTCTTGATCAGTTCCCTGAGTGGTAGACCGCTAGAAGTCCGCGTCTGCAGCTCGATGTTGGACATTACACTTAACTTGCGTTGGAGATCTTGTAGTTTTTTACGACGAGCCTGACCTGTAGCATTAAAAAATAAATCTAATATATAAAATTCTCGTGTCACGGTGTTTGTTACCAAACTCCTCCGAAACGGCTTTACCGATTATTATGAAATTTTGTGTGCATATTGGGTAGGTCTGAAATCGGCCAACATCTATTTTTCATACCCCTCAACGATAAAAGTGACTCACACCAAATTTTTTTTTTATTTTTTTGAAATTTTTTATTTTTATATTATTATAATTTAGCATTGAAAAATACACACAACTTCAATATTTCACCGTTTTACTATCAATCCCTGTTTTTTTATTGCGATTTTTATATTCCGCAATAGGGTTGCAAGATGGCGATCGAATATAGTAATTGTAGTACGAGAAATTTTCATGTATAGTTCTAGAAATAATGTATATGGTGAAACAACGTTTGCCGAGTCAGCTAGTATATATATATTATTAGACATACTACACAGCGTCATGTAGTCTAAAACTATGCTGAGCTTGTATAATAAGTTCTAGATTAAATAAAAAATATATAGATTGATAAAAGAGACAAAACAGTAAAGTATGGTAGTGTCACCATTCCTATCCTTATCCCAGTTTTTATTTGGGGTCGGCGTAATATGTTTTTCTCTTCCATTCTTCTCTATTCGCAGCCATTTCCGCATTCACTCCCCATATATTATCATCTTTTATAGAGCCCAACTACGTCTTTTTAGTCGTCTCGTAGTCTTCTTTGCCTTGTAGCCAGTTACATTAATTTTTAATACCTTTTTTAAAACATGCTCCTCATCCTTTCTCATCACGTACACAAATATAAGCTCGAAAAGATTTTTGTGGAAATATGAATAAATACATTCTGATTATTTTTACATTTTGAAATATAATTAGTTCTGTGCAACCGCCAATGTTTTATATATGATAATGAAATAGTGACCCTGCCTGCGATATCGATATACGCTGGCGGGGCATCAGTGACAGTTGATAGATGAGAATGAAAGCAGATCTGACAAATTCATTTGGTATTAACCACGACGGTTTCCAAGGAGAACAGCGTGGAAGTGAACCTAATGAAGTTTATTGTTAGCAATGAGATTGCTAATCACTATTCCTAACAATCCGTTTCTCCCCCCCCCCCCTCCTCTAAGTATTAATATTAAAACAAATTACCCAGTATAGGCTGTATCTCATGCAGCAGACAGTCACTGTGAAACTTGTGCGAGCAGGGGAAAAGGTAGAAGGGGCGCAGCAGCAGCGCGATATCACACAAGCTGCATACGTCCGTTGCGGACACCAGCGCGCTGCGACCGCGGAACGACTGGATCTCCGAACGTACCTGAACACAAGCAAACATTAATATTTAGTCTCAATCATTTGTTCTCAACCTTTTTTTTATGTCACGATCCACGAAAAAGCCAAAAAATTAAGTAATCTTGCGACCGCATATACGAATGACTTAACAAATTTACTGAAAGTCCTTTCCCTTATACTCTACAACATCATCATCATCATATCAGCCTTTAAATGCCCACTGATGATCATAAGCCTCCCCCTTGGGATTTTTGCCAGTAGTTGCCACGCTTGGCAGGCGGATTGACAGCCACAGTTAGGCTTTATAGATGTTTTAAAGGGCCGCTGCTGTCCATCCCTCGCCCTCCCTTATTCGACTCTTACGACACCCACGGGAAAGGAAGGGGTGGCCTATTCTATGCCGGGACCACATGGCAGGCTATAAACTAAATAGACCAATACATTAAGAATAAATGATAACGAGTGACAACAAAAAAAAAGTCAACTACGTTCCGATATACATAATATTAATTACTTATTAAAAATTTAATACTTCATTTATTTTTGAATATAGAAAATTGAACATTCGGATTATTCGAATGGTTTTCAAATCATTCGATATTTTTAACTGCTCAGTCGAATATCTAGTAGTCGGTTTAGTAAAGTAAGAGTCATCAGCCGTTAACTGTCCACTGCTGAACATAAGACTTCCCCAGAAGGGGAGTTTTGCCAGTAGTTGTCCACTTATACATATGAATGGTTCAAAAATAAACACATAGAAATGTAAAACACTTACATATTCAGCAGAACGAGTAGCTTCCTCCATTTCAGCTTTTAATTCTTCTATCTGCATATTATACTCCTAGAAAAAGAAAGCATATTCATAACAGTATAAATTGTATGTCACATGAACAAATATGTACAAGGATAGAGGCCTATTCTGATTATAGATTGTCTACGTTGACATGGCACCACCCTCCAGATTTCTACTTTAATGTGTGTGACTATATACAGATTTTTTTTTATACAACTTAGAATGGCAAACAAGTTGACGGTCCACCTGATGGAAAGTGGTAACCGTCGCTCATAGACATGAGCAGTAGCATGGACATAACAGAGTATACAGGACAGAGGTACCCAAGCAATCGACTTTTGTACAAAGTATCCCTCTGGTAACAACAGATGTGGTGCTCTCATCTTTTATTCACGTATGGGTCAGCTAAGCCATTGCAAGTCGACCCATCGGGATCTTTTGTACTTCCCCCTGCTTTATACTATAATTTTTTACATCTTATGTATTACCTTTGCAATAACCCACGGTTTAAGATATCTGTAGTTCCCTTGCTGTGGATAAGGCGTTCCCAGTAAACACATACGCCTACTTGGCAACGAGTCACAGTTGCGATGTGGTGCTCCATTTGTGTTTGTGAGGAAACAACTTTAGTAGCAGTCCAGCTAGAACCAGGTATTCCTTGGCCAAAACCCTATATTTTTACTCACAAAATTTATAATGCTTGGGATTTAGATGGTGCATGTCGCGTGCCATATTATCGTGGACAATCTATACCATATATATCTAGCAAGAAAATAGCTTCAGTGAGAAAATTTGTAAGCTGTACTTACTATCCACAGTACTTACCTGTAGTGACTGACATATGGGCTCCCTGAAGTGGTCGATGGTGACCACGTCGCTGAAAAATGGCAGGATATCTTCTATCTTGATTAGTGGGCATTCTTCGAGGAAGCTCATCGCCTCTTTCAGATCTTGGTTTTTAGTAATTACATGTTCCGCTGTAAAAGTTTTTTTTTTATATATATAGTTTTATCTTTTATATATTTATATAACATTTTAAGTATTTTCTATATTTTATGTGTTTGCTTTTCATGAACTACTTAAGCTGTGCACATAATGTAATTGGATTATAACCTAGCCGAATCACAATTGTAACTATTATTTAAGTTTTTTTATGGTTGTGATCTGTTTTATGTGCCAATAAAATAAAATAAAAAGGAATAAGTGTTCAATTAAAACCCTTATAGAATATTTTTAGTTGATGCAACTGATATTAATAGATAAATAAACTTCATTCCTACGGTATATTTAAAAAAAATTGAAAAGAAATAAATATTAATATACTAGATTATTATTAATATTCTTTATTCTTTTATAGTGTTCATTTTTCAAAAATATTGTGAATCACTAACAAAGAAAATTTTATACTTTCTAGGAAAAGAACAATAAAAAAAAACATAAAAATCAAACTATAAAACAGTTTATTACATACTTAGTGACAAATTCTGGATTTCTTGAATAATATTATTATTATAATTTCAAATTTCACTGATTTAGCGAACTAAAAGTAGTCTCTCTGTAGAAGATGATTAAAATTCTCACTCTATCAAATTAAATTTACCCTAATGCAAATAGGTACGCCTCTCCATAGAAGGCAACATATTTGAGATTGTTACTCCATCTAGTCAAAAAACCACATCACTATAAGCCTTAGGGTTACCATTTGATAAAATTAGCCAAATTACTCCATCGGCATTCGTATTTGAGTTATATGGCCAGCCCATGGCTTCTTCAAACTCCCAGATGTTAGAGTCTAATAACTTATAAACTGTTTAAAATATACCTATTCCAATAGTTACCAATATTCAGCCACATCTTTCTCTGCATTTCCACTTCTTCCGGAAGGTTGGCGATGCTCTTGGCGAGATTTAGGTTCACTTCTAAAGCCAGCTCAACAGCAGACTCCCATAGTCCTAGCAATGCAGACAACTTCACACAAGCTTCGGAGAGATTCTTCTCGCGACATAGTCTAAAATGATTAAATAACATGTAGAAGAAATAAAAATGTATTTATGTAAGATACAATATACATTATTTATACGTCTTTTGATTAAGCTTAAAGATTAAATCTCCAGTCATAAATGAATACACAAACCACTATTATAGTATTTATCTATATTTTATTTATACAATAAAGAGTAAATTTGTAATGGATAAACTCAACAACTATTCAACCAATTTTAAAAATTCTTTCACTTATAAAAAGCTACATTATTAGCTAGAAATATAGGCATAATATTAATAATAAAAAAAAAAAAAAATAAGAAATCCTTACAAATATCACATTAATGTAACTTAAGGTATCCAAAATTTATATATTAAAGCTAATATAAAATAATAATTTATTTTTTATCCATACAAAGTCGAAACGAAATGCTAGTTACAAATAATGGCAATATATATACTTACCGTAAAGCATAATGAACGTCATAATTAACAAGCACAATGTCTTGTCCCTGGCGCTCCAAATACCTCATGAGGGCGGCCTGATCATACTCAGAGTACAGAGTCAACAAATAATTGTGTATAGCCTTATCTTTCACATTAAAATTTTGCAGCATGAATTCCAAGTACCTAATAATCTCCGAAACATGAGCTTCGTCATTTTCACAAGAGAGAAAAGCAGGCAGTAGCTTCGAAGGACTCAACTTCTGGCCCTGTGAGATTAATGCATTTACTGTATGCTTAGGATCTTCCTCCATTAATACAGGAGCAAACTGATAGAACAGATCCGGTTTCCGTAACTCCTTCAACGTATTCAGCGCTTCCAGATATGATTTCTTATAAATATTCTGTGCGACCACGTTCTCGTAATCTTCGTTTATCAGTGTTAACTTTATCAAATTCTGCTTGTCCCCGTGTGAAGACATCAAATCGTATATAACGGCTTTGACATGCTGCATACACCTGGACACCTTCGGATTGAGTAGGAAAACTTCGAAGTCACTCTGGATTTGATTGTACTCGTCCGTATTATCTTTTCCAGTACGCCTGAGCACACCCAGCTGCGAAAGGTACAGTTCCGTCATCCAAATAACAATCATAGATATCAGTGTGTTATCATCGTCCTTCAGAGCCTCTAATCGCCGGCTTAGGTACGTCTTCAGTGCGTTCACCTGTTCCACCTCCAAAAACTTTAGGCATATAGTCTCGAAACTGCTTAGCGTTTCTGCGTAGATCTTCGCACTTGCTTCATAATCACCTTTAGAGAACAATAGCTCGGCTTCTTTCACGTTTATTATGTCTAAGTGAGCTGGATTCTGTTGGCAGTACTCTTTAGCTAAATGGAATTGTTCTTTATTTGCATATATCCTCCACACATTTCTTTCTTCCCTGACAACTTTGTATCTGAACACAGATTTATCTGTCACTGCCCAGATGGTTCTCCTTTTGAGATCTTTTATTACACTTTTGAGCTTTCCATGCGCTTCTGAATATCTGTCCTCGTATACACATTCTTGATTTAATAGTGACACTGCTTTCACTTTGTCCGAGTACATCAATAGGGCGTGAAATTCTGTTAATACGAAACAAAGCGGCGCCTTCTCTTTGGAATCAGATTCGGGTGGGAAGTTTATTAGTTCACCTTGCGTAAATAAAGAGTTGGAGTTTTGTTGAGATGTTGGGTCCAACTGCAATAAAAAATAACTATATAAAGTGTCTAACTCTTCAAATCAGTATAACAAAGTACAATTTTTTCTGTCCTTTCATTTATATCCATTGCATATATCCTCGAAATCATAAGAAATACATAATTTAAAACTACCCATTGGCTGGATTGTAGCCTTGTTTTCAAAAAGATTTTTCCCTTTTGTATATTGAGTTTTAAATCATTCATTTAGAATAACATACACTACATTATCAGCCATATAAACTTAAATTTTATCACTACAAATTTACCTGGACAAATAATTTTAAAATCAATAATAAAACACAAACCTGCCCATAAAATATGCCCGGTTCAGTTAACCACGCAAATGTTTTCGGCACATCATATTTATCGAAGAAGAACTGAAGTTTGGAATATTTTAAAGTTGATGGAATCTCTTGAAATCCAGTATCGGGCATGGTGAGATATTGATAGAAGATGGACTGAAGACTGGGCTTCCCATCTGTTGATATAGCGTGTCCAATAAACTGGTACAATCGGGTCGGTGTTGTGATAAATATAAAGTATTTATTGCTGTTGACAACCCTGTGAAATTGTATGCCAGTTATTGGCATATCTGCCCCTTGGCCAATGTCAAAGATCTGTAATTGTCAAAGGAAAAATTCTTACTAATATTAAAAAAGTTAAGGTAAAACTGAGTTTGTTTGTTACCTCCCAGCATCCTAACAGCTCAACTAATAAGCTTGAAACTTGGAAGACAAATATTATTTAGAATAGAAAAGGACATAGACTACTTTTTATCTGGGTAAACCAACATATGCGGGTCACAAAGATTTTTTTTTTAATTCTAATTTTTGTTTGAGACTTCAATATACCTGGGTGACTGTGCCAACCTAATAGAGAATGTCTTATTGTGAGATTTAAAAAAGTTAAAAGTAAAGACAAAATTGCATGTAAAGACTAGTTATATATAAAGTAATGCAAATAAATTATCTATCTATCTATATAGGAAACAACATACAAAACTTGCAGATTTCATAAATATATTTTCATTTGCTTGCTTGTTAAACAATTAACATACAAGAAAATACATTTAAAAATAATATGTAAAAGCTATATAACATAAACAGAAGCTGACAACACAAAATTTAAGCAATAATCACAATATGATTAAGTTTACCAATCCATCAATTTCCTTGCTTCCATATAGAGGCAGATAATTGGGCAGCTTGTTAGAAATTAAAAACATAAATAAGAGAAGAGTTTACACTGAAAAAGTACATATTACAAATCAAATAGTAAATTTTTGATTAGCTACTTTTCTTTGTTCAGCCACCCTAGAAAAGTATCAAAGAAATCTATTAATAAATCTATTACTGCCATGTTATGTCTTGTATTTTTTCAATTAATTTATTAATAGCCACTTGCTTATTAGGAGGCTTCTCTATAATCATACTTCTAAGTCCATGTTTAATTTAAAATTAGAATGCTACTTATAAACAAGAACATGCTAAAATATTATATTTTTAGTTGTTAAAAAAATTCATTCAAATTCATACCAGCCATTATTTGTCCATGGCTGAACATACGCCTCCCCCATAGACTGCTATAAGGAATGCTCCTAAGCCACCTGTATCCACTCTAATAAAATAAATACTGTAATTGAATATATTTACCTGTCTCCAATACTGTTGGTTTGCTGTAAATCTTTTGTCATTATCAACCTCCAGCTCTGTCTCCAAAATATGTCCATGTGAGGTACCCAACAATATAGGTCCAGTTGTAATATCTGATGTATTTTCATAATTCCAACCGACTTCGGTGACCTCATAGTTTCGGGATTTGCTAACAGATTTCAGCTTGGAGCTCTTTCGGTGGAGATAAACAAGCTCGGGATCACCATCTTTGGTTCTTGGAGCGAATGCCATGAGAAGATGATAGCCGAGTGGATCAAGAAATATTCCTGTCAACTTTGTGTTTGGTTGTACAAATTTTGAATATTTGACTTCTGAAAATGTTTAAATAGTGGAACGTTATTATATAGGTTAAAACTAAGCACCAAATTAACAACTGTGAGCAAAAATGTATAAGGAGAGCCTAAAGCACATTGCTCATAGCTGAAAACTTCAAAAATGGAGTTTTCAGCTATAAGCAAAGACACTTCTAAGAATACATATGCCCTTTTTTAATGAACCTGAAAAAAACATTAAATACAACAATGATTATCATGTCTACCATGAATGACTAAGCATATGAAATTCTATTTCAGGAGATGTTTATGATACCATAAATTTATTTTAACTTTTTCATTTATTATTTGCCTAGAGCAGCAGTATCTAACCTTGCCTATCTTGTTATCCTTATGATTTATTAGGGAAACTAATAATACATTATTATGCATAGATTTTTACATTGCATGCTTTATGATTGCGTGTTTTTCCAATCCAAAATATAAAAAAAAAAAAATCACAAGGATTTCCAAGCAATAACTGACTGATAGAGAACACCATTTAGTGTTAAATCCACTGAATATGCATATATTTACACTGTGCATTAAAGTTAAAATAAATAAATAAAAACAATACATCACATATTAACAGCCTACAGTGACTCATGCTTAGAAATAGTATACTTGTATCTATTATAATTATTACATCTTCAACTAACCTTCATGTTCCTTGGGATTCTTTAAATCCATTCTAAATAGATTCCCATTAGCCATGGCAAGCACTAGGTAGTCACTGGCAACAGCAACATGAGTTATCACATCCGATGGACTAAAGTTCATCTTCTGCTTCGAAAACATAGGCGTATTGTCGTCTAACTGCATGTTTATATACCCTGACGATGTCATGGGCTCAGGCACTGGTTGGGCCCGTTGGGAGACCTGAGAAGCCTGCTCGTACTGATCGAAAATCGAAGTCATCTTCACAACTCGCCGAATTTGACGTTAATTTACAGAATACGCAAACAAAATTAAAGTTGAATTACGAAAATATCATTCATACGAAATAATTTTTACACTTATTCAACACTCGTTTGCATGTATTATTAAAAATACTGCACAATAACACAACACACTGTCACAAACTTTGAATCCTCATTTCAAGTTATTAACATGTTATAATATATTCTTATTGAAGTTTTTTTTATAACCGTCGACGACTAAATATTTCCGAAATGATATAAAATTATATAGGAAATATGTAGAACAAACAATTGTTTTATTTTTGTTCTTATAACTATTTAACTTCAATAATCACCATAGTCTCTGTGATCTGTGATAATTAGTCAATGGATGGCTATGGTAACACAAAGTTGACCGTTTACGAACTTCTAGAAATCTGACAGCGACTGTCACTGTCAATCAATTCAACTACAAGTTCAAGGTGGGTAGGTACCTAAGTAGACATTTTTGCTATGTCCTAATGCTAATGTTTTTCATTTCATTATATACCTTATTACAAGGCGTTGGAGTTTTAATTTATACAGCAGAATAAAATCAGTAAGTACCTAATGTTCCTGTGTTTATCTACTACACGAAAGGAATAATTTTCAATTTAATTTAATTTTTATTTTTTTTAAATATTATACATATATGCGACTTTTAATAAGCTGAATCATTATTATAAATAAATAGGTTTTAAAAAGTCTCATTTTTCATATCGATGCATCGTTTGCGGTGAAGTAAAGTTTTAAAAAAACTAGTTTCGTCTGACGTAGTATTATCATTATCATTTTATTACTATCGCATTTGTTGTCGTGTAATTTTTTGTCTGCGTTCTTAAGCGCCGTACACACACTCTCAGTCAAGTCACTAACTCTTCATCATGGCAACAAGCGCTCTAATACAATCAACCAAACTATGTTGTAAGTAATAGTTAATGCCATTTTATTATTAATCAAAAAATTAAGTAACTGTTTTTAAAATTGAAATGTAATATTAAGTGTTTAAAGAAAAACCAAATGAAAATTACCAATTTGTATAAAAGTTTCTAAAAACAAGTCTAAACTCAAAAATTTTTTAAATGTTCAAGATACCAAACATTATATTTGAATATGTAAATACAGGTCTAAGCAATAAACAAAGACTATTTATAGTAAAGACATGAAACATTATTATTATTTGTTACTACTGGTGTATAGCTATGAACATAAAAGTCCCATTGCAAAAATATGAATGCCCCTGCCCTTTGTAATCATGGTACTGAACACTGACTCCTCTTAGTAAATCTTAAAACATTGGGGGCACTAGTGCGGGCACAATAAATCTTAATAAAACAAGAGCATTAGTGAGTATTTTTTTATTTTGTTTTAATGATTATTTTTTTTAGTTTACACATTGCAAGGAGTAAAGGCAACTGCCTCACAATGCCGAGCATTCACCACCAAGCTGACTGACCAACAACAATATATCCAAGATTTATGTAGGAATTTCAGCAAAAATAATCTCAAACCAAATGCATCAAAACTGGATTTAGCTGGTAGATTTCCATTTGATGAGGTATGTTATATGTATATTTATCTTAAAAATATCAACATCATTGTCATGACTGTAATGTCTTATTGCTGGATATGGGTCTCTCCCCTTAAGATGAGCATGTTTGTGTATTACAATGATACTGGCCAGTGGGTTAAAAAAATGCATTCTAAAATTATATTCTCTACAATTCTAAGCTTCTTATAAATTTTTAAAGTTTCTAGTTATTAAAATTGGTACCACTTGTATCCTTTGAGTTTTTATTATGGAATAGCATAAATATAAGCAAAACCTTACATTCTTCTCTGTAATATCTAATTGATACAAACATGTAGAAATATGAACAATTATCATGTTACTAGTCTTACTAATGTAATAAAATTGTAACTGGACAGTGTCTGTACATGGAAGATAATTTAAACAAATTGATGTAAGGTGTCTAAATCTTTCGTCTGTATTTTTATTCTAATATCATGCAAAAATTACTACACCAAGTTAAATGTACTTGTTGGGGGGAAAGGATTGTTAGTAATGGAGACTGAGAATCCTATTGCTAGCAATATACCCAACCAGGTCGACCTCCTCGCGGTTCTCCCTGGAAACTATCATGGTTATTTCCTGATGAATTCATCATGATGGGCAAACTGACCTGTTTTCATTCTCATCTATCAACTTTCACTGGTTCTCCGTCAGTGTATCCCGTTAGCGCAGACGGGGTTACCATACCATTTTAAACAATCAAAAAAAAATGCACTTGTCACTATTGTATTCCTAAAGATGTAATGTATATTTTATTTTGATATGACAATTAGAAGTATTCCATTACTTTTCCTTCTGAAATCTGCATGTAAGGTGTAGCAGGAAAAAGCTAGTATGTTTATATAATTGATAACATTAAATACATTATCAACAAATTCTCTATATATATTTACACTGCTTAGATTACAGCTACATATTCTTTACAAATAGTTAAATATAAGTACATAAAGAATTTCCCTACTCAAAAGGAGATAGTTTTTTTTAATAAAAATGGCAAATATGAGTTGTCTATCCATCTGTCATGTTTTTATGAATAATTATTTTCTATTTGAAAAAATTATAGCTTATAAAACCATTATGTATTTGGTTATCCCTCTGTTTTTTTTTTTTTTACAACTTAGAATGGTAAACAAGCTGACGGCCCACCTGATGGAAAATGGTAACCATCACCTATAAACATGAGCAGTACCATGGACATAACAGAGTATACTGTTTCGCCCATAATACCCCCCATGCGTTGCCATTCCTGAGGACTCAGGTGTTATTCCTCTGTACCTAGTAAATTCACGCCATATCCCACCCTTCAAACCGAAACACAGTCATGCAAACACAACTGCTTCACGGTTGAAACACGAATGGGACAGAGGTACCCAAGCAATCGACTTTTGTACAAAGTCTCCCTCTGTAAATGATTGACACATTAAATGTCATGTGATGAAAAGTACTCATATTCTTATTTTGTTATCATTACATATATTTTTTATACCTACTTCTGGAATGGATAAACAATGTGATATAAATTAATAACTGTATCTGTGGATTATCCCTACTAATATTATAAATTGCCGTGTGTTCAAGACATAGAATGGACTACCCTTTCCTCATAAAAGGTACTAAGAGAGCTTAATAGTTGAGGGATGAGCAGCAACATCCCTTTTAAGTTGTCACCAAAACCTAACTACAGTTGCCAATCCACCTGTCAAGCATGACAATTACTGGCAAAACCCCCCTTTTAAGGGAGACGTATGTTCAATAGTGGACAGTTGATGGCAAATATGATACCAGATTAGGGTAATTAAAAGTAAATCCCTATATTAATACAGTGTTTCATCACTCCTCATTTATCCCAGGGTTTCATTTAAGGCAACAAAGTCTAATATACAGCAGTAAAAAAGCCACCAAATCAGCATTGTAATAATCTGTGGCATATATTACCGTCTGTGGCCCATAGTAAATTCATGGGATGGGGCAGTCTCTTTATCTAAAAAAACTTGACTAAGCAAATTTGCATACTTGTCAATACTAATATAATTAACATGTTTATTTTTGGTTTTTCATAAAAATACTTTGTGGAAATCTTAATAATTTAGTTATATAATTCATGTGTGTTCTTGAGTAAATACTACAATTCTGAAATCATACATACATACATACATATCTGTCACACCTATCTCCCATTAGGGTAGGCAGAAACAATGGAACGCCAAATGCTTCGATTCAAACAAACCACTTTCGCTTCTTCCACATTCATCAATCTTTTCATACACGCTCGCCAGTTACGGGTACTTTTAATTTGGCCCTGAAAATTCTGAAATCAATTAAATATATTTTTTATTATTATTATTTTGTATACCATCAACCTTCTTCTTTTTTTTGAAATAGGTTAAAAAATAGTAAATATCTCAGTTCCTTATACTTTCATTCTTTTAATTCTAGATCTCAAAATGTGCGATTATTTTTTAGATTAAAAAATTAACCGACTTGGGTCTTATGGGGGCTAATGTCGATGAGGAATATGGAGGTTTGGGTCTGGACTACTTGTCGTTGGCAATCGCAGTGGAGGAGCTCTCCCGAGGCTGCGCCAGCACTGGCATGATCGTATCAATACACAACTTTTTATATGCCAATCTAGTAAATGAGAAGGGGACACAAGAACAGAAGGAGCAGTTTTTGAGGGATTTCACTAAAGGATCAATCGGTTGCTTCTCCTTAAGTGAACCCGGTAAGTAATTACTTGATTTTATTATCAACTACTGTATTTTTTATATTTTTAATGAGCAAGTATGGTATGTGACATCTTCATAAATTTATTCTTTATTTTTATTTTCAAACTAAAGTATTATAAAGAAATGTCAATTTTGTAAAAAGGAATATATTTAATTTATAACATTATAAATTTATTATTTGTTAATAGAATAGGTTATGGATGGTAGGCTCTATAAAATCAATATTCAAATTACATTACTACTTCATCTTAAAAGTCTGCGCAAGTTAAAGAAAAAAAAAAACATCTGATGGAAATATGACTGGAGTAGAGAGGAATTTTTTTTCCAATTTTTGGACTGTTATCCAGTGCAGTGTTTAGGATTTCTGGAATTTGTACAGAGGAAGACTTTGTACAAAAGTCGATTGCTTGGGTACCTCTGTCCCATTCGTGTTTCAACCGTGAAGCAGTTGTGTTTCGGTTTAAAGGGTGGGATATGGCGTGAATTTACAGGGAACAGAGGAATAACATCTGAGTCCTCAGGAATGGCAACGCAAGAGGGTATCCTGGGGGAAACAGTATACTCTGTTATGTCCATGGTACTGCTCATGTCTATAGGCGACGGTTACCACTTTCCATCAGGTGGGCCGTCAGCTTGTTTGCCATTCTAAGTTGTATAAAAAAAAATTTCGTTTTGAGCAGCCCCATTTTAAATTTGAATGTAGATGTTACATTCCATAGAGCCCATTTTGAGATCCCTGGTGTATTAACTTCTATGCCCTTGTACTTATGAAGTGTCTGTTCATTTTTATCTCTATTGATAAGTAAATATCTGTACGTAGCTTTTGCTATTTCTTACAATGTTTTGATAATGATAAAGAGTTGTGACAATTGGAAAAATTATATCTGCCAAATGTTTATCAGTATAATAATATAGTTATATATATATTTATGATTATTATATCATCAGTTTTAAATTGTTTAATTAATTCTCCCATTGACATATGCTATCTTTCGTCACGGCTTAACTGTAATCAAGCGTTCTCGGCGGTGTAGTGGTTACATACTGCTTTTTTATACAACTTAGAATGGCAAACAAGCTGACGGCCCACCTGATGGAAAGTGGTAACCGTCGCCTATAGACATGAGCAGTACCATGGACATAACAGAGTATACTGTTTCGCCTATGATACCATGCGTTGCCATTCCTGAGGAGTCAGGTGTTATTCCTCTGTACCTAGTAAATTCACGCCATATCCCACCCTTCAAACCGAAACACAGCTATGCAAACACAACTGCTTCACGGTTGAAACACGAATGGGACAGAGGTACCCAAGCAATCGACTTTTGTACAAAGTCTCCCTCTGGCTTCCAACGGTCGCAAGTTCGATTACAGCATTATAAAAACTATGCATAATATAATATACAATGTATTTTCTACAATAATTATTTTGCCCATTATATTTTTTTGTAATACTGGCGTATACGGTTCGTCTGATGGCAAACGAGGTTACTGTAGCCTATAGACGCTTGTAACACTAGGAATGTCACGCGTGTTACCAACCCTTAAGAAACCATAATACATCCTTTTTGAAGAACTCCATGGTGTAGTGTAGAGAAAACTTCGGCAGAAAGGTCATTCCACAACCTGAGTAATCGCTGGAGGAAGCTCCTCTGAAATCGCACTGTGCTGAACATAGCCTCCCCCATCTTTTACCAATAGTTGTCACGCTTAGCAGGCGGTTTGGCAACCGCAGTTTGGCTTTTGTTGATATTTTAAGTGGGACGCTGCTGCCCATCCTTCCACCTGGTTCTAGGGTTTGAGGATGGATTCCCTGCCGATGGTGAATAATATTTAGAATGATTATTTGCAATGAATATTTAGGTGCGGGAAGTGACGTGGCCAGTATTAAGACGAAAGCGAGAGAAGATGGTAACTACTGGGTGCTCAGAGGGAAGAAGAGTTGGGTCAGTTCCGCCATCGAGGGCTCTGCAACTATTGTGTTCGCAACTTTCGATCCCGAACTTAAACATAAGGGGATTGCTTGTAAGTATACTCATACTATTTATATATATATATATATATATATATATATATATATATATATATATATTCACAATTTGTGTTTGTTTGTTGTATTTACATTATTTTTACCGGTATCTTTCCTGCACTGAATTACCCAAATTATTTTCTCTCTAACTACACTGGGTTGGCTGAAAGAAATCTCTTTCAGATAAGCCCTCCCTTGCTAACACGTTGTTAAACTAATCGTTGTATGTATTGTTTAAGTGCAATAAAGAATATATTTATTGCAACAAAATAACACAAATGTACCAAGAATTAATCATGGACAATAAAGATACTAATCTGGTATCTATATATTGGGTTCCTCAATACACTGATGGCGGGAAAAAGGTCATCACTCAGTATGATATCACACATATTGATCATGTTCAAAATTAACCTTTTTACATATATTGACAATTGTAGTTTTTTGTAGTTTTTTTTATAAAAAAGAAAATTGATAAACAATTGAAATAGAACAAAGAGTACATTACTGCAGTGGCCAGCAACTGAGGCATTAATGGACGAAAGTGCAAATGTGGGCCGAGGCGTAGCCGAGGCACACATACATGAGTCCATCAATGCCTAGTTGTGGCCAAGGCTTGTATAGTACTTTTCTCAAACAATGCGCGAAAATCAAAAACACAATATTACTTTGTCAAAATAATGCTCACATTTCCAAGCATGTTTGAGAAAAATACATATAACACATCAAATCAACAGACGGCAATTTTATTTACAAATAATTTAATATAATTAATAAATTATAAAAATATATAACAAGAACCAGCACATATTTTACAAACAGATCAGATATCTATTTTCTGATATGGTAAAAGTCTGTTATCAAATATTATTTTTTGGACATAGACTTTTAACATATTTATTATCGGACCTATACATAGATATTGTAACTAAAATATATAGATATTGCTATATATATTATCCACCTGTATAAAAAATGAAATACATAAATGATGTTATTAGCCCACGTCCCACGTCCAATTTAGATCTTGCCCTACCACTGATAAGGTCGCCCTTCAGACTAAAATCAAACAGCGGCCATATTGATATACGCAGTACTAAGTAAAAGGTTGCTGTGATATTCTTCAATGATAAGAAATCTGTTAAAATGATTCTTGTTAATAATAGTGGATAATTTATTGATGAAAAATATAAATATTGTATTACTAGTTTTTACCATTCATCATTCATTCATCTACTCTTGAATCCAATATCAACATAAATCCAATTTATTACCAATGACAATTTTATACTGCACTCATGGAATAACAGTTAATAATTAAGTTATAACTGGGATCGGTTTACAATAGTTTGTATTGGGGGGAAAGGGATGGTTAGTACAATCCCTTTTGAAATATTACATATATAGATCCGTCAGTATTCTACGACTAGTACATGTATACCAAATTTCATAGTGATTGCTTAAGCCATTAAAGCGCCTTGAAATAAACAAACTCACTTTCACATTTTTTATTAATACCATAAAGATGGCAAACACGTGTACGGCCTCTCTGATGGTAAACTGGATTACTGTAGCCTATGAACGCCTGTGACACCAGGGATGTCGATCGCGTTGTCGACCTTTAAGATACCTTAATACCCGTGAATTTACAGGGTACAGTGGAATAACACCTGAGTCCTCAAGAATGGCAACGCATGGGAGTATCATGGGCGAAACAGTATACTCTGTTATGTCTATTATACTGCTCATGTCTATAGGCGACGGTTACCACTTTCCATCAGGTGGGCCGTCAGCTTGTTTGCCATTCTAAGTTGTATAAAAAAACGCCCTTCTTGAAGAATCTCATGCTGTAGTCTCTAAGGAAAACCTATTTATATTTATTTTAATATTTCAGGTTTCCTGGTGCCTCTAGACGCGGAAGGAGTATTTAGAGGCAAGAAGGAACCGATAATCGGCGTGAGGTATTTTATTTTAAATATTCTTCATTCTTCTACTTTTCTATTTCTTGCTGAAGAGCATTCAGGAATTTAGCTTGACTGAAGTGTCGCAGTGTTGCAATTGTCTGTCAATTTTAAAAAATAATTGGGAAATTTTAAATTTTTATTTGTGATTGATTATTTAAAAAGTGCTTGGCATATATACCATACATATCTGTCACGCCTGTCTCCCATTAGGGTAGGCAGAAACAATGGAACACCAAATGCTTCGATTCATTTCATATATAAAATCACATAATTTTTTCATCCACACCTAATTCTCTAAACATTTTTCCTTTTAACAATCCAAACAAACAATTCACGAAATAAAAGGAGCTTACAAAACAGGAATAAAGCCTTTGTCACAGGGCGGTGACGGCTTGCGACCTGACCTTGGAGGACGTGCGGATACCAAAGTCGTATGTGGTCGGCGAGCCGGGGGACGGGTTCAGGATAGCCATGGAGCAACTAGACCAGGGCCGGATCGGGATCGCTGCTCATGCTGTTGGTGAGAGCATTTCGTTTATACCGGTATAAGAGGTTTCTTCAGGGTCAATCGTGCGCGCGTTATGCCTCTAGTATTACAAGCATTCATCATTCATCACCATGATGAATTCGACAAGAATTAATCATGATGGTTTCCAGGAGGAACCGCGTGGAGGTCGACCTGAGAGGGTATATGCTAGCAATGGGGCTATTAGATCTTATTACTAACAATTCCTTTCCCCCCTATTTTAGGTATTGCTCAAGCAGCTCTGGATACAGCAATCAACTACGCTAAAGAAAGAGTTGCTTTTGGAAAAAGTCTGACTAGATTGCCCTCGGTTAAGGTAATTATATTATACTAGTTGTTTACCGCAGGTTCCACTGCATGGAACTCATTATGTCCCATTCCCATAGGAAGTAAAAATATTTACCTTTTAAAAAGACCAAGTTTGTTTACTAATTGTGTCAAGTTTAGAAAAATAGATTAAGTATGTCTATTTTTCTATATCTGGCATAATTACTGTTTTTCATGTTTTCTTACAGTCCATAAAAAGAATGCAAATTTTTCTATAGTACAACATAAAATAAAAAAAAAATATTCAAGTAAACTTAGTAATTTTTTTATAAATCTACCCAGTTCGGAATGCAATTTTAGCTAAAAAATACTGGCAAGAAACACAGCTGTTACTTTTTTTTCTAATAAAAGTTAAGTGTACAAAAAATATTACTATATAAGAAAGAAAGGAGTTACAACGCTACAATCAATTACAAGTACATTTTAATATCTAATTATTTGTCTTTTTTTAACCCTTAAAAGCTTGATTTTTAAATCAAATTAAAAAATATATAAGTGTACCCTTTACTGTGTTTACTAATGGGGGAAAATAGGAAAAAAATCAAAACGATATTTTTATATATTTGTATTGAAAAAAAAAAAAAAAAACATTTGGTAACATGTAAACAGCCAAATATTAAAATAAAATCAATTGTAGGCGCCCAATGCGATTTATAACCCCGGTACCAAATTTGAAACTTCAGGTATTTAAGGGTTAAATGATTAATTGTGGAAGTTAAATTTATTTTTGATTATGGAATTTAAATTAAAAAAAACTGAGTTTGTTCGTTAAATGTCCTAAGAAAAAAAAAACTTATCCTTTTTTATTGACAACTAGTGATCCGGCCCGGCTTTGCGCGGGTAGACAGAATTTTCAAAAATAATATATAGCATATGTATCTCCCTGATAATGTAGCTTTCTTTAGGCGAAAAAATTTCTAAAATCAGTTGTGTAGTTTTTGAATGTATCCATTAGAAGCTAGTCAAGTATTTCCCCTATATGATTATAGTTTCTATCAATTAAAAATATTAATAAAGTGACCAACACAAGCAAGCTGAAGTGGCAATGGGCAAGTCAAGTAGCTTAAAGAAACGACAAGCGATATGGAAGAAAAGTTCTTGTGTGGCGACCCCATACGGGCAAACACAGTGTAAGACGACCCTCCACTGGAGTGACGCACACACCCAGATGGAGTGACGACCTCAAATGCATTGCACGAAGTCAGTGGATGTAGGTGGCTTAGAACCGTTCCTTATGGCAGTCTATGGGGAGGCCTATGTTCGGCAGTAGACAGATAGTTGCCGATATAATGTTGATGATTTTAAAATATTGCACCTAACAGGACCGTCTGACGGACATGTCGATACTGGTGGAGACGGCCCGGCTGCTCACGTACCGCGCGGCGACCAACGTGAGCACGAAGAACAGCGCCATGGCCAAGTACGTGGCCGGCAGGAACGCGGCCGCCGTCGCCGACCACTGCGTCCAGATACTGGGCGGCCGCGGGCTCTCCACCGACTATGACGCCGAGCGACACTTCAGGTATATACACTACACCAGGGTTTCCAAACTTATTTTGTTTATTGCCCTGACCTGATAGGTTGTATTGAATACACTACATAAATGGTGTCTCCAAAATGGCATGAATTTAAACACTAAAAAGTGTTTTAATATGAAATTCTCTAGAAAATTGCACATTATTAATTACAGCTACCATATTCAAAATGAAATAATTGAATCTAGGAACACCATAAAAGACTTAGGAGTGACCTTTGATACAAAATTAACTTTCGTGCCTCATATAGATAATGTAGTTAAAAAAGCTAGCATGATGTTAGGATTTATTATAAGAAACACTAAAGATTTTCGTAATAGTCGAACCAAAATTATTTTATATAATAGTCTTGTCCGCAGTATACTGGAGTACTGTAGTGTAGTCTGGCGTCCACATTATTGTACACATGTTTTACGTATTGAACGTATTCAAAAGAGATTTTTGTGGCACCTCTCGTATCTAAATAATAAAGGAATAAAAAACTCCTCTTACATTGACAAGCTGAAGCATTTTCATATCATCTCATTAGAAAAACGCAGAGATTTTATTGACATTTCTTTTGGTTTTAAAATACTGACGCATATAATAGATTGTCCACAAATGCTTCAATTGTTTAACTTTCGTGTTCCCTCTAGAATACCTCGGAAACAGATAACACCTTTATGTCCTCCGTTAAGAAGAACAGTGTTAGGAGCCAACTCGCCTGTACCCAGATTGTGTAGGATTCTGAATGCTCACAGCGATCAAATTGACATCAATTTTGGACCCACCAACAGCAGATATAGCTTATTGCGGAAAATCTTAGACATAAGTTCATAATTACTTATTATTCAGATAATTTTACTGTTACTGTTATTGTTAATGATTTATTAAATATTATAATAGTGCATGTGGTGTTCGCGTATAAAAGATTTTTACATTAGGCAAAATTATTTTTTGTGTTATTAAGTTGCATGTAAAATGTAAAAGTTGTATGTGAACCTTATTAAATAAATAAAATAAATATTGCTAACAATGAGACTGATAGTCCGCATTACTAACAATCCCTTTCCCCCTTGAATAGACGGATAAAATAGATATTTCCATTCTAGAAAAACTGTTATTGTGTAAATTGAGCGATAAAGTATTTTCTATGTCACTTAATACCACTCGCCAAAGTATATAACAGATTATTTTTAAAAAAGTGTAATTCATATGTTAAATACTTAAATAAATAAAAAAAAATATTTAAATACTTAATAGTTTTTTTTTTTTTTGTTAATTCTATTACAGAAATTATCGTTTCATTAAAAAAAAAAACCTTTCAATATACCTACATACTGTAATACGAATACTCCATAGATCCGAATAGCGTGTAAATTTTGGGTATTCAAATATCGAGGCCCTACTAATGTAAACTGCAGCTTTGCCCGTCATACTAAACCGTTTTCCCCTATGCCACATAGTCGCTACGGTTATGTCTTGCCAGCCGCAATAATGTAGTTTACACTATTTAATACATTATTAAACTTTATGCAACTTAGAATGGCAAACAAGCTGACGGCCCACCTGATGGAAAGTGGTTACCGTCGCCTATAGACATGAGCAGTACTATGGACATTACAGAGTGTACTGTTTCGCTCATGATACCCCCTATGCGTTGCCATTCCTGAGCCTCTACACCCTGTAAATAATTCTATATGTTCTCGTTTAACCAAAGGTTGTCTGTAAGAGATTGCCCTAGCGATAAGACCGCCTTTTGTACCTTTATATGTATATTTTAATCCGTACTTCATGCTAATGTATTTCACTTGAATTGTTTATATGTCATTGTTTATTTTTGTGTATTTGGTGCAATAAAGAGTTAAATAAATAAATAAATTCACTGCCATATCCCATTCTTCAAACCAAAACCCACCCTTCTAGTCGATTAGCTCCAGATTTAATAACAATATAATTTCCATATCAACAGGGATGCAAGAGGAACGCAGATATACGGCGGAGTTACAGACATACAGAAAAGACTGATTGGACACTTCCTGTTGAAAGAGAATGACGCCCTCTGACGGGTGTCGCCGGTGGTCAGTAGAACTTAGAAACAGTCAGACTAGTTTTATGTGTTTAACAATTTCTGGCCAGAAAAATAAAAAAAAAAACCTTGCCATATTGGGGATATTTGTGGAACTAATTTCTTTAAAAAAAAATTTCTTCTTTTTTTAACTTTTTCCATTTGTCATAATTTCATCTAGATATAACTGTCGTATGCATTTAAAAACACCAAAAATAGCGCTCTATACATCAATATTGAAGATTATTTGGATTTTTTTTTATTTAGTTTCTTATATTTTTTTTTTTCATCTTAACGTGACTGTACCACAGACTAACGAATATTCTCGGAACTAATCTAGTTTACTACACCAATAGTATCTGTTAACATTATTTGTATTTTTTTTAATATTTACATTCTTTGTATGTTGCCATACTAAATCCAGATATCCCTTAACATTGGAATTTTATTAGTCTGGCCACACTTAAGACTATATGACCTGGACCTACTGTTATTTTAGTAATTTTGCTAAGATTTATATTTCTTCTTGTATTGAATTTTAATTGTATATTCGTATAAAAACCATACAATTATGCTCAATTTTAATATATAAATAATTTTACTTAATCAAATGCTGAAACTATCAGCAATAGAAAGTGTGTTATTTAAATGATGAATTACTATATGTTATCTATGTTTGTATTTTTAATTTGAATGAGTTTTTTTTTTAATTTTATTAGAGCGTTTAGGCTGTTATTAGACATTCCCCTCTATCCAAAAATTGAAGATTGAAAATTATTTCCATTTACAAATACGGAATGGTATCTACATAATTTTACGCTGGTGCTACTAAGAATGAAGTTAAATCACTTGGCCCATTGTGATGAATTCATCAGAAATTAAAAATAATGGCTTCCAATGTAGACCCCGTGGAGGTCGACCTGACCTGACAGGGGGTGTATCTAGCAATAGGGCTAACCCCATCAGGCTAAACCCCCATTACTGGCAATCCCTTTCTTCCCATTATCAAGAGGTTAAAATTGTCTTTTTACACAAATCACACACAGCCAAATTTAATAGGCATCTCACGTTGAGATCGTAATATTAAACTTAGCAGTACACTTTCATTGGCGGATTATATAATAATTAAAAAATTAATATCAAAAATATGTATTCAATCTGCTGACGTAAAAATCCCCAGCCATATTAATAAAGTAAAAACGTTTAAAAATATATCTGGCATAAAAATTAGCAACATTTCACTTGTAATTGTTTTAGACGCTATTATTTGAAATTTACTATTATTTTACATGCTTTACCATGTCTTCCTTTGTGTTGGCGGGACCTTTCGATTCTTCTAGTCGTGATTGCTGCTAGTGAATTGCTATTTGCTGATTTGTTGAATTATCTTGAAACCTAAACGTCGGAGACTAAGAATCCCATTGCTAACAATATACCCAACCAGGTCGACTTCCTCGCGGTTCCCCCTGGAAACTATCATGGTTAATTCCTGATGAATTCATCATGATGGGCTAACTGGCCTGTTTTCATTCTCATCTATCACCCTTCACTGGTGCTCCGCCAGCGTATCCCGTTAGCGCAGGCGGGGTTACCATATCATTTTCACCCATCAAAAAAAAACCTAAAAGTCAATGCCTCTACTATCAAGACTGAATGTGGATTTAATTTGTTTTTATCAAAATTGGTAGGAATTTTTAAAAGGTTACAACCTTTTTTTAATTATATATTACTATTGTTTTTATGATAATCGCTCATTACACAATTTAAATCCAATAACAGCACACGAATACACGAGTTCGTTGAACGTCTCGTCGTAATTTTAGTAAGCCGAAAGCCGATTAACAAAGAGCCGATTAAAAAGCAATTGATTATTCGTACATAACTTATTTAGTTGATTTTAATATATATTTTTTTATTAATAATTTCGAATCTAATCATAAATTTTGGAATTTAATTATTCGTCGAGTCAATGTTCTAAATTTAATTTTAAAATTGTTTTTTTTTTTAATTTGATTTAATGTACATATATTATATTTATATGAGATACTATTATTAGCTAGCTAAATTGATAAATGCCACGATATCATAAATATTTAATTAAAATAATAAATAATTTAAAGCGACTTAAACTATTTATAATTGATATAACATACTAGGTATGTACACGTAGATAGAATAGTTTGGAATAAAGAAGGAAGAATTAATTTGAATTGGTTTTGTTATTTTAAAATAAAATATATGTATACATATATATGATTTAATTTGCAATGCTTGGCGTTAGCTAATACCATTTTTGCCTCTTATTCATAATATTTAAAACTTCTTACAAACCTGTTTTAAATATTGCAAGGTTTCGTCACTTTCATATAGAGAAATTAGCGTAAACAAAAAAATATGTACCTCTATAATATATGTGTGTGTGTGCGTTCGTTGGTGCGTGCATGCGTGCGCGTGAGCGTGTGCATGCGTGTGCGTGTGTGGATGTGTTTGTGTGTGTACATATATAACTAAAATAGGTTTGTCAGACGTTAGACTTTTTTTTATGAAAAAGGGCGGTTGATTTACAACTGATGTGAAGTGCACCCACTAGTGTAAAGACTTTCTACGTCACCATCTATTTTTCTAACATAATTCGGGTTAGAAAAAAAAAGTAATTACTCTTTACAATGGCTTTACGTGGTACTTAATTTTAGATACGCAATTATTAAGAAAATCGTTTACTTTGTGATTCAAAATGTAATTTTGATTTACCTATTGCACGTAATTTTTGGAATATTTTAATACTTTTGTTATTTATAGGCGCCATGAAAAAGTGTAACTTCACGAATTAATGCAACTCTCTGTGAGTATATTTTAATATGTAAGAATGTTCCACATTGTTGTATTATTACAATAAAATATTTATTTTTGTAAATGTGTTGTGTAATTTTTTGTAACTCCTTTTCGTTTCAGCCGTTAATTTTCCACTTCTGAATACCCATAAGGAAAGTTTTGCGACTAGTTTCCACACTTTGCAGGCAGGTCGATAACGGCAGTTAGGTATTTGGAGATGTTTTAAGAGGGACGCAGTTGCTCACCCCTTGATCATAAGATTGATCCCGTAGAAATTTTATCAAAATCGGTTCAGTTGTTAAGTTTTTAGATCAATATAACTTGTTTTGCCACAATTCAAGTTTTTTTTTTTTTGTGAGACAATCTTTAATTATTGACATTTTAGTTATATTATAAACAAGACAAAGATCAAAGTTGTTACAAGTGATTGTATGATTGTAATGGATAAAGTGAGAGAGACCAGAGGGAGACTTTGTACAAAAGTCGATTGCTTAGGTACCTCTGTCCTATTCGTGTTTCAACCGTAAAGCGGTTGTGTTTGCATGGCTGTGTTTCGGTTTGAAGGGTGAGATATGGCGTGAATTTACTGGGTACGGAGGAATAACACCTGAGTCCTCAGGAATGGCAACGCATGGGGGGTATCATGGGCGAAACAGTATACTCTGTTATGTCCATGGTACTGCTCATGTCTATAGGCGACGGTTACCTCTTTCTATCTGGTGGGCCGTCAGATTGTTTGCCATTCTAAGTTGTATAAAAAGTCAGATGCGGATTAGCGTGGTAAGAGGGAGTGGCGTTCGGCCTTAGGTATCTTGTCCTGAGGAGCCTCTGAATGTCTTCATTTTCCTCATCTATTCCATTCCATATTTTATTCTATGTTTATTTAGTCCAAATTTCACTTGTAAGATTTTAACTAGAAATGAATTAATTAGTTTTAAATTCAAGAATTGAATAACTAAATATACATAAATACTTATACATATAAATGTGATTAACATAGGCTATATAAGGCTATCTTAGATTATATAGATAAGGCCTCAGGCCTCAAGAAAGAGTCAACTTTTTGTTAGCTAATTGTCAAATTAGCTCACTCTTTTTTTATTAGTTTTCCATAGTTCTTACACCTTAGCTTACATAAAGTAAATAAATAATAATAGAATCATAGTGTAATAATAAAACTAAGTAATGAATTTTAGAAAACAAGATATGAGTGTTTATTATTTATCTAACTACATACCGTAGAGTATAACTACAGGATATTTACATACATAATGAGATTTTAATTATCATGTAGCACGAAACTAACTTATAAATTAATCTGGATCGTAATTTTAAACGTATAAAACCTATTTTAGCTTAGCACACACAAAAGCAATTAACGCCGATAAGTTAATGGGCCACATTCGACCCATGAGAATTCTACAGAAATAGACAACTGTGACATTTGCTCTCACACTGTTGCATAATGCGAGTTTTGGGAATGCAGAAATAAACGTTAATTTCAATCTATTGTTAGTAGATATTATATTACCTATTTAAAATATTATTAAAAAATTTTTCGGGGTTGACGTCAGGCAGGCGGCCTGTTATAAAACTAAAAGTCAAATCTTTTTGTTTTACGATAAAATATATATAAAATAAATGGATAAAATCATATTACGCCGACCCCAAATAATAATTCGGATAAGGGTAGGCAGATGATGATTAACTAACTTTTTGCCCGCTGTTTCGTACGCGTAGTAACAGAAGTAGGAAGGGGGAAAAGGGATTGTTAGTAATAGAGTTTGACAGCCCCATTGCTAGCAATATGCCTTATTAGGTCGACCTCCACGTGGTTCCTCCTGGAAACCATCGTGAACAATTCTTATTGAATTCGTCACGATGGGCTAACTAACTTACTTCATCCTCATTTATCATCCATCACTGGTACCTCGCTAGTGTATACCGATAGCACAGGCGGGGTAACCATTCCAATATCACCCATTAAAAAAAAAAAAAACAGAAGTAAGAAAAATCAATGAAATTGACCGCTTGCAAATAAATATTCATTCATTCAGATTTTAAGTTAGACCGTCAGAAACATAATTGTGGAAACAATTTCTTGTATTAGTTTTTTCGTGATACCGGAACAAATATATATACTTACATTTAGGTAGATAAAATTTCTTAAAATTATTGTTTTGGCGTCAATTGGTCGTTTTTGAGATCGTTACTTTTATTAAGATCCCTCATATAATTTTTTCTTAAATAGCTTTTATGTACAAACATTATCTAGTATTTTTTTAATGGATGATAATGAAATGGTAACCTCGCCTGCGCGGGGGGAAAGGGATTGTTAATAATGGAGACTAAAAATCCCATTACCAGCAATATACCCAACCAGGTCGACCTTCACGTGGTCCCTCCTGAAAACCATCATGCTGATTCATCATGATGGGCTAACTGGCCTGTTTTCATTCTCATCGATCATCTTTCATTGGTGCCCCGCAGGCGGGGTTGCCATTCCATTTTCACTTATCAAGAAAAAACCTCGCCTGCGCTAACGGTACATGCTGACGGGATACTATCGAGAGATGATAGGTGAGAATGAAACGGCAGGCCAGTTAGCCCATCGTGATGAATATACCTGGAATTCAGCACGATGGTTTCCAGGAGAGACCACGTGGAGGTCGACCTGACAGGGAATTTCTTCCCCCGATATTGTCTAATTACAATTTTAGTATATTAGTGAGATATTGAAATAACTACTTTTTAAACAACAATTTTATATTTTTTATTCAGGAATGGCAACGCATGGGGGGGGGGGTATCATGGGCGAAACAGAATACTCTGTTATGTCCATGGTACTGCTCATGTCTATAGGCGACGGTTATCACTTTCCATCAGATGGGCCGTCAGCTTGTTTGCCAATCTAAGTTGTACAAAACAAGAACCAGCATATTTTACAAACACTACCCTTCAAACCGAAACACAGCCATGCAAACACAGCTGCTTCACGGTTGAAACACGAATGGGACAGAGGTACCCATGCAATCGACTTTTGTACAAAGTCTCCCTCTTGCTACTTCTGTAGGGGGATTTGTATGTTCTATTGTTTTTGTTATATTATGTTGTTTGTTATCAAAGAAGTCTTATGAAGCAGAAAAAGTGAACCGAATGCTAACAGACACTGTGCCATACATTTTCTTTCTAATTTTACAACGCGAAGACTTAGACGATCTATTTTCATCATTGACTTAAAGATCCACAGACAATCTTTTGGAAATACGAATGAAGAGAAGGAAGAACATTCCATACAAATCTATTAATATGCTTGTTTGTAAAGGACAGAAAATATTTCGAGTTATTTAAAATTAATCTAATATAGAATTCTATTTCGTGACCGGTTACAATATAATTATACTCTGTTCGCTATATTGTTTTGCCGCTACTGCGGTGTCATTGTGGTTAGCGGGTTCACCGGTCGCATTACAAGTTCGTGTAACGTTACCGACACATGCAGTTTAGTGCATTCCGCGCTGTGTATAAGCGCGCCAAAACTTGTTGTGTATTCGAAATTGGAACTCGTTTTTTTTTCTTTTTAATAAAATTAATAGGTGCCTGTTTTTTTTTTAGTGGTGTACTTCATGATCTTGTACTTACTTGTCTATATGTGATTTTTACAGTTCGTTATTATTTTTTTATAAACCTGTATCTAAAGTGACGCTAGGAATGTAAGATGAGATGATAAACAATTTGTTTGGATTAGAGAATTCCTTTCTACTGATGTCCAGATTTTAAAGCTACGTCATTTTTAGCAACATACAACAGTGTATACATACACACAAAGCCGATAAAGCGATAAGAAAATGATAAGACACTTTATCAGTCTACCTCGATTACGAAGCCGGTGTAGTTGGATCATTACTTTTAGTGCTGTCCAAGAACTATGTATGCAGGAAAAATGCGCGCCATAGTGTTTATAGTTTTATTTTTAATTTATTTCGACGATATAAACGGGCAGGAGGAAATGAATCAAATAGGCGAAAATATCGAAAGTGTAACAGAAACGAATCGAATAATAAAACTGGACGATGTGTGTACTTGTAGCGAAATACCGGATATTACTGGAACTCATTTAGTGTTGAACATATTGTGTGCCGGCCAAATGGAAGAGTTTAAAGACTTGGACAAAATCGAATGGCCACCTAATCGTCATGAGCTGAAAATTGCAGCTAGCTTCCAGGGCGTGGGAGTTACTACTTTAGCTAAGTAAATATATATTTGCTTGTATTTTATATATCATCATCACCATATCAAACTTTAACTGTCCAGTGCTGGACATAGTTGCCACGCTTGGCAGGCGGAATAGCAACCGCAGTTAGGCTTTGGATATGTTTTAAGAAGGACGCTGCTGCCCATCCCTTGCCCTTCCTTTGTCGCTTATTTCTATGTCGAGACCACATAGCAATTTTATATATAATCCCGTGTTATTTTTATAAATCTATTAATAAAAAAGGTAAATTCAACGTCGATATAATTTGATATTAAAACGCAAATAAAAAAAAATAATAGGCAAAAATTATGGTTCGAATGGCTTTCTTTAGTGTTTATAAATTATAAATGACTGTGTACCTATGTATGCTACTGGTGATGACGTTAAAAACTCAAATAACATGAATTCCAGACAAATTATTATATTGAAGACTAGGCAGCATGGTCTCCGACCTTAGCCTGTTCCACAACGGAACAAACATACTAAAAAAAATCAAATAATATATAACTGAGTACGACAATTAATAACAGAAATGTTTGTTATATTTTTACCTATATGTGAGTGACCACAACTGTTTCTCCAAATAATACGCGGAGGTGCAAAGTACTGGTGGTGGCAAAATTCGAACTAACAACCTTATGTTTGTATTTATGTATTTATAAGTTGATAAAGTAACTATTACACCCACAAACCTCTTATGCCCAATCTGACTTATTATTTTTGTTACAACCACTATGTATTAATTTGTATTAATAGGTAGGTATTATCTTTGCCTTATCTCTAAACTTAACACCATAAACGAAGCGTAGGGACCTAATTTACACAGACATAATTTCAAGGGCTAGCTTGTTTGCTTACTTACTAAGCTGTTTATTTGTTATTTTTGATAAAACATTAACTAGATAAAATTTCCATCATAATATAGAAATTTGTAATTCGCGTGACAATCATAGTATTATTATATACAATACTAGCGTCCCGCCCCAGCTTCGCACGGGTGTAATATTGATACTAAATAACGCTGCCGGCCGATATATTAGAAACCTCTCAAACTCAATGTTCCTCTACTATGTATATAAACCTTTCTCTTGAACCACTCTATCTATTAAAAGAAACTGCATTAAAACCCGTTGAGTAGTTTTAAAGATCTAAGCATGCATAGGGACAGACAGACAGGAAACGACTTTGTTTTATACTATGTAGTGATATCGGAACATATTAATTGCCCAGAATAAAAATTAACTTATTTTCGTCTTCTTCTTACAAACAAGGTGATAGAAACCAAATTGAAAATGGTAAAAATCGCTTATAGACATTTATATTACCAAAGACATTATAAAATGATAAAAGATGTAATATTAAAGTAAAATAAAATAAAAAAATCAAATTCACTATGACGTCTAAGGTATTCTTTATATCAGACAGCGTGTCATTCCTGAGCACTAACCATATTCATAAAAACTAAAACTTTTTACCAATCTATGTTAACTATTACCATACACCGTTTCGTCACTTTCATCCAAATTGGGAACTTAGCAGAAAAGGAAAAGACAAAACAATTCAATAGCTAAACAAGATTTTTTTTTTTTATAAATAATGGGATTAGATTCTTATGCCACCGTATCCAATAATTTCTTTGCCTAATCCCATTCTTCGACACAGCCACACGAAAACAGTTGTTTGATTGTATTTATTATTATTAAATTTTCTGCATATGACCTCAAAAAAGGGTACTAGTATTTTAACTCCATTTCCCGCCAAAATGAAAGTATGTTTAATTCCTAACTATGAATTAGTGGACACTAAAATGACACTAAAACGTAAATAGATGTAGTAAGAAATATTTGAGTTGATTAAATGTAGATATCAAATAATATGATACTATCAATGTATTAGGAAATCAATGGACACTCATCATGTAATAAATACATATAGGTACGTTAAGTACGTACCTTATCTATGGCGAAGCAGTCAACAAGACTTACTCAACACTATGAGTACAAAAACTTATTATAAATAATTTTATATGAATCATATTTTCGTATTATATTCGTACATGATAGATAACAGAAAAGGTATTCAGAAATCCAGAGTCATGAAACAAACCGAAGAAACGTAGATAGAATATAAAAAATTATCATAAAAGAAATCATCCTATCCCGCCTTTAGGTTTTTTTTTTTAATTGATAATAATAAAATAGGCGCCAGTAAGTGGCATGGTAACCCCGCCTGCGCTATCGGTATTCACCAGTGAGTAACGATAGGTGAAAAAGAAAAGGCAGGTCAGTTAGCCCATCGCAATGAATACACCTGGAATTCAGCACGATAGTTTCCAGAAAAAACCACTTAGAGGTCGACCTAATAGGGTATATTGCTATAAAATTTGATATAAAAACCTAAATTTATTTTAAATGTCGATTATTTTGCTTCATGTGCACATTTCAGCGTAACAAAAAAAAAAACCACATAAAGCCGATTTCAATTGTGACAAAACCGGTTATTCTGAATTCATAACTTAAACTACTGTACCTATTTTGTTTCTATGGGACTTAGGTATTTAACTACAAGTGTATCTTTTCAGATAAAAACAAAGAATTTTCTGAGTCGGTTTAGAACTGACGAAATTATGAGATAACAAACAAAAAAAATACATAGGAATCGAAAACATCGTCCTTTTTGAAATTGTTTGAAATGGCAAATCTTACACCAGAGGGCCTACCATGAAATGTTTTCCGAAATTTCGGAGCCAAACGAAACAAAAATTTGTTGTTAAAATTATATAATACATGCCGTTTGGAAATATTAAAAATGTTAAAATATTATTCCTTTGGACTTTTATGATAAGATGTATGACGAACGAAATGTTAAACTCCATTTATTGATCCGATTTTGGTATAAACAAAAACACGAAATTGAGTCCGAAATTTCGGAATTTCACTTCATGGTAGACCCGCAGGTTACATAAAATTTTCATTGACAGCTAACTTAATATTGTTGAAGTTTTAACATCGCGTAAGCCATTTTTTGCAGTTTTCATGTTTTGATTCGAATCCATTATTTAGTTACATATAAGAGATGAAGATATAGGTGTCTACTGTCTCTTTTAGTTGTTTTATATTAGCTATTAATTGTCTATTGCTGAACATAAGCCTTCCCTATAAAGGGACTTTTTACCAGTACCCATTTTACCAGTATTCTGCCACGCTTGGTAAGCGAGTTGGCAAACCCAGTTAGGCTTTCAGTGATGTTTTAAGAGAGACGTTGTTGCCTATCCCTCTGCCGTTAAGTTCCCTTATTCGCCTCTTACGACACCTACGGGAAAGGAATGAGTGGCACATTCTATGCCGGGACCACACGGATATTTAAGGGATTTAGCATATTGAAGTTTATTTTCTAGGGGAGCCCTGGTCCGTTATAAAAGGCGCAACCATGCACAAAGTTGAAATACATTGTAAATAAACTGGCTTTAAAAAAAAAGTAATTCAATTGAGTTTCTTGCCAGTTCTTCTCAATTGGATCTATATACCGAACTGGACGGTAGGGAAAATATTAAATTATAATGTAAAAATTTGACGTTCATAAGCGGCTAAAATGTCCTACATGAATAAATGATTTTTGAATTTGAATTTGAATTTGAAAAAGACATATCTAAAAGTCCATACGTATATGTACTTTCGTATCTATACGTATGGACTTATAGATACGAAAGTACTATATATATTCATGCAAAAATATCTATTTTTGCATGAATAAAATCTCCCCTCGTATCCTGGGATAGGCAATATTCTGGGGTGGGCGCCCATCCGGCCCCGCCTTATATACACCTATGGAGATTATCCTTTGGGAATAAGAGGAAAAAGGACTGTTAGGAATGGGGTGTAATAGCCTCAGTGCTAGCAAGATACCTTATCAGGTCGACCTCCACGCGGTTGCCCCTGAAAACCATAGTGGTTAATTCTTTTGAAATGCATCCCGATGGGCTGATGCCCCGCTTGTGTATACCGATAGTGCAGACGGGGAAACCATTCCATTTTCACCCATTAAAAAAACTTCTTTAGGAATAAGGTAAAAATTAATAAAAGAATTACCTATACTTACGTAAAGTTAAAATTGTCTACATGCATGTACATTAAATTTTCAACCTTACGGCGTTTGTTATTATAAATATTTTTCCTAATCCTATAGTTTAATCTCTCTATCAAAGACCTAGTTACTGATATAAGGTCAATGGCCAAGTTATCTGTAGGGAATGAAAATAGCATAGTTTACGCAGTTGTCACATCAATCATGGTGTGCTGAATTATTGTTTGCATAGTTCACTTTGCAAATCTTTATTCCGACTCTAGAATCAGCACCTAACCTATGATACATCCGTTTGACCTAGATCTCAATATAGGTACTGATATCTTGTCGTCATGAGTAGGTATACCGAGTCTTTTCGATGACTCAATAGTTTTACAAAACTGTACATAATATTTTTTGTTGGGGGGAAGGGATTGTTAGTAATGCGGATTGTGGACTACCAGCCCCATTGCTAGATATACCCTATTTTTTTTTTATGAATGAAAATGGAATGGTAACCCCGCCTGCGCTAACGGTATACACTGGCAGGGCACCAGTGCGGGATGACAGGTGAGGACGAAAACAGGCCAGTTAGCCCATCATGATGAATTCATCAGGAATGATAGTTTCCAGGAGGAACCGTGTGGAGGTCGACCTGGTTGGGTAAATGTTAGCAATGAGATTCTTAGTCTTCATTACTAACAATCTCTTTCTCCCCAGCTATGCCCTATTAGGCCGACCTTCACGTCCCCACCCCCTTGGAAGCCTTCGTGCTGAATTCCTGGTGTACTCACCACGATGCTCCAACTTTTCATTCACTGGTACCAGCGTATATCGTTAGCGGAGGCGGGGTAACCACTCCATTGTCACCAAAAAAATTTTTTTGTTCTATTAGTGACTTATTTCTACAGTTTTTTTTTATACAATTTAGAATGGCAAACAAGCTAACGGCCCACCTGATGGAAAGTGGTAACCGTCGCCTATAGACATGAGCAGTACCATGGACATAACAGAGTATACCCCCCATGCGTTGCCATTCCTGAGGACTCAGGTGTTATTCCTCTGTACCCAGTAAATTCACGCCATATCCCATCCTTCAAACCGAAACACAGCCATGCAAACACAACTGCTTCACGGTAGAAACACGAATGGGACAGAGGTACCCAAGCAATCGACTTTTGTACAAAATCTCCCTCTGATTCAATATTCAAGTATATTAATAGTGTTTTTAAGTGCATTGAGCTTGGATTATATTTGAATGTTGCCATTTAGATATTTTGATCGCTAAAATTGACATTTCCGCCATCCTTATATCTCCACATGCGCCAACCAATGTAAAGTTTTTTCTTTTTAAATAACCTAATTTTAAAAAGCAATAAATTCTTAATTCGCGTTGTATTTTTCGTACATATGTTAAGGTTCTTTTTTTTAATGAATGATAATGAAATGCTAGTCCCGCCTGCGCTAACGGTATACGCTGGCGGGGCACCAGTGAGGGATGATAGGTGAGGATAAAAAGGCAAGCCAGTTACTCCATCGTGATAGATACACCTGGAATTCAACACAGCGGTTTCTAGATGTGACCACGTGGAGATTGACCTGACAGGGTATTTTATTAGCAATGGGACTGGTAATCCGCTTTACCAATATTGCCTTCCCCCTATGTTAAATGTTATATTTGCTAATATCAAACTAATTTAAAAATTAGTCTTCAAGGAATACTGCTGACCTTTCTATGTTAAGGGTACCAAATTGGGGGGAAAGGGATTGTTAGTAATGGAAACTGAGAATCCTATTGCTAGCAATATACCCAACCAGGTCGACCTCCTCGCGGTTCTCCCTGGAAACTATCATGGTTAATTCCTGATGAATTCATCATGATGGGCTAACTGGCCTGTTTTCATTCTCATCTATCACCCTTCACTGGTGCTCCGCCAACGTATCCCGTTAGCGCAGGCGGGGTTACCATACCATTTTCATCCTTAAAAAAAGTGGTACATATATATATATATATATATATATATATATATATATATATATATATATATATATATATATATATATATATATATATGTGGGCCAATATAATCAACTCGACTATTATCTTCTTTCAGGTTACCACCGAACCGTCATGTTGAAACCTTACTATTCCACAGTAATACTATTACAAACTACTGGCCTGAACCGTTCAGCGACGTGCCCAATCTTAAAACATTATCCTTCTATCAAAACGAACTATCCTATATCACACAAGACTTATTCGCTAACATCGACGGTTTAGAAGAACTCGATTTATCTTATAATAAACTAACTGTTTTGGCTCCAACTGATTTTAAATACCTAAGACATCTTAAAAGATTGAGTTTGCAAAGTAACTTAATATCTGAGATGCCCATAAGAGCATTAGATGCATTGGTTACATTGGAAGAGCTTGATATAAGCAGAAATAATTTAGGTGGTGAATTGGTGCTGCGCAGTGACGGCGAAGCGTTTAAAGCGTTGAAACAAGTGTTTTTGGGTAACAACAAAATCACTTATGTTTCGAAAAATTCATTTGAACCTGACAACAAAATGTAAGTAAACGAAACATATGAACTTTAAGAATTTAATGATAAAGTCGAGGAAATACATATCGCTCCTATTAGTTTTGATTGGTCAATCTTTATTCACGATTTCTGTACTATTTAGTGAAAACCCAATCTCATCTATATAAGAGGAAAGATTTAAATATTTAGAATAAACTCAAAAACTACTCAACGGATTGTAATTTTTTTTTTGTTTTTACGTATAGAAAACTATATTATCAGCGAGTGATAAAAGCTATATTTTTTCGAAAATTCTATCAACTCGTACGAAGTCAGGTTGGATCATTAATATCTCAATATAATGAAAAATTATCGATCAATAATAATGATCAATATAATAAAAGAACATTGAGCTAATTTTCTCAATTCTGAATTATCCTCCAGATTTTGTTTGGAGTTTTGGAACTTAATTCTGCTAAAAAGAATTCTATTTTAAAGCAAATAAAATGCGTATCATAATAAACAATTTTAATATTGCACGAATTTAATTTAATAAATTAAACTATTTTTAATTCTTCAGTTCTTAATGTTTCAGTGAACTGTTGGACCTGACCTATAACCAAATACAAACAATAGACGAAGACGCGTTCCTAACGTGTATTAACCTTCAAGAGTTGAACCTTGCTAATAACAATATAACGTTCATTTTCCAACTACCCCAATTAATCCAAATAGTCATACTAAAAGATAACACTATGTACCAATGGCCACCGTTCCCAACTGGAATAAAGCTGATCGATTTGTCTAATAATCGACTTTCTGATATATACGATGAAGATAAAGCTGATTTTGAAAATTTGGAGGTAAACTTTTTAATTTTGATTGTAATTTCACTTTATCAAGACGTATCGACTCAGATAAAAAAAAATGAATGAATGAGTATACTGTATTTGCATTATACAATATAGGAAATAAGCAAGACAATAAATGTAACGATACAATTGTATAAGTACAGTAAGGCGGTCTTATTGCTGAGAGCAATCTTTTCAAGACAACCTTAGGGCAATAGACTAATTGTAGTACAAGTAGGCATGATAAAAATAGGTATGATAATAAAATTGTCAGGGTAATGGGTTCACCAAAAATAAGCTATGATGATTTGGAAAACAGAGTTTCACAATTTCAGTGGAAACCACGAGGAGGTCGACTGAAAGAGTGTATTGATAGAGATGATGCTGTTTGACCTCACTACTAACAATGTTTTAATCTAATATTTTTTTAAATTATATCCTTTAAACTTTCAGGTGTTAGACATCAGTGGGAACCATTTAACAGATTTGAATATAAAAAAGAAAATGCCAAGTTTATTGAACTTGGATTTAGCATATAACATGATTAAAGACGTTCCAAACACACTGAACAGTGAGATATTTCCAAATTTGAAAGTGCTTCGATTGGATGGTAATCCTATAAGGAGTATATATTTTAAGAATATTATAGCATTAAAAACTTTATTTATGAGTGATTTAGAAAATTTGACAGTGGTAGATGATAAAGCGTTTAGTAACGTAATGGGCAGGGAGGATATAGTGATGGATGGACAAGACCCAACTGTTGTTGGTTCGAGTTGCTTCTCGCTTTACTTGAGCAATTGCAAATCACTGAAGGAGATTAAAACGGGCGCTTTTGATGGCACATCTTTATGTATGGTAAGTATATCAAATATATATCGACGGTCAATCGTGACAATCTCCTAACTAACATGGACAAAATTTTACAGAAGATACTGAAAAATATATATTTTTTATGCGAAAACGTGGCAAATTAGTATGCGGTTCACGTGATGCTAAATACACATTCATCACAGAACATACTCTCTAACAACAAGAAGCAATAATTTATTCCATATACAATAAAACCAAAAATTCTAAAGGTGTTTGGTTTCCATATCAACCCTCAATATACCCTAATGGTGGTAAATAATTTCTTTACGTAACCTTACATAGCTAAGGTTATTTTCCAGAAAAAAAAAACTGACGTCAGTGGTAGCAAAATCTGTTATTTTGCTCTAAAAACCAAGCTACTGAGCTAATTTTAATAAAAAAATTATAGAGCAAATCTGAAAGTATATCCTTTCAGGAAAAAAAATCTCAATCGTCTTATAAATGATAGGGTTATTAAACATAAAAATAATACAATCGAATTGAGAACCCCTTCTTTTTTAAAGTTGGTTGAAAAGAAATAGAGATATTTCTTTACAACTATTTACTATTGTCAGTTAGGGTGTGTTGGTGGTTAATCGTCCATTATATTTTTCTCTGTAAAAACATAATTAAAAAATACAACTTACAAATTGCTACAATTGTATACCCTTGTTTGAATAGCAAATATATAAGTTATATATATATATATATATATATATTTTTGATGGGTGAAAATGGTATGGTAACCCCGCCTGCGCTAACGGGATACGCTGGCGGAGCACCAGTGAAGGGTGATAGATGAGAATGAAAACAGGCCAGTAAGCCCATCATGATGAATTCGTCAGGAATTAACCATGATAGTTTCCAGGGGGAACCGCGAGGAGGTCGACCTGGTTGGGTATATTGCTAGCAATGGGATTCTCGGTCTCCATTACTAACAATCCCTTTACCCCAGTTATATATATTATATATGTATGTTATGTATTATATCATATGTTATATGTTATATATATATATATATATATATATATATATGTATATATATTATAAATCTTTTATTTCTTCCAGTTGGATATAAGCAGGAATAACTTGACAAACATCCCGAGAGATTTGCTGGACTGGTCCTCTGTGACAGAGGGTATAAATCTACAATTTAATCCTTGGCATTGTACTTGCGATTTGGAATGGATGCTACATGAGTTGCTAGCGAGGATGTACGACAAATATCCTAACCTGCTATTGGATATGCGGTGAGTAGAAATAAATAATCCTTCTGTTTATGATGACACTGACATTTCATTATTATCTGAAAGGATATACTTACAGATTGGTCTCATAGAAATGTTATCAAAATCGGTTCAGCACTTTAGTTTTTAAACCAAAATAACACATAGGTTTTTCCACAATTGACGTGAATTTTTTTTTTGTGAAACAGTTTTATTTATTATCTCAATCACGTAGTTGAAGTCGCGTGTAAAAGATAGTTTTATTATATTACTAAGATTCATCATATTGGCCTTTATTTGTTCAATGCTGAACATAGGCCTCCCCATAGACTGCCGTAAGGAACGCTCCTGAACCCCTGCTTCCATTGACTGACTAAGGCTTCGGCATAAGGGGGGGGGGGCGGGTTTACCAGTAGTTGCCACGCTTGGCAGGCGGGTTAGTCACTGTAGTTAGCCCCTGTTGATGTTTTAAAAGAGATACTGCTGCCCATTACTTAACTATTAAGTTCCCGTAGTCGCCTCTTTTTTTATGCAGCTTAGAATGGCAAACAAGCTGACGGCCCATCGACGGAAAGTGGTATATCGATTATAGAATAAAATAGAATAGAATAGAAAATCATTTATTCAAATAAACTTACATTGAAGCACTTTTGAAAAGTCATTACATTTTTTTTAATCTACCGCTCGTTCGGAAAGCTGTCTCATCACAAGAAGAACGAGCAAGAAACTTGCGTGTTGCTCTTTTAAATAATTTTATTATTACTTTACATTTTTAAGTTTAAGTGTGTGAATACAAACCACCAATTAGCACTAATTCAATTAAATACTCAAAAAGAAAAAAATATTGAATACATAACCAACTGGTTAAACAATTAATAAGAGGAAATCAGTCATAGTGATTAGAGCAGACCAGTCCCTACAAGCAGCACCCGTTCACGAGTATATAGACATGAGCGGTACCATGAACATGACAAAGTAATACTCTTTCGTCCATCATACTCCCCATGCGTTGTCATTCCTGAGGACTCAGGTGTTATTCCTCTGTACCCTATAAATTCACTGCCATATCCCACCCTTCAAACCGAAACACAGCCATGCAAACACAACTGCTTCACGGTTGAAACACGAATGGGACAGAGGTGCCTAAGAAAACGACTTTTGTACAAAGTCTCCCTCTGGTATTTTTTATGATACAAACGGGAAAGAAGTGGCCCATTCTATGACGAAACCACATGGCAACTTATGCGATAAGTTGATAAAGTAAGTAGTTTATATTATAGTTTTGATTGTTTATGTGTAGGTGTGGCTCCCCGCGGGCATTCGAGGGTCTGCGCCTCGTTCACTGGTACAACTGGACGGAGGAGCCGCTCTGCACTGATATGTATTCGAGAGCAGGCTCCCACGACACTTATATGGTAAGCATCTGCTCAATAAATTTTCAGGTGATGCGGAAAACAAAAGCGGCGCTCTTCTAAATAAAAAGAAAAAAATTTAAAAACAACCTAAAAAAATCAGTTGCCTCAGGTTGCCTCTTGCCTCCGATTATTCGGCTGTCAAAATATATACGGTTATATCCGTGTAGCAAATTTCATTCAAGTCCGTGCAGTAGTTTTTGCGTGAAAGAGTAACAAACATCCATCTATACATACATACTTATAACTTTTCACACTTATTAGTAGAAGAAATTTGTACTTTTTATATATTTAATTATATTTTTATACAATTTTTAGCATTCCTAATTCGACCACATTAGATTAATCTGTAAAATTTCGACGCCGAAAACACCCATTAAGCATCACTACTGAAGAACGATAATTTGTCAGTTTAAATGTATTTATAATTACTTCACAGATAGGAGAATCGTCTGAGAGATATTTCCCTAAAGTGACCACGCTCACCATTGTGCTGTGCGTGTCCATAATAATATCACTGTTCGTTGCTATCGGACTGATAGTGTATTTAGTGAAGACTAGGAAGCGGCACAGGATAAAGGAGGCAGCCATGCAACGTAAACGACAGAGCGCCGCCGACGCCAAACACTTTAATGGCGTTGAAAAAGAACAAGTGACCGCCTTAAATAAAGCCTGAAAAGGACTTCTTTTTTAACAATTTTTATACTGTAACAGGCTTTTTGTGTTTTATATGAGGTAATTATGAAGGATTTACTGTTTGAGTGTGCAGTTGTTAAAATAAGTATTTGTATTGACGTATTTATTGATTATTTACCATTATTTTCCTAATCAATTAGCAAAAGCGCATATGTACCCTCAGACATAGACAATTCTGAGGTAGACATAACTCACCCAGCCACTCTCTAGATTTACATTTATTTGAACTCTATTCCATAAAAGGCTCGTGTTTTACCATATATGCTGTGATTACATGATAGGATTTATTATTTATTATTTGAATACGCTGGTGTTAAAACTCTTATTTCTACTATCTTAAAATTGCCTATCATTTATCATTTATCAATGTTCGTATCCAAGGACTGGTAGAAAGATTTACAGGCAGAGACTGAGAGCTGATTAATGGATTGGCCTCATCATTTATTGACAAAATTTAAACCTGACATCCAAACAGCAGATTGGATTATTGTTCTATAAGGAACAGATTGCCAATTAGCAGACTAGAAAAAAGAAAAAAAAAATTATCAATGATGCAGCATGAAATTTTTTTGTTGTCAACCCATATAGCAAGGTGACGTCTGCAATTCAAATAAGACGTCAGTTTTAAACCATTTTAGGGTCAATGACCGAAAATCGACGTCGCTATGACGAATAATTGCTACCTGGGAACACTCAATAATGTGTGTTGCCAGATATATTTCTCCAACTAAATTAAACTGCCATTGTATGTACTTGTTTTATATAAAATTAATGCTGGAGTATTAAATGTGTAATACTTTCTGGCTAGTTAGACTTATCTAGCTCAAGGTGATATAAATATCAAAACGTCTGTACACATCCTATGCGAAATAAGCCTACTTCTAAGTATATGTACAGTTTTGTATTTATCAATATGAACCTTAGATATACGACCATAAAGTTTAAGATCCAATGAATTGCAACGTTTGGAGCTGTATGTATAGGAGTATAGGAGAGACTAATCGCTACAGATAAAAATCCAAAATCCAAAGCTTATTATAAACAATCTAAAACCCAAAGTATTAAGTGTGAATGCTACTGGTGGTTTGCGTGATGTAAATATAGCGAAAGAGGATTTATTATATAAAAAAAGATAAAGAGATACTCTTTATTGTTCCCTCCAAAAGATTACAATAGTAAATTTATTACAAATATAAACAATTACAAGAAATAATCACAATGAGAAAACAATGGGCGACCTTATCGCTAAGAGCGATCTCTTCCAGGCAACCTTTGGATGGAGAGGAGTAATTGTTAACAGTTTGATCAGGAAGAAAGCTTGATTTGAAGAAAAAAGAAACTTTATTTTATACAGACATGCGACATCACTCACACACGAGTTAAAAAATATTTAAAACAAAAAGTAATAGTACTAACGAAGTACTACTGAAGTAATGAAATGAAAAAAAAAAATTGTCACTAATTTTATGCATTCTGATTTGGTTTTTGTTACTTTTTTTTTTACATGTATCTTTTTTTATCTTTTTTCACTTTGCATTTGTGTCTTTTGCTGTTTGTGTGCTGTAATGCAAATAAATTATTTATCTATTTATCAAAAAATACGTAGGAGTAAAAAGAAAACAAAAAATACATATTATAGCAGTCTCAGCATAGAATGTGTATATAGGTACTATATGTACATTTTGTTTTTTGATGGGTGAAAATGGTATGGTAACCCCGCCTGCGCTAACGGGATACGCTGGCGGAGCACCAGTGAAGGATGACAGATGAGAATGAAAACAGGTCAGTTAGCCCATCATGATGAATTCATCAGGAATTAACCATGATAGTTTCCAGGGGGAACCGCGATGAGGTCGACCTGGTTGGGTATATTGCTAGCAATAGGATTCACAGTCTCCATTACTAACAATCCCTTTCCCCCTTACTATGTACATATTGGTGCGCCAAACCAATGTCTCTACCCAAAGGTTGTCTGGAAAAGATGGCTTAGTGATAAAGCCACCTTTGTACCACGTCGCTTTAATAAAGTGTAAAAAATAAGGGCCTGTGTTTTCAAGTAATTATTATTTATAACAAAAAACAGCCTAAATATTACTTATTCTTATTCAAATTGATAAAATAAGCTCACAGAAGGCGACCGGTAATGGTCAGAGGATTGCTCATGATAGAGGGCATTGAGGAAGTCCTATATTCAGCAATGGATAGAAGTAGGTTGAAATTATGATAATGAACTAGGATAACCTAGTTTTAAAAGTCGAATTAGGTACACCTAATGTTACCACCATAAGGGTTTAATAATGCTATTGTTTAAAATATAACCCACCTACATACGTGTGTTCACTATCAGGTTATATAAAAAAGTAATGGGTTTTCTGGTTATAAATTACTTATTTATTAAATTTGGATGATACCCAATTTAAAAAGAAATGTGTAGTATTAAAAGATTTATTGTATTCGTGTCTCAGAAATAATATATTTGGTTACCAATTTAAATAATTTACTAGGTAAATTAATAATGTAATTACATTAGTGTACAAATATCAAAAATGTGTACACTATTACCAAAAAAATCCAAATAAAGTTAATAAGTTTGATTGTTAACTATAATTGTGTAAATATATGTATGTATTAGTTTAAGAAAATATTGGTATAATTTAATTACATATTAATACAAGAATAATTTAATGCAATAAAAAAAATTCTATGTTGTTTTATTTGTTTTATTCTGGATACTAAACTTTTCGTCCATTTGGATTTATCATTTGACGTATTGTCGATGGTCCATTCCATTTGCCTTTTATTAATCTGTTCCAATAGAGATATGGGAATAAATGCTTATTCATATAGTAGAATAACCGGCGTTCTTTACTCTGAAATATATTTGTATAATTAAATACAAACTACTCTTACTAAACTATTCTTATTTCTCACTATTTTAACTTCTTATCATATTATGTAGGTGTCACTTTTTTCAACACTATAATTCAATATTATAGATACCGGGGGAAAGGGATTGTTAGTAATGGAGACTGAGAATCCCATTGCTAGCAATATACCCAACCAGGTCGATCTCCACGCGATTTCCCTTAGAAACTATCATGGGTAATTCCTGATGAATTCATCATGATGGGCTAACTGGCCTGTTTTCATTCTCATCGATCACCCTTCACTGGTGCCGCGCCAGCGTATCCCGTTAGCGCAGGCGGGGCTACCATTCTATTTTCACCCATCAAAAAAAATATCGATACCTATATTTAATTGTATATATAATAGAAACTATAAAATAAAATCTTGTAATTTCTTATCGCAGGGAGACCTACGTAATTTTATTAGTATCTACATATGAAAGATTTATAAATAAATATACTATCACCATGGTTATATTTTACAAAGCAGAGGACTTACTATAAAATGTTTTTCGAAATTTCGGAGCCAAACGAAATAAATTTGATGTTATAATTACATTAATAATACCGTTTAAAAATATTAAAATATCGTTCCTTTGGTCTTTTATGGTAGGATTTATTATGAACGTAATGTTAAGCTCGATTCACTGGACCGATATTTCAATATAAACAAAAACACGAAATTATGTTCAAAAATCGAAATGAAATGAAATTCCGAATTTTCGATCTATAGTATTCAAAGACGTCTGTTGGCGTTAGACACAGATAAAAAATACGCAATCTCTACAAAATTGCATTGTGTGAAAGCTTTAGAGCAAATGCTGTTACTTGGATAAAAGAAAAAGCGCATGTCTGCTCCGTATATTACCTGATCAAAAGGGAAGGTCTCGCACAACCTCTTGTCGTAGAGAAATTCTGCCAGTATCCCCGTATTGTGCGAAGTGAGGATGGGGCAGGCTCCATAGCCATTGTACTTAGCCGTCGGCACTTTGCCTTCCATTGTATTGAGTAGATTAAGCTCTACAACAGGCCCTTGACCAGCTTTAAATACCAAATTATAATGTAAGTATGGGAGATTTTTAAAGGATAAAGATCTTTATAGTGTGATAACGGAATGATAATCCCGGCTACGCTACCGGTAACACTGTCGGGGCACCAGTCAGTGAGGATAGGTATGGATGATGTCATGTCAGCATCCATAGAATGCGGTGCCCGCTTACCATCAGGGAAACTGTATGCTTGGTTGTTATGTCCGTGGTGTAAAAAAAAGTATATTTATGAGAGAAGAGAAAAAACAAACGGACAAACGTTTTTGTTATCTGTCTACTACTAAACATAGATTTCCCCATAGACTGCCATAGGGAACGGTCCTAATCCACTTATATTCACCGACTCTATCCCATTCGTGCTTCTGTCGTGAAACAGTTGTGTTTGCATAGCATTCGGTTTAAAAGATGGGTTATGGCAATAAAATGACAAAAGACAGAGGCTTAACCCCTTAGTTCTCAAGAATAGCAACGCATAAGAGATCCATGCGCGACACAGTATACTCTGTTATGTCCATGGTACTGTTCATGTATACAAGCAACGGTTACATTCTATCAAGTGAGCCATCGGCTTGTTTGCCATTCTAAGTTGTATAAAAGAAACTACAAGTTAAAAACAAACTTACCTATAGCGGCGGCGGTTTTGCTGTTCGGCGTGTTGGTACAGTCGCCGATGCCGTATATGTTGGGGTACTTGGTGTGCTGCAGGGTGAACTTGTCGACATCTAAGTAGCCAGTCTCTGTGACCAGCAATGCTATTCACTAAAAATCTACCGCAACGCTGCGCCCGCCGACGAGCTCTAGGCTGATCAGCCTTGCGAACGACCGTGACTACAGCGCTGCGGTAATTGGTATTCACTAACGTGTCAAACCTCATCGACGAACTGTAGGCTGTGATAACTCGAGGCTGTGCGCACGGACGAGATAGGGCTTGCAACAAAAACCGTAAAATGAAAACGATAACTGTAGAAATATAATATTTTATTGACAAATGGAATGTTTTATTCAGTTTAGAATGTTATTTAAATAAATATTATATAAAATAAACATAAATTTATACATCAAACATTTGATTTTGTTTTTTAAAGTTAAGATTTGTTTGAATACCCTTGCTTCCATTGCCGTAAAATAAACAAATAACACTTATACGTAGGTACGTAGAGAGTATTATATTCCTTGTACTTAACATTCCAGAGGCGCACTTTTTGTATTTGTTTATTCTCTTTTAAAAATAATTAATAAAATTAACGTAACTTTACCAACGTTTTATAAGTTTGGATGTATCTATCAAATACGTAAGTAAAATGTGCTTTTTATTCACTTGTATTGTTTTTAAGGTTATATTTTTAGTAACTAAAATAAATGCATATCTCGTAACATGCCATGAAATGAGGTCCCTTCGCAAAGTAGTCGGAGATGCTGATGGATTATATAAAGAATCAGACATGGCTTGTGACAGGACATACACGAACAGAAAAAAGGATTAATTATATTTTTGTGGAGTATCTTAAATAAATAACTAATTTATAATTTTAGAATTATGTGTCTAATTGGTCTTATTGTTATTTTTAGGTCCACGCCGTCATTTGACTGACAGTATCCCGATGACACTTATCTCCTTCACAATAGCAGCCTTAACTAGAAAGAGAGTAGTCTCACAAAGATTTGTTGCCACTGAAGAGCACCGAGTAGAGACAGAACAAATTTTGATAGAGAATCAGACAACACTAGTTCATATCTTATAGCTAATGAATGAGATATGACTAAATTAAAGTCAGCCATTGTACGATTTAATTAAAAAATTTTTTAAAAAATGTCAAATAATTTTTATTCAATTAAATTTAAAATATTATAAATGTTAATTCTTTATGATTCTACCATCCATTGTGAAGAAGGGGAGAAACCTCAATTTTGGTTTTTAAAATACTAATAGATTTTACAATAATACATTTCTAAAAATATACACTGCCAAACATAACAAGAGTTATTGGAATTATTAGTTAAATCAAGTTCATTATTGAAAATATAAGATTAAATTATGTCATTTAATAGTCATTAGTAATTTTGAAATATAAGTTTCATCTTATATAATTTTCAAATAAAAACACAATTACAATAAAATTTTATAATTATAAACTTGTTTCAATTTCAAATAAATAATTTTTAATGAATATTTTTTTTAATTTCTTACTCCATACGAGGTCTGTCCGGAAAGTTCGTATAAAAGTGTTCTGGAATGCGAGAAAGAGGAGTGGGGAGGCCAGGTAAGCGCAGGACCCCTTCCTTATGTCCCTAACAATGCTTCAGTTCTGGTCTGACCGCCGTGCGGTGCGAACTGGCTTGTCACGCCATCTGTGAAGTTACCTCTTAACGAAACCCCGTCGGCATGGAGCCCGCTTCCGTTGAAGAGCAGCGCGTCGTAATCAAGTTTCTCTCGAAACTCGGCAAGAATGGCCGTGAAATTTTTGCCGATCTCAGAACAGTTTATGGGGATGATGCTGTGAAGGAACCAACCGTCCACAAGTGGCTAAAAAGATTCAGAGAGGGCCGAGAAAGCATCAAGAATTCGTCCCTCCAGGCCAGACAGTTGATGGAAAATTCTACGTCGATGTGCTCAGACGCCTCAAAGCTCGTGTGGCACGAGTTCGTCCAGAATTGGCGCGAGAGGGGCGTTGGATTCTTCACCACGACAATGCCCCTGCCCACACCTCTCTTGTTGTCCGTGAGTTTTTGAGTAAAAATTCCATTACGGTGACCGAACACCCCCCCTATTCGCCGGATTTGGCCCCGTGTGACTTCTTCTTGTTCCCAAAAACCAAATTGGTACTTCGGGGGCGGCATTTGGGGGACATAAATGAGATAAAAAAAGCTACGACGGGGCAGCTGAGAAACCTACAACCAGAGGACTTTCAAGGAGCCTTCTCACAGTGGAAACGGCGTTGGCACAAGTGCATTATGTCACAGGGGGAGTACTTTGAAGGGGATAAAATTGATTTACCTGAATAATTGTAAAATAAAATTTTTAAAAAACTTTTATACGTACTTTCCGGACAAACCTCGTACTAGTTATAATATGAATTAATTATAATAATTTTAAATTAAAATATACATTTACAACATAATATAATATTAATTTTAATTCACAGGTAGACAAAAATGTAACAATAAAAAAGTATTTGAAAATAGTTTTAAGATATAAGTACAAAAAGTATAGCTAGCTTATTTTCAGACTACAAAATTTTCTTTTGTGCTTCTTCATTTTGTATAGATGATGTAACTGCATCATATTATCAGCATATCACAAACAATACAGCAATACACTACTATTATTGTGGCTGTCCAAGGGTTTGTGTCATGCTACTAAATGAGTTTCAAAATCACCTGAAAAAAAACAAGTAATGTTAATTATTTTTAATTAGCCACATAGCCAATCCTGAATTTATGTGTGTCATGTTTTTTAAAACTATGATTTTGAAACAATTTTTTATAATAGTTTCAACCTGAATGCTAAATTTAGTGGTCTAATTTAACAAAAATTAATTGACATGAATTAATAATTTACTACATGTTTAACTAAGTTGGTTTCTTTCTAACATATTAGACATAGTTATTTTTATACAAAACCAGAGGCCACTAAGCTTATGGATCACCTAATGGGAAACGGTTACCATGATCCATGAATATTTGTAACACCAGAAGTATTATTATGCATACTAGAATACTTGTTACACACCATTATTAACTAGCTAGTTGTTCCCTACACAAACATCTGCTGACACAATTAAGCTTGTCTCAATAAAATAAACAACTGCACACAATCACTGCAAAGTATTCTTTTTCCTGCTTTAAATTTATTTATGTACCTAATACCATCAATTAATAAAATTTAAGTTACAAACCTTTAGCTTTAACAACTCTCTGGAACAGGCATACATGGTGACAATTCTTTTTCTAACATATTGATTAATTCTTCAGAAAGTCGGTAATGATGAATATAATCCACATCACATAAAGTTGTTGATTGTCGGCATTTCTTACAATCATTTTCTATTTTAGCTTCTTTCAACAAATGGGTCATTACACATAAACGGGCAGCAATCGTTTTTAAACACAAATTGATAATTTCAATACAATTAATAATCACAGAATTCAAGAAACAAATAAATATATTAGATGAATACTATGCAAACAGCGTAGAAAACAAAGCTTTTGAGTTTGACATAAGAAATCGAGGCTGTAGGCTAGGCTGTCGGCGAAGGCGAGGCTGATTTTTGTTAGTGAATACCAAATACTATGGCAAAATGTCAAATCGCACAGCCATGAGTAGTTCCCGTTTATGCCGCTCGTCTTTGAGCTCGTCTTTGGGCGCTAGTGTCGCGTCTTAAGAATTAGTGAATACCATTTCAATATTTCATCGCTGCGTCAAGGCTGATGTCTAGGCTGTTTGCTTAGAGAATAGCACTACAGATCGTTACAGCGCGTCAGGCACAGCGGCGGCGACATCGGGGGTGTCACGTGCAGCAGATTGTATGGTAGGGTTATGGTCTGAATTGAAATTATTTACATTATATATAATTCATGCTAATCTTTATAATATATAAAATGATGCCGTTTCAAAGATTACCTCCAGTAATCAAAATTGTCTAACTTATTTAGACAGGGGTGAGCCAACGTGATTCTAAGGTTATTTCTAAGGCGTAACGTAGCATTCTTTTATGAGTAAAATGACATTTTTTTTTTCAAAGAAACGACAAAATATTTTGATATGCTCGACGCGTTCAGCTGGCAAGTATGGGATAGGATTAGAGATTAGGTTAGGAGATATAACGAGTATTTAAAAAGCTTTCTACTTGTGTTTATACCGCTAAAAAACTTTCACGATTGTATTTCGATTTTAATATGACATTAAATTCTCCGTGTGGTCTCGGTCACCACTATAGAATGGGCCACCCTTTCTTTTCCCATGGATGTCGTAAATGGCGACTAAGTGAACTTTATATTCGAGGAAGAAGCAGCAGCGTCCTTCGTACGAGTAAAACATGACTAAATCTCAAATATGGTTGCCAACCTGCCTGCCTAGCGTAACTTAGAACTCCAATTTGCCACTGCAAAACCCCTCAAAGAGGTTTCTATCTTCAGCAGTGAATAATTAAGGGCTGATATGATGATGATAGAAAAAGTAATGAGCACGAAGGTATAAATTTTAGTAATAAGAAATGACGAACCATGAGTAGATTATGTAGATTCATTCATTCATATTAGTAGATTCATGCGTTCATGCTTATAAGCAATCGTTGCCACCATTTACCAGTCATCCAGATGAGCCATCAGCCTATTTGCTAATCCCACTTGTATAAAAAGTACAATAAAAATATAAGCTTATCTACCTTCCCCGCCTGGTCATCGAATACGGCCCCTTCCTCCGTCACCTGGACTAAGTCGCTGCCACAATTGACTGTGATATTCCTGCAGCCAGCCACTTTGCACAAAGCCTCCGCATACTTCGCCACACCGAATATTGCATTACCGCCAGTATTGTACGTTATATTTGCTAAATGGCGAGTGTTATGCTAAAATATCATGTAGATAAACACAGAGATTTAATTTCGACTTAATCGTAGATAAATAATAAATTAGAATACTTTGTCTATGGCATTAAAGAAAACAATAAATTAAATGAATGTAAGGTATTTTTTACGAGATGAAAACCATTATAGAGTACCAATGAGTAATGATAGAGTAATGAGAGACTGACGTCAGGTCAGTTAACCCATCGTGGCGGGGGGAAAAGGGATTGTTAGTAATGAAGACTGAGAATCCCATTGCTAGCAATATACCCAAACAGGTCGACCTCCTCGCGGTTCTCCCTATCGAAACTATCATGGTTAATTCCTAATGAATTCATCATGATGAGCTAACTGACCTGTTTTCATTCTCATCTATCATCCTTCACTGGTGCTCCGCTAGCATATCCCGTTAGCGCAGGCAGGGTTACCATACTATTTTCACCCAACAAAAAAAACCCATCGTGGCGAATTCACCAGAAATTAACTTAAATATAAAGTGAAAAAGTTTATTAAACTACTACAAACTCCAGCCCACCTGTCTCCAGTAATCATCAGCTAGGTACATGATTTTCTGCGCTGCTCCGGAACATTTGCTGCCGCTGCGTGGAAACGTGAAGATTGCATGTCCACCCTTAAACCGGCTGATGCAGTACCATGTTTTAACACAGTGCGCCGGAGAGTATATTGTGGATACACCACTGTTGTGGTAGTTTAACGCTTGTACTAGGCCTGGAATCTATGGTAATATGTAGGCATATTATGAGATCAAACAAAGGGCAAAAGATTCTATTTATAAAGAACGAGATAGCATATTCATTGTCTTGTTGTAAGCCAATTGTTTGCTGGAAAATTTTTAACAAAAAAAAATTAAGGCCTTTTATGCTTCTCTAATAAATATTCAATACTATTGTAGCATACTTATAAAATTATATATTTTATTTATTTTGTAAAAACACGCAGACAAGCGTAAATATTTTATATATATATGTAATACGGTCGGTCGCGCACGCAGCTTGTTTGATGTACCTATGCGCGCGCAGGACGCGCAGTTGCTCGGCGACTACGGGTTGCGCGCGCAGGCCGCGCATGCGTATATAAAAAGAATATTTTTGTTGTTGTCGCCACGGCACACATATCGTCTTAATATTATACCTTTTTTATATTTTCTATTGTTCTCCTTCTTTACAATTATATTACTATTATTACTGTATTAATAAACGTTTACATTCTACAAATATCATTCTCTCTTAACATCATTCGCTTTACTATCAAAGATGTTTGATATACATCACTAATTGACCAGCAAACGTTGTTCTGCCATATAATTTTTTCTGGATGGGGACACCCTAATCACCTAGCAGTATGAAATATACTATACGACCTATTTTCATACATATTAAATATACATAAAAGAAAATTTATAAAAATCGGTCGAACCGTTTCGAAGGAGTGCAACCACAAATACCATGACACTAGATTTTTACATATTAGATTAAATGACATTAAAAATAATAGTTTCTCAATTCAAATTTATTTCCTTCTAAAAGTTTATTCTTATTAAATGAAAGGATTCAGTTATTATATTTGTATTTTTTTGTTTATTAATATATTTGCTAATATCATAGCATTACGAAACCAGGCCAGATAATGTAATGTAATGTAAATTGGACTCTATTTTCCATGTCCTCCCATTTGGGCCATTGTGCGTATAAGTCATGACTAGTACAGCCAGCCTAGACCAGGTCAGATAATAAAATTAATAGGTACTTATAATCAAATAAACCTGGTAAAAAAACCGAACGAGTCTTCTTTTTTTTATAAGACTTAGAATGGCAAACAAACTGACGGTCCATCTGATAGAAAGTGGTAACCGTCGCCAATAGACATGAGCAGTACCATGGACATAACAGTACACACACAATACTGTTTCTCCCATGATACCCCCCATGCGTTGCCATTCCTGAGGACTCAGGTGTTATTCCTCTGTACCCTGTAAATTCACGCTATATCCCACCCTTCAAACCGAAACACAGTCATGCAAACACAGCTGCTTCACAGTAGAAACACGAATGGGACAGAGGTACCCAAGCTTTTGTACTAAGTCTCCCTCTGGTAAAAAATTATGTTCACAATTGTACCTTATTATAATCATTCTTCAGACCAACAGCAATGACCATATACTTATACAGTATTTTGTGGCCGGTCTTCGTGTGCACAATACCGTTACAAGGGTCGAAGTCTTCCGCGCTATCGTCTAGCCACCTCACGTGCCGCGGCAGCACAGACCTTGTAGGTCTCTCGCAACGCCCATACTGTTGTATACCGGCCGCGACCAGGGGAAACATTGGCTGGTAATAGTGCACCTGGTATAGGCTTTTTTATTAAGATTATTAGCATTGCTACCCCTTTTTGTTTTAGATAGATATCCAGGTAGAAAAAGTTATACCTAACACATGTATAGTACCATGCACATAATAGAGTATACTGTATCGTCCATGATATCCTTCATGGGTTGCCATTTCTGAACGAATAAGGTGGCTATGCATTTGTATTCCGTAATTTTGTATTTCCATTGTCATATCCCACACTTCAAACCGAAACTCGGTCATAAAGGCACAACTGCTTCACGGTAGGAACACGGATGGGAGAGAAGCAGATGACTTTGTAAAAAAAGTTTATGACTTTCTATCACTTGAGTCATCAGCTTGTTTTTCCAAATTGCATAATTAAAATTATACTTTACAAAAAAAAATCAACATCAATTGTGCCAAAACCAGGTATTTTGACTTAAAAACTAAACTGCCGAACCGATTTTGATGAAGTTTCTGTGAGTATATCCTTTCAGATAAAAAAAAAAATATTTCTCCAAATCGCTTTATAACTGACGGAGTTATGAGGTTAGAAATATTAAGACAAAAACACACAAACGAAATGAAAGCCTACTTTTTTTTAAGTCGGTTGAAAACACAACTTTTATGAACATAGAAAAGCTTAGAACTCAGCCTAGAAAAGGACCGGTCATCTTGATTAGTTTTTGGTATATTTATATATATATATATATATATATATATATATATATATATATATATATATATATATATATATATATATTGTACCTTAGAAGGCTCCAGTACTATAATATCATTGTTATTCATTTTCCGGGAAAACCTCCAAGCGATGCTGCAGCCTCCTGTCCCACCGCCGACCACCAGCAATTTGCATCTGAAGTTTTACACAAAAAAAAGCAATCCTAGTGTAAAATACGTTCTTTTTAATTTATACGACGTCAATACTTACCTATACTGGTTTGTACCGGGCGCAACATTACTGAAATGACGGACTTTATTCACGCTGTTCCTTAAATGATTCAAATTAACCCCCATTTGTATTATTAACACAAAAATTTATTTGATTTATTGAAATGAACATTATTTTTATGCGACTTTCATTATTTTGACTTTTTATAATGACCAACTGGATTTAATAATCTATACATGAATGAAACAAAAGTTAGTTACTTGTTATAAGAATGACTCGAGGGAAAGAGGGATTATTAGTAATTAGCAAACTCCGTTTGATTGGATAGGGAAAAATCATGTTAAAATTGTTATTGATATGTTTTCTTTTTTTTTTATTGTTAAGTATATGTATGTGTATGTGTGTATGTGTTTGAGTGTGTGTGTGTGTGTGTGTATGTGTGTGCATACGCACATATTTATGTGTGTGTGTGTGTGTGTGTGTGTATGTATATACTATTATATATATTTTTATGTTTATCAATATCATATATAATATCAATAATCATCTGCTCTCGATTATTTGGTTCAGTTTATTGTGGAAACTTTACTGATTTATGTTATGGTTATGTATACTATTTTATATGTTTTAGATATTGTATGTTTCCCTTTCAAAGTAAAATAAAATAAAATAGTCTCCTTTGCTGGTAATACACTTTGAAGTCGACTTCTATGACAATTTTTATTAGTACATCTGTTATATCGAATGCAAGTTTTTACAAGAGATTTCTTTTTGAAGGTTAATGTATTGTGAAGAAATGGTGTCTGAAATAGGATACACCTGTATCACAGATCACCAGGTCTTCACCCCACCCACTCCATTATAACAACGCGATCCCCCGGGAAATGTTATGTTTATTTTCTGGTGAACTCATCACAAGGAGTAATCTAAACTGACTTGATCCTCATCATCTCATCCTCTGCTGATGCCCTACCATCATATGTGCTGGCAAGTTAGCAGTGATCGGCAACAAACATGAAGACAGGTCAGTTCGCCCATCGTAACGAATTCACGAGGAATTTGACCATGTCGTGGTCGACCTAGTAAAGTCCCATACTCTAAGTCCTCATTACTAACAAATCCCTTCTCTCCCCCCCCCCCACCCCCCACCGGCTCTATCATTGCATACCGTTAGCATTGACAAGTGAACTATTCCATCTTCACCCATAAAAACACTGGTCATGTATTTCTTATGTGTAATATTTGAAAAAAAAATATAAAAACGATTTTGAAAAAAATTTTATGAGACCAATCTGAAAGTATAATATATAAAAAAAAATCCAAATCAGTTATTAATAACGGAGTTTTGAGATAACAAGCTACACCTTTTGAAGTGGGTTCAAAATGTATTAAAACAATTACAATTTGAGAAACAATATATTTTTCCGCATTTATTAATATTATATATACACTCCTCGCAAAATTAAGGGAACATAAAAATTTTTGAAATTTTTGGGTGATTTTCAACAGGCTGTATTTCAGTGAAAAATAATCGTACAGAAAATTTAAAAAAAGGGTTTTGAAGCTTGAAAACTCTAGTTTTCAGATTTTTTGGTGAAAAAATTTTTTGAGCTCCGGTTTCCATGCAATTCTTAAACAACGCTGAAAATAATTTTTTTCTAAATTTTCTAGGTTTCGTTTTTCACTCTATGGGCATGGAAAAATTTTTTCGAGCTACTCCATTGTATAGGTCTCTTAGCGTGTTTATTCAGCTTCAAAAATCGCTTTGGATGGCTCAATTACGACCATTTGTCTCCGAGATATCGAACTTTGAATGCAAAAGCATCCTTTTCCATTCAACTGCTAATATCTCTGGAACTACTGGTCGCACAGCAAGCGGGTGCCGAGTTTCTTTATCTGCATAAAATTTCCAATTAAGTACAGTCAAGAGTTAGTGAAGAAAAAAATTTTTTCCACCTCTAACATTGAATTGAATAAAGTGGAAAAAAGTGACTTTTTCTCCTTTTTTGGTTACTTGGCTGTATCTTCGCTAATATGGGCGGGAAAGCTAAGGTTTGAGGAAAATTTTACAGTCTATTGTTCCTTAAAGAACCCCCTAAATCCCTGGAGCGATCGGTTCAACGGTTTTTCCCGGACCAATTGATTGAAATTTTGGAAAAAATAAGGGAACAAGGTTTTTGTCCCTTAAACTCACCCTAATCCATTCAAAAATCAATAATTTCATTTGTTTTTCACTTTTTACTCAATTTTTTGTTTTTTAAAAATTCATTATCAAAAAAAAAAATCGAAAAAAAAACAAGAAAATTTTATGCAGATAAAGAAACTCGGCGCCCGCTTGCTGTGCGACCAGTAGTTCCAGAGATATTAGCAGTTGAATGGAAAAGGATGCTTTTGCATTCAAAGTTCGATATCTCGGAGACAAATGGTCGTAATTGAGCCATCCAAAGCGATTTTTGAAGCTGAATAAACACGCTAAGAGACCTATACAATGGAGTAGCTCGAAAAAATTTTTCCATGCCCATAGAGTGAAAAACGAAACCTAGAAAATTTTGAAAAAAATTATTTTCAGCTTTGTTTAAGAATTGCATGGAAACCGGAGCTCAAAAAATTTTTTCACCAAAAAATCTGAAAACTAAAGTTTTCAAGCTTCAAACCCCTTTTTTTAAATTTCCTGTACGATTATTTTTCACTGAAATACAGCCTGTTGAAAATCCCCCAAAAATTTCAAAAATTTTTATGTTCCCTTAATTTTTGCGAGGAGTGTATAATATTATATAACATTCTGTATAAAGGTACAACTATTTACATAAACATCTCTAAAACCAACAATATAACTTTTAATTTCTTAGCCAAAAAAAAATATAATAACAAAGATATAATATATATAAATTCTAACAGTCAACATTACTTAAAAAATAATACATTCAAATTGTATAAAGCACTTGTTAATTTCGTTAAGTTACGAGCTTTGCTCTAAACACTAACATCATAAAATGTTTTTTTTTTTACAACACAAAGGGCAAACGAGCATGCGGCTCACCTGATGGTAAGTGACTACCGCCGCCCATGATCGCGTGCAACACCAGAAGCATTGCAGGTGTGCTGCCGGCCTTTTAAAAAGGAATATGCTCTTTTCTTGAAGGTTACGTTTAATTTTCAACAAAAATATTTCGAAATACAGATCACATCTCTCTAAATATATTATATAAATAAAAAGTCGCGTGTCCACGCCTGCCTGTTCCTCCATTTACTTCAATATTACGCAACGGATTTTCGTCTTTACTTCACTGTCATTTAGATATGTTTTATAAGTTTATATATAAAACTTATAGTTTTGTATATGTAAGTAGACAAATGTAAACAAATTGCACCCATGCAAAGCCTGGGCGGGTAATTATTATACAGTAAAAACTCCTTATTCACGCTTCCTTGATTCGCGTTTTCACTATTCGAGGATTAAAAAATTGCGATCCAATTCCTATATTCGCGGTTAAAAATTTCTATATTTGCGGATTTAATCGGTGCGTATTATTAAAAAGGATTAGGTATCTTTTATAAACGAGTCGGCAAATGGACTAATAAAAAAGTAAAATAGACTTTATCACAACTATACCTAAAGTACATTTTCAAATGCTTACGCCACTGTATAAATGCTTCGGCTGTCCATATTCACGGTTTCTGTATTCACGACATATTTGCGGAACGTATAGCCCGCGAATAAAGAGCTTTTATTGTATATGTTTTGTATTACATCTCCCTATTTAGAAATAATGTTAACAATTACTCCTCTCCATCCAAAGGTTGCCTGGAAGAGATCGCTTTTAGCGATAAGGTCGCCCATTGTTTTCTCATTGTGATCATTTCTTGTAATTATTTATATCTAGAATAAGTTTACTATCGTAATCTTTTGGAGGAAACAATAAAGAGTATATATCTATCTATGTTTTAAAGTTAGTAACATTTTTACATTACCTATTTCAAATACTAACAAATAAAAGTTAAAGATTCATTCATAACAAACTGCATAGATTCAACAAATACCTCATATATTGTAATGCCTAAATTTTGAGCTGTTCATCACAGAAATCACCTATCGATTAATATTTCAATATTAGTAATAGCCTATTTTACAACGTATAAAATGTCATGATATGATTGGAGCACATCTAATTTATAACACATCGAGTAAGGCGATGTGCGGTCTAGCGAAGACGTAAGTTTGCACTGTTCGGTCTTTAATTATCAATATAAGATTAATCAAATAGTCAAAAGAGGGCAGTAGTATCGGCATCACTAAGAAATGGCAATACGCGCATAACTTCGTATTATAGTTGAAAGTCTAAACTATGATTAATTGGTTTTTCCAAATGTAGCTCTATTTGCTAAATACGACAACAATGAAGGCCTGCAGAGCAGTGGGCCGCTCTTTAGGGTACTTTTTATCCATCGCAATAAGTCACAGCAAATAGAACTGTAAAGCTCAACCATAAGGGATATTTTGTTCGCATAGAGTATTTTGACAAAATTAGATTCCATTGTGACAAAAAAAAATATGTTTTGCCTCAAGTATATAAAATATCAGGGTTAGTTATAAAGACCTCTATATTAAAACTGTATGAAAACTAAAAATACATCTGCTGGAATGTTGGAGCGCAGCGTACCAACAAGCGCAGATCCTGATTCCTGAGATTATGGAGATACCTTCCAAAATCTAACTCTACAAAACTTCCAACAAAATAACCATAAAGTATTTAGGTATTAATTAACATGAACAATTTATAGTTTTTTAATAACTTAAAAATCCAAGGCTTTGATTCGGAGTGATTTGTTTTTGTAACTGGCAACCCTGTGCCATATAGTAGAATTGAACATGGTAGAATATTATTTTAGTAGTTAATTGTTTACTTAGCGAATGGATTGATAATTTTCCTTATAAACTCTGGACCGTGGTAGTAACCCTTCAGCATGAAGTTCCAATACAGGAACGGGAACAGATCCTTTTTCATATAGAACGCTATCGTGCTCTCCCTTGCCTGTAAATTTTAATCAAACCATTTAATTTTTATTTAATTACAAATTTTATAATTACACTAATATTAGCGGTATGGACACAACTATACCGTGTGGGGGGGGAGGGATTGTTAGCAATGGAGTTTGACAGCCCCATTGCTAGCAATATGTCCTATCAGGTCAACCTCCACGTGGTTCCCCCACGTGAAACCACCGTGTACAATTCTCGTTGAATTCGTCACAATGGGTTAACTGACCTGCTTCATCCTCGTCTATCATCCTTCACGGGTTACTATTTCATTATCAGCTATAAAAAAAAAAAAAAAACTATACCGTGTGACCCGCCACAGAATGGGGCACCACTTCCTTTCCCGTGGTTGTCGTACGAGGTGACTAAGGGAACTTAAGTGACTAAGAAAAAGGTGGAGCGCTAAGCGCTCATAAACAAACAAACGCACTTTCACATTTTCACTAATATTATATTAGTAAACAAGAATAATATCATGTATGCATAGGATCACAAAATAAGATATATTCAATTTAAAATAATCAATCATCATCATCAGCCAATCATTAACTATCCACTGCTAAGCCCTGGGGGTAGTAGTAGTAGCTTTATCCAGTAGTTGCAACGATTAGCAAACGGCAATATTTTAAGAGTGACGCTGCTGCCCGTCACTCGCCCTGCCTTAGTTGGCTCTTACGACACCCACGGGAATGGAAGGGATGGCCTATTCTATGTAAGGCCTACACGGCGGGAAATAATCAATACCTGGTTAATAATTATCTGACTCTACATTCACCACAATGGAAGGTCGCCAAATGCCTCCGACTACCACATCTGGAATTAGTCACGTGTAATACTATTTCTAGACCACATTATACTTTTCTTATATTTTTTTGTTGTAAATTGAATAAGTGGCGACATCTATTGTGTTAACAAGGAGTCTATAGATACCAATGACCTTGTTCAGCGGTAAACAGAAAATAAATGAAATAACGATAAATTTAAAATCGGAACAATGAAAAATTAATCTTATTACCTGATCGAATGGTAGCGTTTCCCTTGGAATACCGTCATATATGAATTCCGCTAATATACACGTGCTATAGGAGGTGAGCAGCGGGCACGCACCGTATCCATTGTACTTTTCCTTAGGGTTGTCCTTCTTCATTGTACTTAATAAATTCTGCTCTAGTACGTAGCACTGTTTCGCTGAAAAACAATTTTTAACAATAATACATTTTTTATTCAGGTTACATTCATATCAGCTGTTAATTGTCCACTGCTGATCATTGGACTCCCTCTATTGGGGAGGTTTCGCCAGTAGTTGTCACGCTTGGCAGGCGGATTGGCAACCGCAGTTAGGCCTTGGAGCAGTGGCGTAACTATACCATTTGGGGCCTGTGACAAATTCTTTTGATGAGGCCCTTTCAGTAAAAAAAAACTTTTCAAGTAAAATAAAATACTAAGGTACAAAGTAAAAAAAATATATATATATATTTCTGAGCTCGCGGTCTCTTGAGCCGGGGCCCTTTTGGGTCGGTGGCATTTTGCCAGCCCTGCCACCCTATTGTTACGCCACTGCCTTGAAGATATTATAAGAGGAACGCTACTGATCATCCCTCGACTTTTAAATTCCTTTAGTTGACTCTTATGACACTCATGGAAAAGGTAGGGGTGGTATTTTATGTCGGAACCACATGGCAATTTATAAATTGCTTGTAATATAACATATGGCAAACCAACACCAGTTCTCAGAAATGACATTGCTTGGGGTACCATAGGCATCACAGTATACTCTGTTATGTCCACGGTGCTGTTCATGTCGATAGGTGACGATTACCACTTTCCACCAGGTGGGCCGTCAGCTTGTTTGCAATTTTAAGTTGCATAAAAAAACAATACAAACATTTCAATCAATACAAGAGGGAGACTTTGTACAAAAGTCGTTTGCTTGGACACCTCTGTCCCATTCGTGTTTCTACCGTGAAGCAGTTGTGTTTGCATGGCTGTGTTTCGGTTTAAAGGGTTCCTGAAATTCCAGGCAGTGAATTTACAGGGTATAGAAGAATAACACCTTACTCCTCAGGAATGGCAATACATGGGGGGAATCATAGACGAAATAGTATACTCTGTTATGTCCATGGTACTGTTTATGTCTATAGGCGACGGTTACCACTTTCTATCAGGTGGGCCGTCAGCTTGTTTGCCATTCTAAGTTGTATAAAAAAATGTATTGGTTTATCAAAACTCCTTATATTATTTTTTCTTAAATCGTCATAGTCGTAGAATACTGACGGATCTGACAAAGATTACATATAAAGATCCGTCAGTGTTCTACGACTATGACGAAATAACTGCCATCTACTAGTAAGATACACAGCTTACCTATAGCGGCGGCGGTTTTGCTGTTCGGCGTGTTGGTACAGTCGCCGATGCCGTATATGTTGGGGTACTTGGTGTGCTGCAGGGTGAACTTGTCGACGCAGAGGTAGCCCGCCTGGTCGACGACGCTCGTCGCGTTACGGAGGAACTCCGGCGTCTTCATTGGCGGCGTCACGTGGAGCATGTTGTATTGCGTCGTGAATTCCTTGTAAAATACATATATAACAATTAATTACAGACAATCGTTAAGTTTTACATGCTGTCTCGTTTTGCATGCTCATTTGCTCCCTATTTTATAAAAATTAATTTATCTAATGACCTAGTCCTCAAGCTTTTTAATGAGTGATAATGGTATAGTAACCCCGCTTAAGTTATCGGTATACGCTGACGTGGCACCAGTGAATAATGATAGGTGAGGACGAAAGCAGGTCAGTTGTCAGCGATGGTTTCCAGGGGGAACCGCGTGGAAGTCGACCTGATAAGGTATATTGTAAGTAATGTGGCTAATAAACCCCATTACTAATAATCCCTATCCTCCACTGTCAAGTATATTTAAAAGTAGAGTTTTAAATTTTTTTGGTGTACATGATTTGGTATTTTATAAAATACTAGTGATTCGCCCAAGTTTCGCACGGGTAAATGGAAAGATAAAATTATATTTAATATTAGCTTTAATAGGCGAATTTTTGATATCTATGTTATGGTAATTTTTTAGATATCTCTTTTTTTTTAATAATATATAGCTTATAATATTACTTGCTGATAGAGATGGGCAATCCACCTGGGTGGGTTTAAAGTCTGGTGGGTAAAAACCGGGTGTTTTGGGTTTATTGGGTTTAAACCCCATAAACACCCAAATTTTTGGGTGTTTATGATTTTGTACTTCATCATCGTCATCTCAGCCGCAAGACGTCCACTATACTGGACATAGACAATATTATTATGCAGCCTACAGAATAAAAAACTTTTAATTTGATTTTGAGTTTATTAAGAAAGAGATGAAAGTAAAATGTAAAACTACAGTCAATCACTGTCAGATTCAGAGTTATTACAAGCGATGAATTGTATAGGTTCGATAGGCTCTATTTCGTCTAAACTGTTATGTTCATTTACTTGCTCAATGAAAGCTTCTAAGGTATTTTCTTCATTAAACTGAATGTCCTCGCATTCAGCTTTATGTTTAAGATTCCAGTTATAACAAATGAATGAAATTTTTTCAGTTCTTTCAGTTGTAAGTCGATTTCTTTTGTTATTATGTATGTAGCCTTGGATACTAAAGGAACGCTCAGTGGCTGCCGAAGTACAGGGAGCTGATAGAATACGAATCGCTACTTTGCTTAACTCAGTGGAACCACAAATACCTTTCCACCATATTAGGGGCTCAATGCTATCTAATGAGCTCCATACAAATCCTCTGGCCCAAAAGTTTTCTTTAGCTTTATAACACGCCAAATCTGCCATTACATTTGACAAACTTAAGTGTTGGCTTAAATTGTAGATAAACTCCATACCCTTAAGTTCTTCCTCTTGAGTAAGTTCGACTCCTAGAGTCCTGGGGTCTAGAATATATGCTGCAAAATGTATTGGCCTCATTGCCATATTGCATCTTGAAGATACTGATGTTAGAATCTGCTGTTTGCTTTCTTCGCTCAATGTCGAAATCTCATTTAATGCAAAACGTATCTTAGCTTGTACATCTCTAAATGTAATGTATGTGCGATGCAAACGATTCTGGTCGCTCTCTAAGTAAAATATGCTTTCAGTGACTGGTTCCAAAATACTTATACATTCCCCTGTCTTCGTCCAGAAATCATCACTTAGAATTAAATCTTTAATATCTCTTGAAATTACCACATCTTCTCTAACTGTTAATATTTGCAAAGCTATCTTATTTGCTTTCAAACTTTTTAACGAAGTAACATGACTTCCCCATCTTGTAGCACAAAGCAATTTTAGTGTTTGTGTAGAATCTTCACCCTGCCTTGATTTTATCAACAAGGAACTTAATCGTTGACTCCTTTTAACAGTTTTTATTATATTTATGGCTTGCATAATAAACACAGTTACTTCTTGTATCTTTACAATATCTTGGCACAACAAGTTAAGGATATGTGCACAGCAACCGAGAGGAACAACATGTGGATATTTGAGTTTTGTTAATTCGAATGCCTTTTGTATATTTCTAGCGTTATCGCCAATAATTTTTTTTTTTTTTTTTTTTTTACAACACAGGGGGCAAACGAGCATGCGGCTCACCTGATGGTAAGTGACTACCGCCGCCCATGATCACCCACAACACCAGCGGCATTGCAGGTGTGCTGCCGGCCTTTTAAAAAGGAATATACTCTTTTCTTGAAGGTTATGTTGTCGTATCGGTTCGGAAATACTGCTGCTGGAAGTTGATTCCAAAGAATGGTTGTGCGTGGAAGAAAGTGCCTTGAAAAACGCACGGTGGAAGACCGCCACTCGTCCAGATGATTGGGATGAAACTTTAGTTTGTGGCGGGTTGTACGGTGGTGAAAATCAGCAGCAGGTATCAATCCGAACAATTCCTCAGAACACTCCCCATGATAAATTCGGTAGAAGATGCACAGAGATGCAACATCTCTGCGCAGTTTCAGTGGGTCGAGTCGGACAGTAAGGCGTTGACTATCGATAATTCGAGCCGCCCGACTTTGAATGCGGTCTAACGGAAGGAGTTGGTACTGTGGCGCTCCTGCCCACAGGTGAGAACAGTATTCCATATGCGGCCTGACTTGGGCTTTATATAATTTCAGGCGGTGTTCTGGCATGAAATATCGTCTCACCCTATTGAGTACTCCTAACTTTTTGGAAGCTATCTTAGCCTTCTCCTCCAGATGACCGCAAAACTGGACGTCGCAAGATATATCAACGCCCAGAATTCCTAGACTCGACTTTTTATCAAGGGAAGTGCCCTGAAAGTGAGGAGATACGACAAACGGCGTCTTTTTTGCGGTAAACGCGCAGACTTGTGTCTTTTTGGGGTTAAATTGGACAAGATTTTGTTCACCCCAGATCGAAACTTGATGGAGTGAAGTTTCGATTTCAGACACAAGTCTATTCCGGCACTCATCGGTATGTGCCCGCGAGATCTTTGCATGACCGGTATATAATGTATCTCCTGTACTGTCGTCTGCATAGCAATGAATATTACTTATCTGTAACATATCATTGATATGCAGAATAATAAGTACAAGAAACTTATTTGCTCCATACACTTTCATTACTTTTTCAACTTCTTGGCTAAGGTATTCACTAGTGTGAGGATTACTTTCTGTATTCAAACTTTTAACGTATGCAGGTTGAGGTTTTGATATAAGAAAGTTTATTATTCCTTCATTTCTTAAATTAGACCAGCCATCGCACTGAAGGTGTAAGTAACTACAAGCATTTAGTTCCTCATTTAACTCAAAACGCATTTCTCTATATATTTTATCTAAGTATTTTGTCGCTAAAGCTTTACGTGAAGGTATTTTAAATTTTGGTTGCAATTTTTCGAAAAATTGTATCCATAAAGGATGTTGCACCATCGATAATGGCGTCCCTGTTACAAATATAGCTCTCGCTAATTCTGTTTTTATATGATCATCGGTGTCTTGAAACTCAGCATTTATTGTAGTGTTAGCAGACGACGAGGGGCTTATAAAAGAATCATTTGTCTCTATCTCTGACAGTCCAGACATTTTGGTTTTGGACGAGCTATCTTTTATAAGTTTCATAGAGTCTTTTAATGTTTCTGGAGATTTTGGACAAGTGATAAGATGTTGAAGCATTTTGGCAGCATTACTGAATTTGTAGACCTTATTACAAAGCTTGCAAGAAACAGACTTGTTTGGTAAAGTACGGTAGTGCTCCCATATGCGTAAATCTTTAGGTCTCCCCATTGAACCTAAAAAAATGAACGATGATTAGTTGGTCTGACGAAAATTCAACAATAGAGTGCCTATTTTTTTACAATGATTATTTCTTGTTATTTACAATAAATTTATTAAAAAAATAATAAAATAAATACAAAAAACCTTTGTAAAATTACATCTCCTCGGAGGATTAAACGCAGACGCTAGTTTATTATCGTATTGTTCTGTATTTTTCTCAGCAACTTCTTTAATTCGATTAGGTACTTACGCATATTATGTTAAAAATAAATATCTAGTACACATCTTAGGCTATCCACCATTATTATCCAATGACGACTCTCAGCTAACTATGCACTATCATCCAAAATAAACGTGTATGGAAAATTTTATCCCAGTCGGTTGAGGATTGAGGATAATTGCATCAACATACGAACATACCTACATACTTTTATTTACATAACGCAAGCTAAATAAAAGCTTGTAATAATACATCTAATTTTAAGTTAAAATTGTTAAGTGATCATGATATAATTGTATCATTCAAAAATCCACTTACCTTTAATTACGAGGTCTGTCCGGAAAGTTCGTATAAAAGTGTTCTGGAATGCGAGAAAGAGGAGTGGGGAGGCCAGGTAAGCGCAGGACCCCTTCCTTATGTCCCTAACAATGCTTCAGTTCTGGTCTGACCGCCGTGCGGTGCAAACTGGCTTATCACGCCATCTGTGAAGTTACCTCTTAACGAAACCCCGTCGGCATGGAGCCCGCTTTCGTTGAAGAGCAGCGCGTCGTAATCAAGTTTCTCTCGAAACTCGGCAAGAATGGCCGTGAAATTTTTGCCGATCTCAGAACAGTTTATGGGGATGATGCTGTAAAGGAACCAACGTACACAAGTGGCTAAAAAGATTCAGAGAGGGCCGAGAAAGCGTTCAAGATGACCCACGTTCAGGACGTCCTTCCACTTCACATTCCGACGAAAACGTGGAAAGAATTCGAACTTGTGTTAATGGGGACCGTCGTTTAACGGTCAGACAGGTGGCTGAAGAGCTTAATTTGGGCAAAACCGTGGTCCACGAAATTCTAAGAAACGAACTTCAAATGAAAAAAATTTGCGCCAAGATCGTTCCGTGAGTTTTTGAGTAAAAATTCCATTACGGTGACCGAACACCCCCCTATTCGCCGGATTTGGCCCCGTGTGACTTCTTCTTGTTCCCAAAAACCAAATTGGTACTTCGGGGGCGGCATTTGGGGGACATAAATGAGATAAAAAAAGCTACGACGGGGCAGCTGAGAAACCTACAACCAGAGGACTTTCAAGGAGCCTTCTCACAGTGGAAACGGCGTTGGCACAAGTGCATTATGTCACAGGGGGAGTACTTTGAAGGGGATAAAATTGATTTACCTGAATAATTGTAAAATAAAATTTTTAAAAAACTTTTATACGTACTTTCCGGACAAACCTCGTATTTCTTGTTAAGTATAAATATTATTTCAAATCTGCTCCCTTAATATGCACTTTTTTACTGCTTTTCCTACCTAACACGTTACCAGGAAGTCACGTTACCAGAGTCAGAGTAATAGTGAACACGTTTGACAGTGATTGTCGTCGCCTCATATTCAGCGTCGACGAATAGGGGAATCCCCAGTCATAATGTATTGCATGCGTGGCGGTCTTACTTCAAATCCATAAACAAAGAGATAATTACAGAACTCGATACTAGATGGCGCTGTTTTTGTTTGAAGAAAGTTTGCGGGCTAAAATACATAGAATTTCATCAATGACTTCCACAAAGAACAACATTTCTGTTTTTTCTAAGTCCGTATCTCTTCCGTATATTTCATAAGATATAAGCTTGGGCTACATTGTTATGCAACGTGATTTTGTCGCTGTCTTGCTAGCAGGGTTGACAGATATACGATTTAAATCGTACTCATACTATTATTTGTCTATTTTTTAATGTACGATCGTAAAGATTATGATCGTAATTCGCACAAAAACATACGACTTTTTGGTTACCTGGCAACATTTTTATTATGAAACGAACATGCTCACATCATCAGTCACATGCAACAATTTATTGGGGATTTCCCCTTCACATCTGGCAGTCCTGCTTGCTAGAATATAGGTAAGTCAGCCACAGTTACTGACGATCGATATTTAAAGGGTATTGTTTTTGTGCTAAATATTTCATAAAAACGTTATTTAATACTTTGTGGATTATTAATTTAGTTGATAATCACTGGAAGTAAAATGGATGCTAATTTGAGAGATCAAGATCTTCGTATAAAACAGTTAATAAAAGAAAATCTACGTAAGTACTCTTTTTATACCTAGGTAGGTAAGGTATAATAAACACAAAAGGTACTTAGATCGCGTGTGTTCGAAGCATTTATTCTAATAAATTTAATTTAAAATTGTAGAAAGAAAAAAATGTCTGCCAAGCCGTAGCCGAAGCCGATCTCCAAATATATTTGGCGATAGTGAGACCCAGTGTCCAGATGATTTACCCAGCGTCGTCGCAACAAAGAAAAAAAACGAGGATAAAGTAAAAGAAAATTTACTGAAAGAAGAAACAAACTGTTCTAAATGCTTAATTTATGGAGAAGAGGATAAAAGAAATGAGTATTTCGGACTGTTAGTGGCTCAAGAATTTAAATATATACGGCCATGTGTGCGAACGAGGTGTTATGAAGAAATTTTAAAGTATCTACGGGAAGCAAAAGGCCAACATGTTGATCAACTGCAACATGAAAACACTGAAAATTAATTACTTTCATTTTATTATATATAGATTTTTAAAATTTCCTGAAATATTATTAGTTAACGTTTTATTTAATATTGTAGAATTGATCAATACAATTTATAAAAATAATTTATTGGTATTACTTACATATTTTCAAAAAAATACGTAAAAACCTATTTTTTTGGGTGATTATGGGAGTTTATGGGTGTTTATTGGGTTTTTACCAAAGCACCGGGTTTAAACCCGGTGCTTTGCCCATCTGTACTTGCTGATAATATAAGCTAGCTATAAGGTAGCTTTCTATAGGTGAAAAAATTTGTTAAATCGGTTGAGAAGTTGTTGAATTCGTCACGATGGTCTAACTGACCTATTTTATCCTCACGTATCATTCCTCACTGGTGTCCCGCCGGTGTATACCCATAGCGCAGGTGGGGTTACCATTCCATTATCACCCATTAAAAAAATATGCTTTACATCTTAACAGCCGATATAATAATCAATATAAAAATAATCCCATTCATGTTTCTACCGTGAAGCTGTTGTGTTTGCATGGCTGTGTTTCGGTTTGAAGGGTGGGATATGGCGTGAATTTACTGGGTACAGAGGAATAACATCTGAGTCCTCAGTAATGGCAACGCATGGGGGGTATCATGGGCGAAACGGTATACTCTGTTATGTCCATGGTACTGCTCATGTCTATAGGCGACGGTTACCACTTTCCATCAGGTGAGCCGTCAGCTTGTTTGCCATTCTAAGTTGTATAAAAAATAATACCTTCGTCTTGTCATCCGCGTTGACGAACACAGCCTCCTTCCTGTCGTGGCGGACCTCTCTCAGCACGGTTCTGTAGTTGACCTTGATCTGCTTCCGTTCCACGACCTTCAGTAGCGCATCGGCGTACTTCTTCACACCAAATATCACTGGCAGACAGGTGTTAAAGGTCACATTCGATTTTGAACGGACATTGGTCTGTAATAAATTAACATTGGACGGTTAAACGTTGATAACTTCACCCGGAGGGAGATTGTATACAAATCTGTGCCACATGTGTTTTTACCTTAAATAACTTACTTACAAGGTTGTCTTTGGTTTGAAGGACTGGGTTTATTATTATTATGTTAACTGTTAACTACCCTGGGGGGAAAAGGATTATTAGCAATGGAGTTTGACAGCCCCATTGCTAGCAATATACCTTATTAGGTCGACCTCCACGTGGTTCCCCCTGGAAACCATCGTGAATAATTCTCGTTGAATTCGTCACGATGGGCTAACTGACCTACTTCATCCTCACCTATCATTCTTCACTGGTGCCCCGCCGGTGTATACCGATAGCGCGGGTGGGGCTACCATTCCATTATCATCCATTTAAAAAAAAAAACTGTTAACTACCCACTGTCAAATATAGGCGGTTTGACAACCGCAGTTAGCTTTTAGTGATATTTTAAGAACGATGCTGCTGCCCATTCCTTGTCCATTAGTTTCTTAGTTAAAGCCAGGGGGAAAGGGATTATTAGTAATGGACACTGAGAATCCCATTGCTAGCAATATACCCAACCAGGTCGACCTCCTCGCGGTTCCCCCTTGAAACTATCATGGTCAATTCCTGATGAATTCATCATGATGGGCTAACTGGCCTGTTTTCATTGTAGTTTACAGTGTATTCTGTGATGCCCACGATGTAATCCGTATTTATTAGCGATGGCCTTATTTCTATTCTAAATATCTTAAAAAAATCAAATGTATAGATAAAAGCCGAGATATTTTTTAGTATTAGTTTATATTACTTAATTACATATCTTAATATAAAAATATATAAAAATTTCATGTCCCATTGTACATTCACGCTAATTTCCGAAACCGGTTAACTGATTTTAATAAAACTTTGCAAATATATAACTTTAGAAACATTATGTTTTCTATACCAATAAGAAGAAAAAATATGCCTGATATGTGGCGATAGGAGATGAAACAGGTCAAAATAAAAAAAAATAGCTAAATGAATAAATAATAATTTATTCATTTATAGTCCTTGATACAGATACTGATGCGTTAAAGATATTATATCAGAAAACATCATGATATATCTCGTCATCAGCATATCCCTGATGACGCGATAAAAACTTATAAATATATAGTTTACATAATTAAACTATATAAAATATATATAACGATTTAGTGATTTACATCGTCGACAGATGGCGTAACATAGCACGTTATGCAAATATAAATGGCAAAATTTGCAAGAAAGATGCGAGTGGTGAATTCAAGAGACTGTACGAGGTCTGTCCGGAAAGTTCGTATAAAAGTGTTCTGGAATGCGAGAAAGAGGAGTGGGGAGGCCAGGTAAGCGCAGGACCCCTTCCTTATGTCCCTAACAATGCTTCAGTTCTGGTCTGACCGCCGTGCGGTGCGAACTGGCTTGTCACGCCATCTGTGAAGTTACCTCTTAACGAAACCCCGTCGGCATGGAGCCCGCTTCCGTTGAAGAGCAGCGCGTCGTAATCAAGTTTCTCTCGAAACTCGGCAAGAATGGCCGTGAAATTTTTGCCGATCTCAGAACAGTTTATGGGGATGATGCTGTGAAGGAACCAACCGTCCACAAGTGGCTAAAAAGATTCAGAGAGGGCCGAGAAAGCGTTCAAGATGACCCACGTTCAGGACGTCCTTCCACTTCACATTCCGACGAATTCGTCCCTCCAGGCCAGACAGTTGATGGAAAATTCTACGTCGATGTGCTCAGACGCCTCAAAGCTCGTGTGGCACGAGTTCGTCCAGAATTGGCGCGAGAGGGGCGTTGGATTCTTCACCACGACAATGCCCCTGCCCACACCTCTCTTGTTGTCCGTGAGTTTTTGAGTAAAAATTCCATTACGGTGACCGAACACCCCCTATTCGCCGGATTTGGCCCCGTGTGACTTCTTCTTGTTCCCAAAAACCAAATTGGTACTTCGGGGGCGGCATTTGGGGGACATAAATGAGATAAAAAAAGCTACGACGGGGCAGCTGAGAAACCTACAACCAGAGGACTTTCAAGGAGCCTTCTCACAGTGGAAACGGCGTTGGCACAAGTGCATTATGTCACAGGGGGAGTACTTTGAAGGGGATAAAATTGATTTACCTGAATAATTGTAAAATAAAATTTTTAAAAAACTTTTATACGTACTTTCCGGACAAACCTCGTATTTATCAATAGCATGAGAGTTCTTTTCTTTATACATTAAAATATATAACAATAATATTTCACAAAGGAATATCAAACAAATGGCTATTATATTACAGTTTATTATACCATTATACCTACAACATTAGCGGAACAATGACTTATTATAAATCAATTTTAGATTACTAACACAGCGCATACAGCTGTCAAGCAATATAGGAGTCTAAAAAATGCATTTTTTTTTATACAACTTAGAATGGCAAACAAGCTGACGGCCCACCTGATGGAAAGTGGTACCCGTCGCCTATAGACATGAGCAGTACCATGGACATAACAGAGTATACTGTTTCGCTCATGATACCCCCATGCGTTGCCATTCCTGAGGACTCAGGTGTTATTCCTCTGTACCCAGTAAATTCACGCCATATCCCACCCTTCAAACCGAAACACAGCCATGCAAACACAACTGCTTCACATAATAACAGTAAAAGGCAGAAACAGAAATCTATTCAGATTTCAATTAAATTTGGGTATATATCCGTAGATAGACATTATTTTTTTATCAAAATTAATGCGAGAAAATCCACGCGCTATACATAGTATAATTTAATATCTCCGTTTGTACCAACCTTGGTGAAGTAGGATTCAGCTAAATAAGCAATTTTCTGAGGAGCACCGGGACACTTAATCAAGGAATCGGGATATGTAAATATAGCATCCCCACCCTTGAACCTCTGCAGGTCTCTCCAAGTGTTCCCGCAGTACTCCGGTGCATATATTGTTGACACACCGCTGTTTTCATCATCCAGGGCTTCACTGAGACCAGGAACCTAAAAGTGTTCAATATTTGTATACATTACTTCTATGTCCAACACAAATTATTAGGGAGGAAAGGGATTGTTAGCAATGGAATTTGACAGCCTCATTGCTAGCAAAATGCCTTATTAGGTCGACCTCCACGTGGTTCCCCCTGGAAACCATCGTGAACAATTCTTCTTGAATTCATCACAATGGGCTAACTGACCTACTTCATTCTCACCTATCATCCTTCAATGGTACCCCACCGGTGTATACTGATAACGCGGGTGGGGTTACTATTCCATTAAAAGAACACAAATTTTTATTTTTTCTTTTCCTCCCTTCTTAACATTATGTATATTTTTTTTATGTACAATAATAATATTAATTTCTTCAATTACTATTTACATTTACATATTATATCATATCCCTTTAAAATAAACTATTAATTTACATATAATAATGTTTTAATAAAAAAACACAATGACAATATAGTATAACATACGCATACTTCGTTTAAGCTCAAATAAAGTGCGAATATTTTTTATTTTATTTAAATATTACTGCATATAAATTGAAACATCAATAAACTAGTGACCTAGTCTCCACATTAGAAGTACTTGTGCCGTGGGTGACTAGTTCACTCTGTGTTACAGAGAACAATAACAGCTGTGTCCTAAAAACTAGAAAATATATAATAATATAATATAAAAACTAGAAGATATATAAACATACTTATAAAATATATAATAGTTTCGAAGACTCAGCAAATTATATACAAAACTTTATCTCGTGAGATTTATTGCGAGTTTAAAAAAAATAACTATTTATATTCAATAACAATTATGGTTTGTAAGAGATTAAAAAATAAAGTGTACATCCATTTTTAAACATAAGTCCTTATCTAAGACACAGTTTGATGAAAGATCTTTATATACTTGTAAACGTGGAAGGACCTGTTGGAATCCGAATATTTGGCATTCTGTTGTTAATATATTTATAATACCTCAGTGAGGAGATAAGTAGGTAATTTATAACAATATAAATTATATTAATTTATTATAAGATTTTTCCTTGTGCGTCCAGTCATTGTACAGCCTCTAAATATGCAAAAAATATGAGTAATATCAAATAAATAAAATACTGGATGCAGATTCTGTACAAAGATGAAACGTATTATTTACATGAATAAAAATAACAGCGAAATGGACTTACCTGGCGATAATCATTTTGTAAGCCCACAGCTATCACTATGTACTCGTAATTTATGACGTGACCTTCTTTCGTCTTCACAAACCCCTTTTCTGGGTCAATACAATCCGCAGCATCCCTTATCCATTTCGCATTAGCTGGTAACACACTCTGTTCTAATCTACGCGTGTCCGACACTCTGGTCACACCAGCGCCAACTAGCGTGAACAGGGGTTGATAGTAGTGATCCTATAAAATAAAATTTAAAATAAATAAATAATAATATGGCGATATCGTATAGGTCAGTTCTTTTCAATCTTTTCCATAACGCGACCCCCTTATTATATAAAAATATATCTTATGATCCCTTAATATATAAAGATATCTTGCGACCCTCTACCCTTTATTGTTTCAAATGTGTATGAATTTTATTATAGCGTAATTATAAAATCCGTATAGTTGTATTTATATTCATAGTTAGGCCTGAATAAAATAAATAATACATAATAAAGTATCTAAAACAGACATGTAATCGATGTATTTACGGAACTGTTGATTTTTCACTGCTTCGCCACCTTCCACGACCCCCTTGTAGGCTTGTAGGCTTGGGACCTCCCAAAGATTCGCGACCCACACTTCGAAAAACACTGATATAGGTAAATGCAAGATAGGAATACAACTTCGATCACTGGAACTTAATGGGTGCAAATAACTTATAACTTTCTTCTGAATGCAATCATCATTATTACCATTGTTAAGATGATAAAATCATAGGAAGGATGAGATTAACGGTTTGAGAAGGATAGGCGGTGCAGAATATTATATTACACCAAGTCTCTTGTAAGACAGATACTGACATATTTAAGATTATTTCCACCCTCCTTAAGAAAGACATATCAACTATTTTCTGTTGTTATCTTAATTTGCTGCCCATCGCTCGACCATTAAGATTCCTTAGTCACCTCTTACAATACCAACACACAGCATCCTGGGTAGGGTAGCACCAGACAATTCTGGAGTGCCCGCCTCCTTACATACACCTTTGGAGGTAAATAAAACTGAATGGTGGAAGCCTTTATCTTTATATATAAATTATAACTTATTAATAATACAAAATATATGATTGATAACACATAATGCTACTTCCAGTAGAGGACAAATTACAGCCATGTAACCTTCTAATAGCAACAAAGTGCAATCTTGTTGCCTATCAACAATATTTATTATCTATTGTTAGTATTGCACTACAGTAACAGGTGATAATTTCAAACTGTGTAGATATAATCATATATATATATATATATATATATACCTGTTACTAAAAGTCTAACAAAATAAATAATCATACTTTCTTGTTTCTTCAAATTCTCAATATCTTCATTATTGTTATTAGTTTAAAATTTTACACTTTTATATATATTTTCATACTTTGCCTGACTACAAACAGAAATTTCTTCCATTATTAGTTCCACTGTTCTAGAAAGCTTTCTTAATTAAACTTATATGAGACTCACAAACACATTAAAACAAAAAGTGTACCTACACTGTCTACCAACTTAGTTAAAGTTTTTATAATATTTAAAATGGCAAACAAGCTGACAGCCCAACTGATGAAAAGTGATAATAGTTAAATACATGAATAACAGCATGGACATTATAGAATATAAGGTGATGACCCTTTTGCCTTTCATATATTGTCATTTATGAAGCCTCCAGTGTTATACCTCCATACACTATAAAAAAAACAAACTTACTCCACTGGGTTCCAGAACTATGACAGCATCCTTTTTGAGTCTCCGGGCAAATTTGGCTGCAATAGTGCAGCCCCCAGAACCTCCACCAACGACTAGCAATTTACATCTAGAAGAGAAACAAAAAGCTTAGTCACAGAGTATAATTTTAAATTTATTACACATTCACATTTTATTGTAAATACTATAAAGTTACAAAAAACATTCATGTGCAATTTTCTACCTGCAAATCTGCAAATGATTAGATGAATTGGTGGAAAAATAATAAAAAATATATTTAAGTATATATATTGGGCTGTAATTAAATTCCTATGTAAAATATTATCATAATATTTGTCATAAATGAAGAATTGACATAAGTTCCTTTACCAAAGATATTTAAAAGTACTGTATGGTACATTTTTAAGTTGATAGATAAATAATTGGTGTAATGCACTGACTAGATTAATAATGGAACATTCAGTTTACTTCTCTTAATTAAAATTATCTTTAGATTTAAATAATTTATAAACATTAAAATAAGTTGTTTCTTAATAAATAATTAATTTGTTAAAATTGTAGAAAATTTTAAATTTAACATTCATGGGTGAACACGCATCCACATAAACAAACCCACTGGCTAAATCTTTTTGCCTTCTATCTATTTATGATAACATACAACTTAATTTGTATATTAATTATTTATGAAAATGGTATTATTTTGTTTGATTATTATTTTAACTGACTAAAGAAAGGATTTCTACATTTCATCTTTTTAAATAATGAATTTTATGCTCTTCTTTTATTTTTTATTATGTGATCCCTGTTTCACAATCGTACATAATTAATCTCATTGCCTAGAGCTATATATAGGTACATATTATAAAAAATAATACTTACGAGAAACTAGCATTATTTGTTGAAGAAGCAGAAAAGTTTCTAGAAATTCCCGGTGACGATATATTACAAAGTTTTCGTACTATGTTCATTGTAGTATCTATACAGAAGATTCGATCGTGAATACGTGACTAAAATATGAAATAACTTAATAAATATTTAGGTATTTAACTAATTTATAATAATTAATATTAATAATAAATTCACTGGTGGACAAGACTAACAAAATTGTTCAACCAATTCGGACTAAAATAGTTTAACAAATAGAATTATATACCCAAATGCCAAGAGTATATAACCAAATATATACAAGTTAATTTATATTAAGATAACTGTTGACTATAGTCATATGAACACTCTTCACAGATACTAACTGCAAAATACTTCATTGTAGCAATACAGAGAAGCAAAAATTGAGCACAGATTATAGAAACAGTGTAAAGATTAGCGATGATCGACTTTACTACTGAGAATATTAGTTATTCGATTGAGTACATCCATGGATTAATCCAATCAAATCGTTCGACTACTAATATTACTCCTTACTACTAATTTTATCTGACTACGAATTTTTTTTGTTGCCATCTATTGTACACCTATTGTTATAATAGTGGAAAAAGGTATAAGAGGGAACAGAAAACAGACTTAGTAGTAGACGATTAGGTAAAATTTGTTGTTACTAATTAATAAAGTCACTCGTACACAAAATATACTATATTACTAATTTGGTAATTGAATTATGAAATTAATAAATACCTACTAATTATTTGAATAATGAAATCATTCGAATTCAAGCACCATTAAGGCAAAGACTTAGATTAGCGATACGCTAATTTACTAATATGACTACTAAGCATTCAATTGAATAACTCGTTGTATTATATTACTATTAATTTTATTCATTTACTATAGTGGCTTTCTTATCGCCAAATTAATTTATTAGTAGTTGTTTATATACGAGTTGGTACGAACGTAGTCGATTGTCAGCATGATAAGACTTTTTGCTATTTTAGTATATGCAGTAAAAATTAGTAATAGTTGATATTTATAATCTATTTATCAGATATTCAACAGTATTTTTCTGTTTTTCTATATACTACCACCTATTGGTAACATTGATTAGTAAAATTATTAAGATACAATAATTAATATATTTCTGATTTACTAATCGATTTTTATAATATGAATAATTACTTATTAGTAAAGTATAACCTATTGTTATAATTTTCATTATCTGTGGTGCAAGTCTATTGTTGTGGTCTGTGCTGTGTTTATAAAAAAATATAATATAAAATGGCGGACGACGATGAGATTGACGTCTTAGGAGATTTCTCTTTTAATTCTTGTTTTGCTCAAAATAGTCAAGGAATGTATGTATACTTTATTATTTGTTAACACACAGTCGCTACTAAAATAATTGTTTATATTATTTTGGTGTTAATTGTTCTCAGCTTATTTGGTTATGTTGACATTGTTTGTTGACAATAATTTCTTATTAAAAATTGTTTTTTCTTGAATTACGGGGCTTTTCGGAATTCACTTTCATTTTAAAATCTTATAATATAATTTTGTGAAATTGAATATTCTCAGCAAAAATAATTATAGTTTGATATTTGCTTTAATTAATCTTATAGCCCTTCTTGTTCTAATCGCGAGGATACAGTGCACCCACAGTGGCTTCTTGACTCTACTGCTACCAACTGGTATGATATCCAGAATAAAGGTTCACATAGGTAAGCTTAAGAATCAAAAATATCATATAGATACTAAAGAACAAACTGGAAAATATCGAATCCCTTTAGGACTCAATTTATATGATACACAATATTGGTAACTGTAATAACTGTGCAGAGATAACTTATTTAATAAATTATTATAATATATAAATAGAACAGACCTATATGGACTTTAGGAATGATCTGTATATCATGAAACAGAAACAATTATGTAATCATGCAGTTACTACAATTTAAAATGGACAAAATTCATTATTTATTCCCAGTGTCTACATCCAAGAACATTTCTAATATGTTTTATTATATACCTAAGTATAATTTAAATCTTTATTTTCATATGAAAACAATATTTACTGTTTGTGTTATGACTTCTTAATGGAACATGTTATATCAAAGATATGTTTGAAGATAAAGTTTCATAACCAATTACATGCATAAATATTAAAAACATTTTAATAAATATAGTGGAACAAAGTACAAATATTTTGAATAATATTATATAATTGATAGAATTCAAACAATTATTAAATGAAATTATGTTGTTATGTTCATACAATAACTTGTTATAACTTTCAGGGAGGGAACAAAAACTACATCAAGTAGTTCATTAGAAAGAGACACTACTGATATCTACACAGCATGGACGGCAGCTGAGAGAGACACATTAGAGAAAGAAATGGTAGGATAAAAGAATTTTATAATAAAATTGCTATTTGACTCTGCACCATATAATAATTTACCATATACACCTATCCATACATATTAGCTACCCAGTCCAGCTTCTCAAAGTTGGAAATTGTACTTGGAAATCTTTGAAAAAAATCTAAATGATAGTGACCTAGAGATAGAACCTATATAAAACTGTATTGTGTGGACAGGAGAAATAGATGTAAACAGTTAATTTATCTATTATTATGTAAAGAGATATTTACTATTTAAAGTTTTAATATAATGGCTGCATACATTTTCAGGCAAAATATGGCAGAAATATCAGTAAAATATCACAAACATTGAAAACAAAGACTGAGGTAGAAATTCAAGCTTTAATTGATGCAGAATACGGTATTCTTCTTGATACCCCAACATTTGTGTTGGAGAGTGAAGAACCTGACGGTGTACCATCAGTGGTTCAGGAGGAAATAGTGACAGATGACACTCCAAATATCATTGATGCCATCGAACCAAATGCAAAATTAAAAATTCCAAAAAAGAAATATATCAAATCAAAAAACAGTTTATTAAAACCAGATGTGTTACACAATGCAAAAATTGGTACAGTGGATATAGACCCCAAAGAGATATTCTATGAAGACGACTTGATGTTAGGTTCAACTGAATCTATAGGGTCTGATATGGACTTAACAGATATTGTATCACAAAATATTGAAAAGTATCAGAAGGCAAAAGTTGGTAAGAAAATGGGTAATCATAGAAGGAAAATATCTGGCAGTGATAAAAACAAACAGAGAAATAAATCTAAGGATCTCATAAAATCACCTCAAGGGAGACAAAGGAAAGATTCTAATTTATCAGAAGATAATACAAAGAGTCCCAGAATGCAAATAATTTTAGGTTCAGGGCAGGCTTTGCCCTTGTCAGAAGGGGAGCAAGTGGTAAGGATATTTTAGGTGTAATAAAACAGTATATACTTATTTTCCAATTCTCTTTAATAAGTTACATATTGTTTTTGCAGATAAAAATTGAGAAAAAGAAAGACTCTGATCCAGAAAGTGATATAGAAGTAGATATAGATAGTGATAATGATAATTCAATCAAAAATAAAACAAAAACTGATGAAACTGAGTCGAAATTGGTTGATGAGGCACCAATAGCTGTGCCTCTCAGTAACTTTGAACCAATGCCAAAGAGGCAGAAAAAAATTATGAATCTGGTATGTTTAAAACTTTAATAATAATGATATTAATATATCTTTATTAATAATAATGAATGATCATGAATGATAAACATTTTCATGGTGATGATCAGCAAATTTGCTATTCAAAATTCAAACCAAAATATTAAAAAAAAAAAATATTTATTTTAAATTATTTGGATTTTTTTTAAATTATTTTAAAAAAATCCAAATTTAGTAATCATATAGAAAAAATCATAATTTGTACTTCATCACTGCATGACTTAATGGATGCTACACAAAACATAGCCTAGATGGCAAAGTTCTTGGCTGCAAAAATTTATTTTCTTGCTATCAACTTGTAGAGTGTTTTATATTGTATATCAGATTCAAAATTTGTTATTGTCGTTCCATGTGGTCTTGACATAGAATGGGCCATCCCTTTTTTCCCATGGGTGTTATAAGAGGTGCCTAAGGAAACTTAATGGTCGAGGATTGGGCAGCAGCATCCTTTTAAAACCTCACCAAAGCCTAACTGCGACAACTCACTCAACATTTTTGTTGGCAACTCACCTGCCAAGTGTGGCAATTACTGGGAGAGTCCTATATTATGGTCAATAGTTGATATGCTGATAATGATGATTGTGTTAACTGTTGCATGTCGTATAGGCGGGAGACGGCGGCTACACAATAATGCACACGGAGGCCGGCGACCTTGTAGCGGTGGGTACTGAGCCGCGCCGGAGGCCGCGTCGACCGCCGCGGCCTCAGCAGCAGCCCATACCGTTGCTTCCTTGCCGCGTCTACAATGCTGACAAGCCGGTGTGTATTAAACGCGTTTATATTGAATTGTACTTATATCTACATTATTTGCAATTTTTCGAAAATACAATTAAATCCCTTTAACTGTATTTTTGTCTATGCACAATTTTACTATGTTGATATTTTTGCCCTGTTCCCATTTAGAAGTTCCTGCATGACTTTATTTAATTTCTAAGGGAATAGCAGTGAAAATGCATTAATATTATATTATACCTTAGTTCTGTGGAATTATGTTAACAATAACCAGTCGCTAATTTCCATTGTAAATTTTTTGTTATATAACATTGCATAAAAAACTAATGAATACTCAGCATTTATTACTAAACATGTGTGTAGGCTCCATTCCGCGTGCGCATGTACGTATCGGCGCTGATCAGTATGGACGCGCACGCGCACACGTCCCGCGCCGAGGTCATGGGGCTGCTCGGCGCCGCGCCGCCCGCGCCGGCCGCGCCGTCCGTGCCCGCCGACGACGCACTGCACACCGTCACCGTGGTCTCGTACCGACCCGCAGCCGCCTCTGCCGAACTCACACACTGTGATATGGATCCCGGTATATGAAATAAGATAATCGAAGCTTACTGGGTATTTAATATACGAATATCTACAATTCACCACTGTCACGTAAATGTACAAGTCATCTAAAAATTTTAATAAGTTTAAATATGAGGAGTAAAACAGAAGAAAATTCGTTTACAAAGTAATTTGGTGGCACAAATATATTTTTAGTTATTTTTCAATAATTTTTTTTTTTTTTTAAATATATCTGCAATTGTATAAAATTGCTTTAGACTTATACAAATCCTCAGTCTCGTTATATCCGTGGTGGCGTTGTGGAAAATTAAAATAATTTCCATACCACTGCATATATGTCGCTCTTCTCTATATATCGTTTGACCACGATGCCAAAAGTCGTATGACACTAGAGTAGATGATTAAGGCTGTGAAGTAGTGAAGTTGACGAGCGTGGCGCGGCAGTGTCGGCGGCGGCGGCGGCGGCGGCGCTGGGCGCGGGCGGCGGCGGCGGCGCGGCGGGCTGGCACCACTCGCACCCGCGCTGGGCGGCGGCGCCGTCGGCGCGCGACCTGAACACGCAGCGCCGCCTGCAGCGTGCGCTCGAGCGCGGCCCGCCCTTCCTCGCGCTCATCACCTCGCAGCACTGGCCCGTCGGCCGCACCGCCTCGCACTACCGGTACTCACATACTCATAGCGCTACTCCAGCAAACAAATAAAAGAGATCCCTTTTTCCTAAACTATAGTTCAGTCACCTCATATTTTTTTTTTCTCAAACATGCTTGAAAATGTGAGCATTATTTTGACAATCTTCTTAGAATTTTTTTTTTTTTTTTTTGTCTTTGTATATACTACGATCTGTCTCCTTGCTGGGACAATAAATAGTATTTTTGATTTATACTTTAATGGCGTGCTCAGTATGCGACTTTAGTCGCATCCTACTTTATTTTATAGAATCATGTCTTGGGGCATTCTGCGTTTCAGTCTGCAAGTTGTGTGATTTACGTCCATAAGATCTCTTGCCAGTCTGTTAGGGTGTTTTGTTATCCTCTCCTTGTAGGATTGTGTGTATTGTAGTATTTCCTGTCTAACAGTTCCAATTTTTAGGTCATGATGTAGTTGCTCGTTTGTGACAAACCAAGGAGCATTAGTTATTATTCTCAGCATTTTATTTTGGAATCTTTGTAAAATCTCGACATTGGAATGAGACGCTGTTCCCCAGAGCTGGATTCCATAGGTCCAGATAGGTTTTAGTACCGTCTTGTATAGAAGCAGTTTATTGCTCAGAGACAATTGTGACTGGTGACCTAATAACCAGTAAAGCTTTCGCATTTGTAAACCCAATTGTTTGCGTTTGGTCATTATATGTTTTTGCCAGGTAAGTCGTCTATCCAGGTACAGACCTAAATATCTTACATTGTCTGCTTGAGGGATTTCTACATTGTTAAGCTTCACTGGGGGGCAAATACCTTTTTTAGTGTGAAGGTAACATTAACCGATTTTGATTCATTAGCTCTTATTCTCCACTTTTTTAGCCAGGATGAAATGTTATCTAAAGCCGTTTGCAGGATCTGCGTCGCAATTGATGGATCTTCGTGGGATGCTAATATGGCAGTATCATCTGCAAATGTTCCAGTGGTGACATTTTTTGAAGTAGGTAGGTCAGACGTGTATATTAGATAAAGTATTGGCCCCAGTACGCTACCTTGTGGGACTCCTGCATTGATAGGACAGAGACCTGATAATGCCTAGCCTTGTTGGACTAAAAAGTGCCTGTCTTGTATGAAGGATTTCAGAATTTTGTAGATGTAGTTGGGTAGTAAGGTTTTCAATTTAAATAATAGACCATCATGCCACACTCTATCGAATGCTTGTGAAATGTCGAGAAAAGCACTAATGCAATATTTCTTAGCTTCAAAAGACTTGTCTATTACATTTAATAGCCTGTGGATCTGATCTATCGTGGCATGTTTACGACGGAAACCGAATTGATGCTCTGGTATCAGTTTGTGTTGTTCTACTATTGGTAACATTCTCTGTGATAGCAGGGACTCATAAATTTTTGCAGGTACTGGAAGAAGGCTAATCGGTCTGTATGATTTTGGGTCTTCAGGTTGTTTGTCCGGCTTTAGTAACATAATTATTTGTGCAACCTTCCACTGGGGCGGAATAAAGTGTAGTCTGGTAATTGCGTTATAAATTGCTGTGAGTAGCGTCAAACCAGAGTCGGGCAATTCTTGTAAAATCTTATTAGTAATTAGGTCGTAGCCTGGTGATTTTTTAGGATTAGCTCTTTGGATTACATTTTTAACCTCCTTTTTCGTGAATTTTTCTGGTGTAATAAAATCCTGATCTGGAGAGTTCAAAAATTCCTTTACCTTGGTCTCGTGTTCTGGTAGACCTTCATAAGGATGAGGTTGGAAAACATTTAATAGATGCTTCGAAAACGTGTTAGCTTTTTCTTCGTCACTACGGGCCCAACTGTTATCTGCTTTTCTGAGTGGATGTGAAATTTGTATCGGCCGTTTGATTTTTTTGGTAGCTTTCCATAGGGAATAATCTGTAGCTTTAGTAGCGTCAAGACTTTCGAGATATGCTTGAATTCCTGAATTACGGTCTTGTTCTAATATGCGCTTAAGCTCCTTTACTTTTTTGTTTAGGTGCTTTTTTAATTTAGGGCATCTACTTTTTTGCCACAATTTTCTAATTTCTCGTTTGTCTTTGATTTTATCCTGAATTTTTGATGGTATTTGTTGGTCGGCAGATTTATATTGGCTTAATGGAGTCGAATTCCATGCAGCATTTTGAATGGTAGTGTTAAAATATTCAACGGCATTTATGATATCGTTTTCTGTTTGGAGTGAAATTGGTGCAGCAAATGCTACACTCACAAAATCCCGAAAGAGAAGCCAATTAGTTTTTTGGTTGTGTAACGTGCATTTTTTACTGGTTTCTTTGACCCTAGTTGTGACTTCTAGTAAGATAGGAGAATGATCCGATGATAGGTCCCAACAACTATAACAGGATATGTTGGGTTTTGCTATACCTTTGGTGATGCAGAAGTCAATAATATCCGGTATTTTCCCTTTGTCTGTAGGCCAATATGTAGGTTGACCAGATGAGATCACATTCATAGACCTTGCCTGCACGCATTTGAGAAGTTCTCGGCCCCTAGGCAAGGTAAGTCTGGAGCCCCAAAACGTGTGTTTAGCGTTGTAATCGCCAGCAGCTATGAAACGACTTCCAAGTGTTTTGAAATAATCATCAAAATGTTGATTTTTGATAGTGTGCTTTGGAGGGCAGTAAAGCGCCGATACTGTCAGGTTGCTGATCCAATCGCAAACTACTACACTGGTTGCTTGGATGTAGTCCTTACAATATGACTGAGACTGATAGTGTTTGATATTGCTTTTTATCATAACAGCTGAGCCACCATGAGCTTTGCCATGTGGATGCATAGTATGGTATAAAGTGTAATCTGGGATTTCGAAAAAGCTCTTGGATGTGAAGTGGGTTTCGGAGATTAACATAATATCAATCTTGTTAATTTTAAGAAAAAATTTTAACTCATTTGAGTGGTTTGACAGGCCATTAGCATTCCAGACACATATTTTTAGTGCAGTGAATGTAACGGCAATCTTGACATGATTTCTGCTAGCATTTGGGTCATTTTCAGCATTTGGCTCATAAGTGCCTGTATTGATTCATTAAAGATGCGGAGGGTGTCTGACATGTGATGTTCGGAGTTTGTGGGGTTATCATTTATGGTGGGTTTTGATGTTGATTTGGAAGCCGATGCATATGATGATTTTCCTGAGTCATTGTATGTCTGATTTGGCCTGATAGTTGAATCTGGTTTGTATGTTCGAGGTATTTTGATATTAGGAGGCTGATATTTGATCTTTTGTAGTTCTTTATATACGATACAACCTTTGTAATTGGCAGGATGGTTTCCTTCACAAAGTATACATTTTACTTTATCCGAACGTTCCTTTCTAGAACAGTTAGATGTGTGGTGGGATCCTGCACATTTGACACATTTAGGTTGTCTATGACAGAATTTTTGTGTATGCCCATATTGCTGACAGTTGGAACATTGGGGGATTACACGTTTAGGTCTTGGTGGTTCAAACTGAACACAACAGTTGAGTAGAAACTTTATATTATAAATGTCTTTGTTGTTAGGACTGGGTTGTAAATCTATGTAGAACATGGGTAGTGGTATTTTTGTTTTACTATTTTTTATATTCCAGATATTAGTAGGTTTATGATGCTGCTCTTCCAAGGCGTGTTTTTATTCTTCAATATCCGTTGAAGGGTGGATACGTTTAAGTACCACTCTAAAGCTCCTCTCTTGCTTTGGTTGGTAAGTGAAAAACTCGGTGTTTCTGTTTTTCAGTTCTTTATATATAATAGAGTAAGACTCTGGGGATTTTGCTTGGATTTTCACACGTTCTCCCTGTAATATTTTAATTTCATAGTCACCAGTTGCTACATTTTCTAACATTTTTGTAAGGGGCTGGATATTACTGACTCTGTCAACAAAAAGAGGTGGAGGTCTAACTACTTTTTGTGTTGTCTGCTCTGTGATTTTTGATTGATTGGTATTTTCTAGTTCAGAAAAGCTATTTGAAGTTGGTATTGGACTTGATAGCCAGTAATTACTCAGCTTCATTTGTTTTTGATTTCGTATCATTGCTTCAGGACTATTTCTTAATCTTTTACGATTAATCACTTCTTGCCAGTTTTGTGTGTTAATTGATTCGTTTATAACAATTCTTTCTGTATGAAGTGATGTATTCTCAATTTTTTTGTTTGCAGGGTTATCTTCGACTACCTCAGCTTCAGATGAAGTCAAGAGTCCGCTGAATGAGTTTGATCTGGGTCTGTTTAAGAACATTCCTCTATGAAATTTTTGCTGAGCGACGTTGGGTTTAGGATCACTCGTTTCCTTATTTTGTGTAGTTAATACATTAGGGCGAGATTTGCCCCCCCCAGAATCCGAGGGGCAGCCTGAACTCTGTTCCGAGAAACATTGTTCAGAGAGGGATTCTCCACAAATTGTGGTACCCTCCTGGGGTATGTTTGTTTTGTATTCCGCCATTTCATGTAAGGTTTTGCTGGTCCACAGCTTCGTCTTTTCTGTCGGGGTGAGATCCCTTAGGCCACATCTTACAGGACTAGAGGCATGCCCATGCCTGCTGGTTTTGGTTCGCGCTAGGTATTTGATTTCCCTAGTACCTCCCATATCTGGGGGGCGTTCCCCTATCCACCACCTGGGGACGCGGTCGATTGGAGGGCCAGCAACTCCACACGACTAAATTAGAAATAAATCAAAATTGCCGTACTGGCCAGATACATGCGGGCAGCGGCCGGCAAAAGTTGTATGAAAATCTATATCTGTCGTGTTTTGCGGCCAAATAAATTACTATGTAAACTCATATCTGTCCTGTAATTTAAAAATGGAATGACCTTTTAACTCGATACATGGCTACCAAGGAGGTAACTAATACAAGGTTTTATTTACATTTCGAACTGGCTTGCAAATAGAAAGCTGTTTATTGAAAAAGAAAACAAAGGAACATTATGGCGCGTGAAAAATTATTATTGTTCGTTGTTCGTCATTGAACTTAAAAAGTAAAATTGTGTTTTTGATTTCCGCGCATTGTTTGAGAAAAGTACTATACAAGCCTTGGCCACAACTAGGCATTGATGGACTCACTTATCTCCTATCGACCTCGGTCCACATTTGCACGTTCGTCCATCAATGCCTCAGTTGCTGGCCGCTGCAATAATGTACTATTTCTAACAGCTGATTAACTCACGTTTCTTTTTCTCATACAACTAATATGGAAAAGAAATAAACCCCATTCTAGCAATATAGTCCGTCAGGTTGATCTCAAGGAAACCATAGTCATTAGTTTTTGCAATATTCGTTATGATGAACTAACTGACCTGCTTTTATCCTCATCATGTCTCACTAGTGCCCCACCAGCGTACACCGATATCGCAGGCTGGGTTACCATTTCATTCTCACACATTTAATAATACATCACATAATATTTCTCTTTTTTCTTTTACATTTATAATGTATTTATAGATTTATATCACTCACTTCCGATATAAATGCATCTTGCTGTCTACTTACCCCCTTATTCATAAAAAAATATAAATATTCATAAAACCTTAATAGTTTCAGTTCAGTTCAATAGCTATAATTAGCTATTGAACTGTTTTGTCTTCTTCTTTTACATTAAATTCCAAATTTGAAAAAAAAATGACAAAACAGTTACAATAGATTTGTAGATGGTTATAATTTTTATGAATAAATGAGTTAATCTTTATTTCAGCTCGATTTTAATGCTCAAGTTTAAAACTCAACAGTCCATATTTCATGAACGATGTGATCCGTGAATTAAATATATATTTAAATTTTTTACAGTTGCATTCGCGTAGAGGAAGACGAGGGTGACGAGAACAACCCGGTGGGATACCAGCTCAGCGTGAAACTGGTTCCAGACCTCACCCTGGATAACCTGCCGGCCTACCTCGAAGAGATCATCACAATCCTGTGCTATGAGACAGATACGAGTCCCAGCCAGTACATGGTCGACTTAGCCAATGATATCTGTCCTCAGGCAAAGATGTCTTATCTCGAAAAGGTAAGTAAAATATTGCTTCAATTATTTATTTATATGCTTTTGTAAAAAAAAAAAATGTTTTTTTATGCAACTTAAAATGGCAAACAAGCTGACGGCCCACCTGATGAAAAGTGGTAACCGTCGCCTATACATTATATCAAGTTATTGAAAATTAAATGAAAAAAATGAAAAATATTTATTTCATAACAAAATTGGTACAATACAAAGTTTTTTTTATACAACTTAGAATGACAAACAAGCTGACGGCCCACCTGATGGAAAGTGGTAACCGTCGCCTATAGACATGAGCAGTACCATGGACATAACAGAGTATACTGTTTCGCCCGTGATACCCCCCATGCGTTGCTATTTTTGAGGACTCAGGCGCCTCTGTACCCTGTAAATTCACTTACAGTATGAATATTAGGTTATAACAAAAATGTATACAGGTAAACTTTTCCTTAAAGGACTTCTTCGACTTTGAGAACCTAAAACGAGAAAGTGTCCTAAACATAGTGATTGTATACAAATCGTAACGTATATGGCGCAAAAATAATACAATAAGTAATAAATTATCAGTAACAATATATTTAGTAACAGAGTATAGATAAATAAAATTATATATACAGGAACGGGGAATGGGACAGAGGTGCCCAAGCAAACGACTTTTGTACAAAGTCATCCTCTGATATAATTTATGTAATAATATTGTCAATTTCTCTAACAGTGTATTTCAAGTATATCCCACCACATGCGCTCCGCCGGCTACGATGACGAGGACCCCGTCGTGACACGACTGATACAAGGCATCCGGGACATCTTCAGATAACACGCAATTGAAAATTAGCTGGTTTTTCAATTATGTAATCATTGCTTATATTGACTAGTTGATGGAAGCAATGGTACGGAATGGCCAATTCCGTGTGGGATCCGAGAAGAATGCGACTTATTGTGGCTTTGTTTCGTAAAAGAGAAATTAATGTGTGATATTGGATTTGTTTTTATTTTTTAAACACACATTCACTAATATTTTTCCAATAACTTTTAAACTAAGTCAGTGTCTAGTTTGGCAAGGCAGTAATTCAGAATACATACCATATTACAGTACATAAGGCAGACAACAAAATTTAAAAAAAATATTGTTTTGGTCTCTATTCGTCTTATTAAGATCCCTAATATTATTTTTTCTTGAATATCACCCATGCACAGACATAGTCTAATTACAATTTTAATATATTAAAAATAATTAATAAAACAAAAGAAAGTGGAGATAGAAAAAAAATACTAAAACTATTCTCTCTCTCTCTTTCTCTAGCGGACATAAACAAACCTCTTTAAAAGTGAAACTTAGAAGCGTAAAACATACAGATTGAATCGATTCAAAAGTGAGCAAAGCATTGTTTGATACGTATAAATTTTTCTTTATTCAATTGCAATATTGAAATAAGTACAAAATAGTCTTTTCATAATTTCTAGGCGTTTAGCGTCGAATGCAAAATTTTATAGGTGGAGATTTTATTTATTTTAATTTTAAGAAAGTATGGCAAGTTTGACTGCTATTTGAGAATAACTTAATTTTTGTACCATTATGTAATTACATTGTGTAACATATATAATAAATGATTAATATATAAAACTAAGGGAATTGTGCCTAAAAGACAATAATGCGTCGAGATACGCGAAGATGAAGAAAATAAAGAATTGTAAGCTCATAACAACAATGGAGCTAAATATGTATAATATAATTTGTGTACATAATTGTTTATTTTAAACTCTCCCTTTCGTTAGTGTTTTACTTAACTAAATAATTTTATGAGTGAATTCGTTAAACCTTGATCTTTGAACACAAACATTAAGTTCTTTATAGAAAATTCCAATTCTGCCAACGCCCATGTATTGTGTACATAAGATTGTAAAGGTATGAGAATGTAAATAAAATAATTATAACATTTCGCAATTTATTTTTTCGTAACTTGTACCTATATTTATATATGTATAAACAAGAGAAAATAGATACAACACATTCTATAAGAATGACAACCGTATGTTGTCCATACGACTCACCTGATGATAAACTTAGGCCTACAACATTAAGGTATCAGAATTTAGAGGCCTATAATATCAGGTTTCGGATTAGTAAACCCGTTGCTAACAATCCACCCTGTCAGGTTGACCTCGCGGTTCCCCCTGGAAATTATCATGTTCTATTCCAAGTGAATTCATCACGATAGGCTAACTAACCTGCCTTTTCTTTCTCGCCTATCGTCCTTCACTGGTGCCTTGCAAACGCAGGCGTACCTATTAAGTCAACAGGGTACTTTTACTCCTACAAATAGGGGGGAAAGGGATTTTTAGTAATGGAGACTAAAAATCTCATTACTAGCAATATACCTAACCAGGTCGACCTTCACGCGGTTTCCCCTGGAAACTGTCATTATTAATTCTTCCTGATGAATTCATCATGATGGGCTAACTGGCCTGTTTTCATTCTCATCGATCACCCTTCACTGGTGCTCCGCCAGCGTATCCCGTTAGCGCAGGCGGGGTTACCTACAAATAGGTAGATATTATATTCAATACATTTAGAATATTTTGAAAAATGAAACGACACACGTATATGGCACAGTTCTGTTTAATTTTTAATCGTTACATTGTGCTAGATAAAAAAATAATACAGTCCGATTAGTGAAATTCTTTTACTATTAATGACCGTTACATTGTTCCATTGAAATAATACTTTAGTACGTCAATATTTTATTACAAATCGTTTAGCTTAATTTTCATTCGTATACACTCTAAATGGAAAACATTATAATTCTTTTTTTTTACAATTTAACAAGCAATTTTAACTCCGACATACTTTGTGCCCTTAGGGACTTATTGTAGGGTACTTTGAGACGCTGTTATATTTAAAGCGCCTTATTGCGTTATGTATATCAACTGGTATAATACACTAGTTTCTTCTTACTTGACAATATTAGTAAACGGTCTTGGATGTCTCTTTATTGCAGAAAATAGACAAAAAAATTTTTTTTTTGTCATTTATTGTAATTTATATAACTAGTTGTTGATTATTCCGTCTACTTTCAAATAAATAATTCAACACTTCTGTTTCCCATAGATTGCTTGATAGAGAATGCTGTAATATAGTATTAAATTCACCTTTCGTACTATAATTTTTTTTGTAATGTGGTCAATAAGGTAAAATAATATACCATAATAAGATATATCGAAAATGTTTAACAAATATGTCAAGTAAGAATAAACAGAGTTTCCTCCATTTACACATATTGTTTCCGCAACCACACATTATAGGAAGCAGTTTCTCAGTCGTCTCAGACACCGACATGTTATATTTTTATTCAATTTTCTACCAAGTTTCGTATGTGTTTATGACAACACGATAAATTCATGTCTACACTGTCCATTTTATCATCGTATCGTATCTCAAAATGATGAATATCAAATAAAATTTGTAGCGATGCAATGTATTTGCTAATGTTACCATTTATTAGCTGAGATTGTATGAACAAACAATCTTTGCAAATTGAACGTGTTACTAATGATTAGAAATCACTCTCAAAATAAAATTTCTTTTAAATATACCTACTTAAAAGTAGGCGAAGGAATACATTAGTAAATCTAATATCATCAATTACAATTCATTAAAGAGGGCCTTTTCTATTATAATCGTTACCCGCATCCAGAATTGGTATTACTTTTGCAAATCTTTGTAGTATTACTAGGTCGCAACCACAAATATAGATCTTGAAAAAAAAAACAGAAACATACAAGAATTCATTATGTTGATAGATGATATATTGGTTTCATATACAGTCAGCTTCATAATAGATGACACTACATTATCAGAATAATTGTCATCAAGTAAAATGTTCGATACAGTTTAAAAACAACAACTTCACAACCTTCCAAACGCAGATACATAAAAAATATCTATGTAACCAATGAGTTTTAAGTTGAAAAAGTACATGATTCGGTGAAATAATATTTTCAATACGCAACATATTGTTAACTACCCTGCCTCCTATCATGAGGCTGGCTGTACTACCGTTTCAAATAGAAGCTCGTAGAAGCAGAACAATTCATACTGTACGTGTCTGAGACGGTTGGAGCGGACCCACAACGCAATCTTAGGCAATAAATAGATAAAAAAAAATGTTTTGTTTAATTAAATTAATAAAAAATAGATTTCGAATCGAAGTAGCTTTACGTCTATATTTACAAGTGTTAACTTACGACTAAATAGAAGCATCAACTATGAAAAATGTATCAACATTGAAGGCACATGTTTCGCACCCGATTCTCAAGATCGTGCATTCGTTATAGTGCACCCGTTTCGCTGGCGGCGCCCCTCTAATACTCGCGTGCAGTCGGCGGCGGGGCCGCGACACTTGGCCCACCAGCGCGACAACAAACATTCAATTCCAATATTATTCAATACTAGAAACCTAACAAACACAGTGGTCAGCTCTTCGTATTATACACCCAAAGGCACAATTAATAGATTATTTTCTGATGACAGCCATTGTTTGTTTTAATCATAAAAAGAATTATAGAATTTATTTAAAATTTAAGAAGTTTAAAATTCAAGAAAAAAATTATTCGTTAATAACTGCATTAATAAAAGTTGTGTTTTAAAAGATAAAAATACTAGAAGACATTTTTTTTAATTCTATAAATAATATTACTATTTAATAATCGAACATAAATATTGTAAAAAATATACTTTGAGGCAACAATAATTTGGTGTTCAATTGTCTCTGCCTACCCTAATGGGAGACAGGCGTGACAGATATGTGTATATATGTAATAAATTTGTGTCCTCGAGTGTATAATACATGAAAAGTGTAACAAATCCTCGTACAAGTGTACGCAGTGACGCCGCCGGCTGCACACTGGACCGGACATGACATTCTAACTTATATTTTACAATATGCGAAATAGTAAGTACTAACGGGCACGTGCCCGCGCGCGGTGCGACGCCGACACGACCACGACACGGCTACTACACGACCACGACACTAGCGACACGACTGCGGTCGGCGGAGCAACGCGCGCGGGGACATAGACTAGTTATCGTAACTAAGTTGACTTAGGGAAACTCAGTCTGGCAATGATTTCGCAGTAGCAACGTGTTGTGATGCAGTTACGTCATAGATTACGTCACTCTTACAAACAATAACACTCCGAACATTCGTTCAAACAGCCAACGAAATTATTGATTTGAAATGTAAAAAATGGAAGCGATCTAATTCGGAACATTATTGTATGTATTTGAAGTCAAACAGGTGGACGAGTTTCCGAGTCGTACCCAATTTACGGAGAGAATTTAATGTATTATTATTTTTATATAATACAATATCGTATAATTTTGCCTATATAAAAACTGTTATAAACTGTAGGAATACCTAACAACTGCTCTTAGTGGATGTTTACATTTTATTACCTGTAAAATTACAGTTACGTAGCAAGTAACGATTTACGCAAAAAGTATATAACAATTCGTGATTATTATGCGTATGTATATGTGAATAATAATAGATAATATTATCAATCTTCTGCATTTCTTTTTTGTACCAACAAAGGTGGCAAACAAACATACAGCCCGTCTGATGGTAAACGGTCACTGTAGCCTATAGACGCTTGTAAAACTAGGGGTGTCACGTGTGTGTTGCTGACCTTGAAGAAACCATAGTATATCCTTTATGATGAATCACATACTGTAGTCTCTAAGGAAAATTTTTGGTAGAGAGCTCATCCCATACAGCCAGAGCGTTCATGGAAGAAAATCCCTTTGAAACCGTATATACATTTAAATTCTCTCCGTAAATACAGACGCGTTCCCTCCGATGCAAAAGCATTGGTACACATGTAACTGCTCAGGTTATGAGATAGAATAAACAAATTATTCTTACTTCTATTTCGCTAATTACCCCTACTCACAGCTGCAGAACGGAAATAATTTACATTACCTTCCTCTTATTGTATTTAATTCATAGATTGTATAGTTGATTGAGATCCCATCATGCATTGTTTTGAAATTTCGAATGAACCGGTAGCTAAACATAGAATGTGTCGTTTCTTTTGGATGTGCATATATTCTTACAAAAGCTAATATTAATAATGATTTATTATCATTGATGGATCAAAAAATAAAATCAGATATAACGATAAATAGAAACAAAAACAAACAACACATTCTGTATTTAACTGTACAAATTCATATTAAACTCGTCGCATTAATTCCGAATGCCAAATTTTTTTTAACATAAGTTTATATTTTCCAAACAGAACACCTCATTTATACTCTAAAATATTAATTTAAAAAAATATACAAACTAAGCAGTCATTCAAGTAACACTAGGTATATTATAAAAAAAAAATGCGCATTAAAAAAAATATCGTACAGTAGTAAGCGTACTCATCTAGTTCAAGTAAAAAAATAATGCAGAACACCAACGCCGGTCGTGCACTGCTCTAAGGTTGGACAATTGGCAAACGCAGGAGCGTTTCTATTTCTACAAACGTCACCGCATTGGAGAGGTGAAACGACACTTATAAACTATTCCAAATATTCAATCAGCCAACTTATATAAATACGTAAGTAATTCAACTTAAAAGCGTTGGAATAATGGTTCAAATTTAAATGAAAACAAAATCTACAGAGTGGAATTCGCATGATATAAGTTAGCTGTCTGAAATGGTATGCATCGATGAACTTTGTGGGGAAGTGACGAAAATGGAGGGAGAGAGAGAGAGTGAATGGGATGGTAAGAGACTGAGAACCGCGTAGTAACTTTCACTCTCCCCCCCTCTTTCTTACTCGATTAAACCCAAAATTAAGGTATTTTTTAATTAAGAACAATTTTTGAAGTTGGTTGATCAAATTTGGGCATCAAACAAAACTATTGTCTAATATATATAAGATCAATTCCACTAAGTATAAAAGTTAACGTGTGTAGAAGTAGAAACGCTTCGGTACATTAACTAATCTCGAATATAAATCCTTTAAAATGATATTACGCTGGAACAATCTTACGAAAACTTTGTAAAATTCGAAATGTATGTAATGTAACTAATAAAAAGTCCATTTCGTCAACTAGTGCACACACGCGGCTAGCATCGCGAGGAACGAATTTTTATTTTACAACATGTTTACGGCTATTACGATGTGGCGATCGTAATTGCTATAAATAAATATATCTATAATAAATCTAGCCTCGCCCTGTCTTCTACATGTTATTTTACAAGTATTAATATAATACATATCCTTTCTTTCATTTTAAAAGTAAATTACTTTTACTTTCTTAAAAATCGTCGGAGCAATAAAAATATAAAGCAGAATAAAAAAAAACTGTATATTAATTATATTTGTCAATAATAAAAATTATATTAAACATTATTTAGTTCTTCAATTAATTGTAACAAATAAATAAGAATTGTAATAAACGAAAAATAAGTGAAATTTAAATATTTAAGAATGTACTATTTATTGCAACTTAAAAGAATGTATACCTATGGTATATAATATAAAATCTATTTTGCATAAGTAGCCTTTTCTGTGGTAATTTAATTCGAAGTCAAAGAAATTTAATAAGGCTTTATTTTTTTTACATAAAAAAAAAAAACAAAAACCAACCGGCATACCGTCTACGCTACGCCTACTTTTATTTCTGTTCAAAGACAAGATAATGGCAACATTTTTTAAAAAAATCTTATCAAAAATCTGGCAGTTCAAACAAATGAATAACACAGAATCGCATGAATATTCCAAATTTTAAAAATTGTATTCGGAATACAATAGTTGGGAATATTTCCACCCGTATTACAAGCGTCACTGTATTTGTCTGTATAAATCGATTCCTTAGTCTATTACACGTGATTTGTGACTCATTATTGCGAGCTGTAGACGACAGGGCGCGGTAGTGGAGCGGCTACTCTATGCTCTTGACGCGCGCCATGACTTTCCCCTCGAACATGGGCAGCGTATCGTTGTCGTTGCTCACTTCCTCCTGGATCACCGTATCTAGGTCTGCGCAGTTCGTTTTGAAGAAATATCTGTGAAGATAATTTCATATATTAGGATCTGCATCTTATTGCTATATACGACACTTTTAATTGATGAACATGAAATAGTTGCTGCTTGCCCTATCAGTTTAAGCTGGCGCGATAACCATGAGGGATGATAGGCGCTGAAAAAATTAGGTCAATTAACCCATAGTGACGAATTCATCAGAAATTAATTTCGATGGATTTAGGGGAAATCGCGTGGAGGTCAACGTTAGAGGGTATTTTATTAGCAATGGGACCGCTAGGTCTCAGCATAGGCGTTTAAGAAGGGGGGGGGGAATGTCTAGGAGTACACCTGTTCCTTTTTTAAAGAGCCAAAGGACTAAACCGCAATGAAATGACAAATGCGTCGATATAGGCCCAAAACAGTGATAAATAAATAAATAAAGTATATGTACCTATAATTGCCCTTCCTGGGCAAGTACTCCTTGAAGATCTTGAGCGTGAGCGGCGCGGCGGGCACCTTGAACCGGTACGGCACGTTCTCGTCCAGGAACGTCACCACGACCACCGTGTGCGTCTCCGCGCCTGCACTACCACTGCCACCACCGCCGCCGCCGCCGCCGCCGCCACTCGTACTGCTGGATTTACTGCCGCTGCCACTATAAATGGTTGCACAAATTAATTTTACAAACTGGCAGTTTGAATTAAAAATTTTGTGATTCTAAATTCAAAACCACATTATAAATTCATAGATATACATATTGTCTTTCAACTCATTCAAAACTCATTTGTTTATATCGTTGATAGTAATTTTTAGCCCAAGTACTAACATACATAAAAAGAAAAATAAAAGTGATTGATAATAAACACATATTTAGCCAAACATCGCGATCGTGCACTAGATGCAGCTCTTCACAACTTGTATTTATTTATTTTACACTTTAATACATCATTTATAAATAGTACTGCAGCGGCCCAGCAACTGAAGCATTGATGGACGAACGTGCAAATGTGGGCCGAGGCGTAGCCAAGGCACACATACGTGAATCCATCAATGCCTAGTTGTGGCCAAGGCTTGTATAATACTTTTTTCAAACAATGCGCGGAAATCAAAAACACAATTTTGCTTTTTAAGTTCAATGACGAATAACGAACAATAATAATTATTCACGCGCCATAATGTTCCTTTGTTTTTTTTTTCAATAAACAGTTTTTTATTTGCAAGCCAGTTCGAAATTTAAATAAAACCTTTTATTAGTTACCTCCTTGGTAGCCATGTTTCGAAGTAAAAGGTCATTCCATTTTTAAATAATAGGACAGATATGAGTTCACATAGTAATTTATCTGGCCGCAAAACACGACAGATATGGATTTTCATATAACTTTTGCCGGCCGCTGCCCGCATGTATCTGGCCAGTACGGCAATTTTCAAGTCAAAATAATGCTCACATTTCCAAGCATGTTTGAGAAAAATATTTTTTATTGCAGTATCATTTCGTTATACGCAATATACTCGTAAACACAGAATTGATTCTATAATTCTTTTTGCAATCGTTTCATCTCTGTTGACAACTTAGTTTTCTTACCGTTGATGTCATTATATTATATTCCTATTTATTATATCGGAGCAAAATTTTGCAGAGTGATTTTTGAGGCAATCAATCTAAATGGGTAATTTCGAAATTACATTGAATAAAAGTAAAATGTAAAGTAACACCCATTTTATTTCTATTTGATTTGAAGTCGATTACGTCATAAATCACCAAGCTATTTTTTTATACAACTTAGAATGGCAAACAAGCTGACGGCCCACCTGATGGGAAGTGGTAACCGTCGCCTATAGACATGAGTAGTACCATGGATATAACAGAGTATACTGTTTCGCCCATGATACCCCCCATGCGTTGCCATTCCTGAGTACTCAGGTGTTATTCCTCTGTACCCAGTAAATTCACGCCATATCCCACCCTTCAAGCCGAAATACAGCCATGCAACCATAACTGCTTTACGGTTGAAACACGAATAGGACAGAGGTACCCAAGCAATCGACTTTTGTACAAAGTACTTGTGACTACATTCGCTAGATCTGGGACTCGCATTTATCAGAGAAAAAAATCAGCGCCATCTAGCGACTCCGTAGAGCTAACTCGTAAATAAAGCAGTGTACTGACCGAGTCCGCTGCGACTGCTTGTCGCGGCGGCGGTGCTCCTCGCGGTCGGCGGACGAGCCGCGCGACGACAGCTCGCGGTGGTTGCGGCGCTCGAGCCGCTCGAGCCGGTCGAGCCGCTCGAGCCGGTCGAGCCGCTCGAGCCGGTCGAGCCGCTCGAGCCGCTCCGAGCCCTCGGCCATCCACAGCAGGATGCGCGGCTCCACGCCCGCCGCGCTCGCCGTGCCCTCGCTCACCACCGAAACGCCGCTGTCCGTTAACTCTGTCACCGTCTTCTTGGAGAATGACCTGGATTTTACAGGTTATATTAATTTCAAATAATTTCATTATATATTTATTCTATAAAACTTTTGAATTATCGCTGTTGTCTTCACTTAACAATACATAATCTTTACAAACACTCATCTGTCATTAATATATAGCTTTTTGTCAGGTGTTCTACACGAGTAGCTTGTGGGTCAACTATAGTCAAAAAACTTACAATGCTCTTCGAGTCCAAGTCTAATAATGCCTTCAGGGCACTGTTAGGGCTACCTAGTCACTGTAGTGCGTCGCACATGTTTGCACGAGAGCGTACGGATGATGTTTACGCAATACGGCGTAAACGAATTGTTTCGCTGTTGGGTAGGGTACATGTTAGCTCAAACAGTGTCCTGAAGACAATTGCTGATAAAATGGACTGTCCCATCCTAAAATATTGGGTGGGACAGGTTATCAATACAAGAGCGTTATGACCGCTCATTTACTAACATAGGTTAAGTCAATTTATAACTAACAAAATGGGCCTTATGTAGTCTAATTAAATAAATATTATTATTATTAATATATTAGGCGTGAGTAATATATAGCAATATGCATATATGGGCTCAATAACAGGTGTATTAGGTATCCGTTATCCAATATATAATATCGAAATTAAGAACCCGATATAAATTAATATAGATATCCGACTGGTGTGGGCAATATCGAAATGGGTAATACCTTTTTTTCCTATCTTCAATGTCCAGAGAAACCTAATATATAGATATGACAGCGGTACCGATATTATCAATACCTAAAATATATTTTTTAATCGATTGTTTAATTTTGTTATCTTAAACTTTAAAAAGCCTAAGGGAAAAAATTTACGTTCTTACTTTTTATACAAGCTTATAGGTAGCTAACAATTTGTTTTTATTCATGAGGATGTACCTCAGTCAATTAAGTCAATCCTATTTTAGTTTCATATTAATTTTATTTCCTATACTTCAATATTTAAATCCTAATACGTACCTTCGCGAGAGCGAGTGCGGGTGATGTAGTGAATCGGGCGGTGCGTCGTAGTGTCCCGAGTCGGCCGAGAGAGCGGACGGCGCTCGCCGGCCGTGGGCGTGGGCCGCATGGCTCGCGTGGGCCGCGTGGGCCGCGTGCGCCGCGTGGGCCGCGTGGGCCGCGTGGGCCGAGTGTGCCGCGTGGCGAACACGCGCACGCCGCCCGCCCGGCGGCGAAGTACCAGGTGTACGCTCCGACCACACGCGCGATACGTGTTGATCTGATGTATTTCAAATTTACAATTAACAAGTAGTCGTTGCGAGATTATTAATACGACGATGTTGATAGTTGATAGTCGAAATCGTACACGATCTCGAATATAATCGATAAAAAATACCAACTTTTACAATAACAATAACATGAATGAATAACATAATTAAAATGCTGAAGCGACATATTGACTTGGTGTGTGCATTGCTGAATTAGAAATTAATAAATCTCTTTTACAAACTACTTTCTCATTGCACTGCACACACTAACATAAATGTTACCCCGTAGAAGGTAGCATATGAAGGAGCTTCTTGAAAAAGAAAATGTAATTAGTATAAACAGCATATATAATTAAAATATGCTGTTTATGACGTACTTAAAGAATGAATTATTCAAAATCAGAAAATAAACCAATAATGAATGGTATGTTATTTATGTTATAATTTTTTTAAAACAAATTATAATAATAGGGGGGAAAGAGATTGTTAGTAATGGAGACTAAGAATCCCATTGCTAGCAATATACCCAACCAGGTCGACCTCCTCGCAGTTCCCCCTGGAAACTATCATGGTTAATTCCTGATGAATTCATCATGATGGGCTAATGGGCCTGTTTTCATTCTCATCTATCACCCTTCACTGGTGCTCCGCCAGCGTATTCCATTAGCGCAGGCGGGGTTACTATTCCATTTTTTTTTTCGTTGCTCTGAGAAGGTAAATAAATATATATATAAAAAAAAATCTAACCAAGTATATCTTGGTCGTTGTCGTCATCGAGCTGCAGCTTCTCTCGTATGGCGGCAGCCACCAGTTGCGGCGGCAGAGCCTGCGTCGACGCCTCCTCGCACTCGCCCTGTTACCAGACAGTACATAACTAAGACTACACGACAAACTTGCGACGTTGCCACTTCGTAACATTTGGTAATCGTGAAAATTCGTGACACTGGTATGGTAAGAATAGCCTGACAGTGCGGGTACTGACTGGAATACCTAACAGGAACTCGGATATTTGAATATCCAATATACAGAATTCGGATACACATTTCGCGTATTATTATTGCTTTGACTCCATAGTCGCATTTTTAAAGTAAATTTTTATGACTGTGTCATCATCTTCCTACCCTTATCCCAATCATTTGGGGTCGGCGTAATGTTTTTATCCATATTACAAAAAGATTTGGTTTTTTTAGTTTTACGACCGGCCGCTTGCCAGACGTCAACCCCCTTTGGGAATGCATTTGTTGGTGGTTTCTGCCACCTACGGTATAGAGGAAAGGATTGAGGGAAAAAGGAAGGGAAACTTGGAAATGCGTAAAGGAAATTGGTGAATGAGAGGTATAAAGGACTTATGTGGGAAAGGAAGGGGAAATTTTTTATAACTGTGTATCACAGATTATTTTATTATTTTCTTACTTACTAAACTAAAAATATTAAATGACAGATATTTATTATCTTCATGGAAAGTAAACTTCGGAAATCAATTGGAAAAATTACTCGAGTCTAATGAAAGGCTCGACTGCTGTCCAAATTCTTAAGACTCGAGTTAGAGATCTATTTTTTTATTTATTCATTAGTACATATATGTGTACATGGCGGACTTAATGCTAAAAGCATTCTCTCCCAGTCAACCATAGGGAAGTGTCAGAATACTCGAATGCGGTACTAGTAATTATTTATATACATACATATATACCTGAACACCGAAAGATGGTCGACTAGACACATCAGTAACGGTAACGTACAGTGGGTTAAGAGCGTTCATAAAATTTATTTACCCAAATGTAACAACGTCACATTTGTCAGTTTTCAAAACCAATTTATAGTTTATTTAAATTGATTTAGAATGTGTTAACAGTAAACTAAACCGTGAAAGAACATGTTTTAAATTTGAAGTTACTAAAGAGATCAACAAAAAATATGATGGATGGACAAGAATCTATACACATAGGTCCAAGAGCAATGTCGGTTTAGGAGCCGCATATGTAGACATTTAACAAAAATTCACTGGTATCTATAAAACACAGTATAAATTGTAGAGTATTTATATACTTTTTTTTTATACCACTGAGGTGGCAAACAAGCATACGGCCCACCTGATGGTAAGTGCTTACCGTAGCCTATGAACACCTGCAATACCAGAGGTATGCAGGTTTTATTGGATGTTCCTGGGGGATCTGCTAATATACCGGCACATCCCCCGAGTGGTAGGGTGAGCACGCCATCCACCCTATCTTGAGAGAGGACACCTGCTCTTACCATCAGGCGGGTCGCTGCCGTCGGAGATGTTGTGAGTGCGAAAGCGAACCCATGTCTCCGACATATGGCAGCTCGAGGGTATATCGTCTGGTTTTTGGTGGGTACACCCCCACCTTACGGGGGGATTCCCACAGTACCCATTCACCTCCCACAAGGTGTATGGGTCTGCATAAAGCATTTTCCAGACGTTAAAAAAAAGTTTAGTGGATGTAAAGTCCAAAGGCACTTCATAATATTGATTATTTATTACTTTAAACTATATATAAAGTGACGACGTGTTATACGTGCCAAGTGGCGGGAGCGAGAGGGCTCGAACGAACGAGTCAGAATGAATGATTACTAAACACTGTCTATTATGTGCCTGGAGCTCGCAATCTCAAATGCTCTTTAATTACATTATTGTGAACATACAACATGGAAAAGCCTTTATACTTACAGATAGTAAAAGTGCCTTACAACATCTGGCTCGTTGTGCCTCTGGGTATGGCAGAGGAGTACCGATAGCCTATGATGTTCCAGGGCAATTATACTCTATTCAAGGCCAAGATGTAGATTTGAAATTGCAATGGATTCCATCACATGGAGGATTATCGGGAAACGAGGAGGCTGACCGCTTGGCGAAATTAGCAGTATCGCAGGGTTCGGAAATTAATATATTACCAACATATATATATGGAAACTTTGTCTAAATTAAAAAAAAAATATTGTTACGAAATGTTTAGAGAATATTTCGACAAAAGGAGTAAATCAAAAGGAATTTGGTATAAAACAATCCAGTCTCAGCCTCCAAAAATACCGTGGTTCATAAACCTAAAAGCATATAGAAATTTCGTTGTTACAACTCTTAGATTACGCTCAGGACATTAATCAAATGCAAAATTCGCTTTTCTTATGAAAAAAAAATTAATAACCCGAATTGTGATGTTTGTAACACATTGGATGATGTTCACCATATGATATCCGAATGTACGAAATACAAAACACAAAGGGAAGTATTGATACAGAAATATAGTCTCAATAGACAGGAGATTGGTTTATTTTCAAATATACTCGCAGAGCCACATTCCGGAATGGCAAAATCTTTAATTACTTAATTTTTGTATCAATAATTCCCTTTATAAAAATAGACTAAGACTAACATATTATGTATTATTTATCTATGTATTAATGTTTTAAGTGTGTAAGGTATTTTTTCAAAAATTAGGGTACGATGAGGCTGACATATCCTTATAGGATAAAAGCCCCTAAATAAAAAAGATATATTTTTTTTTTACATTTTCCAGTGTTTCCAACTGATTATTTAAAAGTGCTCTGATAGCGAACTAAAATGTTAACTAGAAAATAAACATTGCATATACTCGTAAATTTACTATTAAAATTTTTGCTTCAGGATTTTACAAACACATTTTTGCTATCGGAATTAAAATTTTCAGTAACAGTTTAATAAGAATATTAGATAGATAGATAGATAGATGCTCTTTATTGCTTCCTCCAAAAGATTACAATAGTTAACTTATTATAAGTATAAACAATTACAAGAAATAATCACAGTGAGAAAACAATGGGCGACCTTATCGCTAAGAGCGATCTCTTCCAGACAACCTTTGGATGGAGAGGAGTAATTATAAACAATTTGGTGGGAGGCACGATTGTGTTATTAATGCATATTAATGCATGATTACCACTTTAGTTCGTTAGTAGAGCACTTTTTAAATAATCAATTGAAAACATTGGAAAAGTGTTAATTTATTTTTACAAGTTGACCGTGAATGTGGTCGTTGGCATAGTTGGTGGACGTGTAGCGTTACCTCCGCGAGGCGGCGCTCGAGGCGCTCCTTGGCGTCCTGGTCGCGGCGCAGGCGCTCCAGCTTCTCGATGAGCAGCGGCGCGAACTCGGCCGGCGGCAGCACGCGCAGCTGCTCCGCCTGCACGCGCTGCGTGCGCGGGATCACCTGCCGCACCACACGCGCGTTACCCAACTACAATTCACGGAAACCGCTGCATAGGCAGCGGCTTCGGTACAGCGTATCATACCTACCACCGACACGTGTTGCCGAATCAGCGGAAACGTGGGACTCGCCATATTCAAGGAAAGAACTGGCAGCCGGTGTCACTCCTGGTTCACACTTTGAACCGACCAGGCATTTTAGTTATAGTTAGATATAGCAATGTCACTCTTGGTACACACATCGACCAATTGACACATAATAAAATTAGTTATAATTAATATTTTAATTGTACTTTTACCTAAGTAAATTAAGTCTAGTATATTTTTTGGTTTTCTTTGCGCGCCCCTTTGCTGTTATCTTTATATCTCACGCATACACACATCAAATCACCGGCTTACTAGTAAAGGCCTGCTTTACTAGTTAAACTGAATGTTTTTATTAAACCTAGTGTCTTTTGCCCGCCACATTGTGTGCGTGAATTTTAAGTAACCACGTATAAATGGAGTTCCAAGATAAAACCTTAGGTCAGGGGTTCCCAAACTTATTTTGTCTACTGCCCACTTTGAGAATAAATTATTTTTAAACACCCCAATTTTTTCACCTACTTAAAAACCACTATTAATGCAAATTAATCAATTATTGTGAACTATATTAGCGGAGATTAAACATTAATTCTAAATGAGTCTCTACACAACGCCTCCATTTCTGTTCTCAGTCTCTTACCGCCCTTTAGGCCTGCAGCGCCCACAAGGAGGCGTTATCGCCCACTTTGGGCGTAAAAGCTGCCTTAGGTGATATAGATAGAGTGTCTCCATTCAAATGCTTCGAGAAAAACTAATCAACTTTTTCATACAATTTTGCGTGATAGATAGTTGTGAATGTTTCCCTTATAACTTCTATATTTATTTTGTTTTATACATTTTGCACTTTTTTAATGCGCAAAAACTCATTTTATTTATTAAATAAAAAAATAATTAAATATTATATAGACACGTCAAGGTACACTGTGTAAGTATATAGAATAATAATAAAAAAAAAAAAGAGTCAGCTAATTTGACAATTAGCTGACAAACAGTTGACTCGTTTTCGAGGCTCGAGGCTCAAGGCTCTATGTATATAATCTAAGGATAAAATATACACCAGATTTTAAAGTTAGACCTTCAGAGAGACAGCTGTGAAAATAGCATCCCATTTAGTGTAGTAATTTCTGAGTGACGCCGGAACAAATATACAGATAGACAGACAAACATTCTAAAAATTAATATTTTGGCTTCTACGGCTTATATTAAGACCTCTACCTTTACCAGAGGGAGACTTTGTACAAAAGTCGATTGCTTGGGTACCTCTGTCCCATTCGTGTTTCTACCGTGAAGCAGTTGTGTTTGCATAGCTGTGTTTCGGTTTGAAGGGTGGGATATGGCGTGAATTTACTGGGTACAGAGGAATAAGACCTGAGTCCTCAGGAATGGTAACGCATGGGGGGGTATCAGGGGCGAAACGGTCTACTCTGTTATGTCCATGGTACTGTTCATTTCTATAGGCGACGGTTACCACTTTCCATCAGGTGGGCCGTCAGCTTGTTTGCCATTCTAAGTTGTATAAAAAAAACCTCTTATATAAGTTTTTCTTAAACATCTTCTGTGAAGGCGTTTAAAAACGACAAAATGTTTGAGCATGTTCTATTACTGGCTACACGCTTATTCTTTCAGAGAAAATAAATCATAGAACTGTTAGAAAACTTCCTTAAAAAGATGTTTATAATTTTTTTTATTGGGTTGAAAATAGAATAGTGGCCTGCGCTACCGGTACACATTGGTGATGTACCAGTGAACGATGACAGATGAAAATGAAATCAGGTCAGTAGCCTCATCGTGACGAATTCACTGTTAATTAATTTCAACAGTTATCAGGAACGGGAGGGAGGATCAACCTGATGGGTATATCGTCAGCAATGAGGCTGTCAAAACCCATCACTAAGGATGTGATGGACATGATGTACAAGTGGGGCGGCGGCTCACCATGGCGGTATCCTGTTCTTTGTTGATGAGGTGGCGGTCGAGGCCGAGCCCGCGGCCGCGGGGACGCGCGTCCCGCTCGCGCGCCTCACGCCCCCGCACCGACACGCCGTCACTGCGCACGCGCATTCACACCGTATTAGCACTCACACACGCTCAGCCGGCCCACACACACACATACAAAATAAACAACCATAACATACTGTATAGCCACTCGTTAGAGACCAATTTATATTCGTGAACAAATCATATCTGTACGGACTAGTCCGCTCTGGTCATTACAACTGCTAACAGTGTCGCCATTTAGTAAGAATAGTTTCTAGAATTTCATTATATTATTTAAATAAAAAAAAAAAAACAAAACAACTCAACAACAACAATAACTTTTTTTTTTTATTTATACCATTTGGTAGCATATATTCTCACAAAAATTATATATTTACATAAAATTCTACTTTTGTTTAAAAATAAAAGCAACAGCTGATAATCTCTTTTTTTTTTAGCAAAAATAGCTTTTAATATTATAAAAAATAAGAATAATGTACTTTACAATTATTGGCTAAGTGTGATGCTTGGTTGTTTATTTTATTAGATTTTGACGGTACGGGCACTTATTATTCATTTTTAAAATTTCACATTTACCAATTTTGAAATAGTGAATTTATACATATATTTCAATCAAAAAAGTAAATTAGAAAATGTAGTTATAACCTTTAACTATAATATGATAATAATATATATTATTATTATAATATGAAACAGGTTGTAAAAAAGCTGTTGGTGGCAGCCCTATGACATGTTCGGAGAGTGCAAGTTATAAGGGGATTTTAATGAGGGAATCAAATGTTAATTATTAAGGGTACACACAAGGGTTCTGAGCATAAAGTGATTGTAATTTAAAACTATTTACCTGTTTTATGTAGAAATAGGTACTATAACATACATTTTGATACTAACAAATAACTAGGAAGAAGCGTAAATAAAATAAAAAATACAATTACAGCTGCTCTATTAACTACAATGTGATACTTACGTTTTACTGTTGAACCGTCTCGTCAACAATTACATGACGGGCAGAGGTTTACAATCCCCTGATTACTGAATAAGTAACTACTGCATTTAAAAATGAAGTTTTGATATAAATGTATTTTAATCTAATAATGTTTCTGTCAGTAATATCGTAAAACATATAAATAATAAAGAAAATTTTAATTCTTCATCAGTCTACATAATCTAACTGCGGTTGCCAACCCGCCTGCCAAGCGTGGCAACTACTGACAAAACCCTGGGGAAGGCCTACGTTCAGCAGTGAACAGTCACGATAAAAATAAAAATAATTATTTTACGTAAATAGAAATGATAAAACAAAAACAGAACCGCATTATTGTTATATTATTAAAAATCGGTGTCACAAACTTTTGTGTCATTAATTTTGTTATAAATTTTAAAAATCTATTTTTTCTGATTCAAGTTTGGCAGCCCTAACTAGACTAGTTATTATACCAATACTGTGTTTTGAATATTACGTCATTAACTAGAAGTTCGTGGTAGACGGTGTCAATAGTGGCGATTGAGAACTAGGCACAAATGTGTTCATTTTCCTGGTCCCTTACAAAGACACAATATGTATGGTACTCTACCATGTCTTTGCTTATAGTTTAAAACTCCGCTCGCATCTTGAGTTCGGCATCTTTATAATGGGTGATAATGGAATGGTAACCCTGGCTGCGCTATCGGTGTACTCTGGCGAGGCACCAGTAAAGGATGATAGGTGACGATGAAAGCAGGGCAGTTAGTTCATCGTGACGAATTCCACTAGCACCATAATGGTTTCCAGGGGAACCGCGTGGAACTCGGTCTGATATAGAGTGTATTTACTAGCAATGGGTCAGTTAGACCCTATTCCTAACAACCCTTTTTCTCCTGAGTTGGGCATCAGACAATTGTGGGGTGGGCACGACTCATCCGAGCCACCTTAAACACGCCTACAAGGGGAAAGGGATTGTCAGTAACCGGATCAAATAGCCCCATTACTAGCAACACACCCTGTCAGGTCGACTTCCACGTGGTTTCCCCTGGAAACTATCGTGGTTAATTTTAGTTGAATTCGTCAGGACGGGCCAACTGATCTGCTTTCATCCTCATCAGTCATTTATCACTGGTGCCCCGCCAGCGTATACCGATAGCGCAGGCGGGGTTTTTTTTTGATGGATGAAAATGGAATGGTAACCCCGCCTGCGCTAACGGGATACGCTGGCGGAGCACCAGTGAAGGGTGATAGATGAGAATGAAAACAGGCCAGTTAGCCCATCATGACGAATTCATAAGAAAGTAACCATGATAGTTTCCAGGGAGAACCGCGAGGAAGTCGACCTGGCTGGTATTGCTAGCAATGAGATTCTCAGTTTCCATTACTAACAATCCCTTTCCCCCCCAAACGCGCAGGCGGGGTTACCATACTATTATCACCCATTAGAAAAAATACGCGTACGAAGGCACGGAGCGCGCCGTGGGCGTGGGCGTGGGTGTTGGTGCAGGTGCAGGCGAGGGTGTACTCACAGGCTGCTGCCGGAGAGCGAGACGGCGTCGCTATCGGTGCGGCCGCTGCTGAGGCTGGCGCGCTCCGAGTCCTGCCGCGAGGCGGGGCAGTAGCCCGCGTACGTCACGTGCGCACTGTACACCGACCGCGACCGGAGCCTGCACCGCCGCCGGGGATCGTGACCGCGGGTGCGGAGGGGGGGGGGGGGGGGGCGACCGACCGTGTCGATTCGAGATAGAAGTGAATTATCGAGTAATTATGAAAGTTTAATTCGAGACAGGAATGACGGTATTGCATTGTCAATTGATTATATAAATCAGGATTCGAGATAGAAATGACAGGATTACATTATCGATTGATTATGAACATTCCAATCGAGATAATAAAGAGAAAATAGCATTTATTGATTATGACGATTGAAATCGAGATTGAAACAGCAAAGTTGCATTATCGATTGATTATAAATTTTGAATGAAAATCAATAAATGTTTTGAGAAGAATGGAATAAGGCACGGTGAACAAAAATATTTTGATATTCGATCGGTTGTATTCGATACGAGATAGAAATAACAGGATTACATTATCGATTGATTATAAAATTTTAATGCAAGTCGACAGGAAGCGATTAAGTAAATATATTTTAATTTAATTTTTTTGGAATATATAGGAAGGATATTATAAAGGTTAAAAAGTTTCGGGTGGTCACCGGCGGTGCAGCAGGTTTTATAGCGTGTATACAATGCGGCGAGGGCGACATGCAGGCGCGGGGACACAATCATGGGGGCAAACAATATACGGAGTATCAATAAAGCTGCGTAGGAGAAAATAATATTAAAATAAAAAATTAAACATGGCGTAGATTATGTGCTGGGGCGTTCATGCAATGCTGGGGTCACACGGAAACCTTAAAGGGGTCACACTGAAAACCTAGTTGATACGTCAGCGTAGTACAGTCATAAACTACAAATAATCAATTTGGAAATACGCAAATAATATTGCAATCTAATTTATAAATAAAAACAAATAAAATTGTAATGCCAGACACATAAACTATAAAATAACAAATTCCAACTTCTACTGACATATCTACAACTAATGTGTAATTAAGTAAAATGTGCGTATGTTTTGTACACACTTGCCACACTCGGAACAATCGGCACCAGAATAAGAAATACTTTAAAAATAGATAAATTTATTTTATAAGTCATATTAAAAATTAAATTTGCCAACTCGCTTGCCAAGTATGGCAACTACTGGCAAAAGTCCCTTTAAGAGGAAGGGGCATATGTTTAGTAGTAGACTGTTAATGGCTGATTTTATATTGATTAAAAAATTAAGTTAATAAAAAATAAACACCCAGGTGGTAATATAAAAATTCTATAAGAAAATTTTAAAATATTAGATAGAAAAAATCTTTTTTTGCAAATTGATCCGGTATGATTGATTATTGGATCAATTATATTCCTTGCTATCATTAATGGGGTATTATTATTTAAAATTCTTTCCACTTAAGAACTTCTTATGATATTTTGTTTTGCTCTTTTGAGGGCAAAGCAATACACTGAGTTGTGACCATTTTGTGTTACTATGGCACACGCATGAAGGAAAAGAAAGAAAGGATATTGTTGGTTTATATAATTTTGCTTTGTTTTTTTTTTTTTGTTTTGTTGCTTTTTATTTTCATTTTTTATCTCTTTTATTGTGTATTATGTGTATGTTTGTATTATAATTTGTGTGCTGTAAGTAATGTAAATAAATTATCTATCTATCTATATTTTAAGTTTTATCGGTTAAGAGAATGGCTGGTAATATATCAATACGACATGATTTTATCGTCACAAAATGTATGCAACTATGTCGAAATATTTGAAATGTCCACACTGATACGGTGTCGTACAGGTATTACCAATAACATATAACGATTGCATATATACATATTTTATTATTAACATACTTTGTTAAATGAAAATATATTTATTTATTATTCTTTATATCTATCTTCACTTTTTTACTAAATAGTGAAGATTCAAAATTGGAACTGTGATGTTACGGTCAATTATAATAGCGGTTCCAATGTTCCGAGCGGTGGGTCGTGTGCGGCGCGTGGTGGCGCGTGGTGGCGCGTGGTGGCGCGTGGTTGCGCGTGGCGGCGGTACTCACGGCGCGTGGTGCGCGTGGTGCGCGTGGTGCGCGTGCAGGCGGCGCGTCTGCGTGGCGAGCAGCGCGTCGTGCGTGAGGCGCGCCGGCGCCGGCGCCGCGCTGCCCAGCTCCTGCCCCTCGTGCAGCGTCGGCAGCGACGCCGCGCCGCCAGCGCCACCCGCGCCGCCGCCACCTCCGCCGCTCACCTGCCCGACAACGCATTACTGGCCTTAGTATCGGAGGGGGAAAGGGATTGTTAGCAAGCAATACACCCTATCAGGTCGACCTCCACGTGGTTCCTCTTGGAAAAAAAATTTTTTTATACAACTTAGAATGGCAAACAACTCCACCTGATGAAAAGTGGTAACCGTCGCCTATAGACATGAACAGTACCATGGACATAACAGAGTATACCGTTTCGCCCATAATACCCCCCATGCGTTGGTATTCCTGAGGACTCAGGTGTTATTCTTCTGTACCCAGTTAATTCTTGTTCAATAGGTCACTATGGGCCAGCTGACCTGCGTTCATCCTCATCTGTCACCCTTGATTGGTAGGGCACCAATCAAGCGTATACCGATAGCGCAGACGAGATAACCATTCCATCTTCAAACCATTAAAAAAAACGGTAGTATCGAAGTCAAAAATAGACTTCTATTATTTACAATGACTCAAGCGTTAATGGTTGTTCAAATTATCAAAATTTGATAATAATGACATTTATAATTAATTAACCAAAAAATAAGAAATATAATTAAGAAATGTTATAAAGAAAAAGAATCGAGATCCCGTAATTTCTAATATCTCCGTTATAATCCCGTAAATTCTTCATAAGTCTATAATTTATGCATTATTGTAGCATGCACTTGCATGTATATGTCTAACAATGGTTTCGAACCTACTAAATCGCTATTAAGAATAATAATTCCTGAAATCCAAAATAAATAAGTATACATTAAAGTGTCTTTTTTTTAATATACCGATGTTTGGTCCAAATATACCGATTTTACTTGACAACTCTAGCGAGTTTGTATTTTGACGTTCGAGATAATTCATACATAATCAATACTCGAAACAGTTTTTTAATTTTGAAAAAAATATACATAAAACAATAACAATAAAACCACATCCTTACAAGTTATGAAATCCTATTTAAAAAATAACAAAATTCGAATTAATAACATCGCAACAGAGGTTGAATTTCAATTGGCAACAAGATATATGGGTGCAGGATACCTCTCTGTGCGCGTGCAGCAGCGCGGGGTGCGGCGGCGAGGCGTCGGGCGAGGACAGCGGCTGCGTGGCCGCGCTAACGTACGACACGTACGCGTCCGACCGCAGGAACGCCTGGTACGTCGACTCCTTGATGCTCCGTGTCACCTGCCGTACATATTTTTTTTTTACAGTGATAATGGACTGGTAACGCCACCCGTACTATTGGGGCACCAGTGAGGGATGATAGGTGACGACAAAAGCAGAGGGCCTACCATAAAATGTTTTCCGAAATTTCGGAGCCAAACGAAACAGAAATTTGATGTTAAAATTACATAATACATACCGTTTGGAAATATAAAAAATGTTAAAATATTGTTCCTTTTGACTTTTATGATAGGATGTATGACGAACGAAATGTTAAACTCCATTTATTGGTCCGATTTTGGTATATTTTTTGGATATTTGGTATAAACAAAAACACGCAATTTCGGAATTTCATTTCATGGTAGACCCGCAGGTCAGTTAGCCCAACGTGATGAATTCCATTAGAATTAACCACGATGGTTTCCAGGTTAAGGTCGACCTGATATTGCTGGCAATGGATTAGTTAGACCCCATTACTAACAAACCCTTTTCCCCCTGCCGTACAGGTTAGCACAATACACTTTTAAAATAGGCATTAGGCATCATATATTGGGTTCCCTTGGACACTGATGACGGAAAAAGGTCATAGCCCATTTCAATATTGTAACGTTGGATAACCGGTATTTAATATACCCATTATTGGGACAATAAATAGATATTAATCATTCAGATTAAATTCAAAATAAACGAATCTTTAATTTGTTCTTCTCAGTTAAACAAAATGAGTGAAGTTATTCATTCATTCATTCATTCAAGCTGTATAAAAAACGCATAGCAGTACAGAGCATATAAAAACTGTACAAACTATATATGCACTTGTATTTAGTATAATATCTCTGTTGTGCAAACTGACCTCTTGTTCCATATTGTCGAATATGCTCCTCTCGATGTTGGAGCCATCCTTGAGACTCTGCTTCACGTGTTGCTTCAAGTCTTCGGGCATCGCTAGCTGTGACTTGCGGAGAAATCTGAACAAACGGCATCGTGTGAGACCTGTACACATATCGCTGATTCGAGGCAGAAATGTGCACTGAGGCGAGACATACAAAATTATCAAGTACACGAACAATACTAAAGCACTGCAATTTAAAAAATAAATGAGTAATACTTTTCTTATAAGAGTCTGTGGCGATTCCTCTCTTTGGACATATTCAGTAAAAATCTAAACTTATATGAAAAACAAGTGAAGAAGGAACTTTGCACAAACTCTGTTTAATTAAAGAAAAAAAAAAATTTTAAAATTGTTAATTGTTATATTTATTTTTTGTAATGTCAAATATTTTTTTCATAATAATCATCTGCTCTCGTTTATTTGAGGTGTTAGTTTATTGCGGAAACTTCACTGATATATGTTATGACGTTGATATATGTGATGTGTGTTGTATGAGAGAGAGACAGAGACAGAGAGAGAAAGAAAGAGAGAGAGAGAGAGAGAGAGAGAGAGAGAGAGAGAGAGAAAGAGTAATCATGTATTGTATTTGAGAGGCTAATGGATGTGTTGTGCGAAGGAACATACAAGTACGTTTATAAATATGCCTTAATATTCATATATATTAAATGGATACCAACAATTTGGAAAAAATAGAGATTATATAAAATTACAGATAATTAACTTGTAAAAAATTAGAGAAAGCGAGCGATACTGACTTGTATATAACGGAGACGACCTGGCGTATCTTGGCCGGGTCGGTCTCCTGGCGCAGGCCCTGCACCGCGAAGTAGAAGTTGAGCCGGTCCACGTGCAGCCCGCCCGCGCCGCCCACGTACTTGCGGAACAGGCGCACTCCCTCCGCGTCCTGTCACATACACAAAATTCAATATTTATGGACACCAGACGATTGTGGGATGGGCACGGCCCCTGCCTTTACATACTTCTATGACAGATTGAGAGAAAATCTTAATAATGGATTCTAAACTGTCGCATTGGTAGCAATATGTCTATCAATTTGACCACAACCAGGCTTCCCCCATGGAAACCATTAATTATTGTTGATGGGCCAAGAAATCAATTAAAAAAATGAAAAATTAAGATTATGACTCAAGGGAAAGAAAATGTAATTTCAACCTTTTCTTGAAAGAGATACTATAAGGACTCTCTTGTATGTGGAAAGGGTGTTTGTTCCATAACTGGGCAGATCGATACGAGAAAGAGTTGCCCATAAAATATGTCCTACACAAAGGGAGTTGGAGAATCCTGGACAAAACTTGACAGGAGCGTTTAGGACGGACTGGTAGCGGTAATAATTTAAACCGGGAGCGGAGGTACGATGGAGAATTGGGGTCATCGAGTATGTTATAAAGCTAGTGCAGCATGAATGGCTGAAGTAAATTATAAAAGAAAATAACATAAATGTGTATACCTCGAGTAGCTCGTGCAGACTTCGGGCCCAGCGCATGTAGGGCGGCGAGGCGGGCGAGCGCGCCGAGCTGCCCGACGAGCCCTCGGTCTGCTCGCGCCACGCCATGCCCATCCTGTCGGACACCGAGCTTTCTCAATACATCTTTATTAACATTATTACTCGTATTTTAAAATCCGTCCAAATTTGATAGTCCAAGAGCATGGTCTTTATAAATGGGTAGACAATTTATTTTATTCGTAGAATTTACAACATGTCGATTAAACAATATCTATTGGTAAATAATAGTTATCACGAGTCGTAGTGTATTTCATTGTTTATATCGGCTTTACTCAAGCATTTAACTTCGGAATTGCTCGACTAGCTTCGGATTTGATAGAGTCGACCGCACACACACAGCGACAAATACATACTCGTATGTCGCCGGTTGAGCAGTGCTGTTCGTGATACAGCCATGAACAATGACTTCATGTTTAAACTTAAAGGGCACTTATCAAGTCTATCCTATCCAATCGGAAACTAACTAGACAATCCCGAAGTTAATACGTAAGTCAATATAAATAATTAAAATAATAATAGCTGATAAAAATGTAAAGTAAAAACTTGATCATTAGGAAAAATTAACAATATTTCTCATACAAGCAAATTCTATGAGAAATATTTTTCATTTTTCCTCAAAAAAAAAAACATTGGTCGAAAAATGACAAAAATGTTTGAATTTCCATACTAACATGGCGCGTTATCAAGCTAGTGATTCGAAATTTTTATTATTTCAAATTTATACAAAATCAAAATCATATACATGTTTAGTTAAAAAGAAAAATTATTCTTTAAAAAGTAGAAGAAGTAATAAATATTGTATGCAATATAAGAAAGAATGAACGAAAGGATAAAGGACTATGTTTTTATTTAATAACAATTTGTAATGTAAATCATTTATTAAAATAGACGAAGTGTGTTACATACTTAGAGGGGTAAGGTTGTGTGAACACATGTTTGGATTGAGATTTACTCTTCTCCTCCCCTGAAGCTGGCGGCAGCGACGACCTGTCAGCAAGTTTGTGCTCCCAACCTACAAGCAACAAAAAAAGGGAAATTATAAATACGGCTTTAGTTGTATGGGGAAAGGGATTGTTAGTAATTGAATTTACTGGGTACAAAGGAATAACACCCGAGTCCTCAGGAATGGCAACGCATTGGGGGTATCATGGGCGAAACAGTATACTCTGTTATGTCCATGGTACTGCTCATGTCTATAGGTGACGGTTACCACTTTCCATCAGGTGGGCCGTCAGTTTGTTTGCCATTCTAAGATGTATAAAAAAAAAATACCCCAAAGAGCCCCATTACTACCAATGTACCCTGTCAGGTTGACCTCCACGTGGTTCCCCCTGGAAACCATGGTGGCTAATTCTAGTTGAATTCGCCAGGATGTGCTGAGCTGCTTTCATCCTCATCAGTCATTTATCAGTGGTGCCCCCCGCCAGTGTATACCGATAGCGCAAATGGAGTTACCATACCATTAAAAAAAGCACTAGTTGTATTATGTATTATATTGTGTACTAACACACACGGGACTTAAACCGACACGACTGTATGTAAACAGTAACAATGTACCTGTTTTTTTATTACTGATTTTTATTGGTACTATTTACGTGAAATGGCAACATATTCAGTCCAAATAGTGCATTTAAAATATGATTCAACAACGCGAAATTTTAAAATTATCAGTCAACTAGCAATTCGCCCCGGGTTCACATGGATATTAAGATAAATTAGTATATTATATTAACTTTAACAGGCGAATTTCGATATTGTGGGTAACATTATTGTAAGTCTGATAGGGATCTCTATTTTTTTTTAATAATATATAACCTAAGTTGATAATGTAGCTTTATATAGATGAAAGAATTTTTAAAATCAGTTGAGTAGTTTTTGAATTTATTTATTACAAACAAACATACAAAAATTCAAATCTTTCCTCTGTATAATATTATATAAGTATAGAGGCACTATTCATGTCTATAGGCGAAGATAACCACTTAGCATCGGATGCGCTGTCAGCTTGACTGTCATAAAATGACCGGTTTCATAAAATAAACATAGCAAAGCAAACAATACAGTATTACATTACAGATATGAACTTAAATTGAAGAGTTTATAATAATAATAATAATAGTGTTCCTCCTAAGGCTTTGCCTATGTGGAACTATATACTGTACATAAACCTTGGTTAGGACGTCATATATTTTGTAAACATTTCCTCTGTAAGAATACAATATATCGATCATGAACGAGTACATACTGCAACTCGCACTTGGCCGATTTTCAGGTGGCTGTGACCACAACCGTTTTTTGAGGGTTGCATCCACGCCTGAACCACGAATTATTGTATGGTAACACAATATTACTGCGTATATTTATATATATTTAAGTGCCTTTAAAAAGGTATCTTAATTACAGTACAATATTTTATAGTATTTTTTTCGCCCTAATGTATTGGAGGCTCAATAAACATTAAAATATTTTTATGCAATATCTTGACTTTTTCGTATTTGTGTGTGTGTGTGTGTGTGTGTGAAACAACTAGAGCGATAGGGGGAAGGGATTGTTAGTAACGGGGAGGTTTAGTCCCCATTGCTATCAAATAGACCTCCACATGGTTCCTCCTGCAAACCACGATGGTTTCTTTTGGTTGACTTGATGGGCTACCTGACCTGCCTTTTCATCCTCAACAATCATCCCTCACTGGTGCTCCGCCAGTGTATACCGATAGGGCAAGCGGGGTTACCTTTCTATTAACATCTATTAAAAAAAAAAAACTGGAGCGGCGCCTTCACGTGTGTGGATGCGTAACACGATACGCATCATCATAGCGCGTGTCAGATTTTGATTGGCATATTATACCATTAATACGTTTTTTGTCTAAACACGAAATCTCAAAAATTGCTTAACATACGGATTCAAAACTTTGCAGGGAGATTTAGTGATATAGTTGTAATGTGTCTACTGAGATAACATTCCCGAAGGAACTAGACATAATAGCTTCCATTGGGGCCAAGTAAAGATTGCTGAATGAGGCGCAAATTGCCGGCAAAAGTTAGTTGGGTACATTAATATATTATTATATAAATAAAATTGTTATAGACTTGAAAATACTTTTACCTTGCGGGTGGCCGCCTATAGGAGTGTGGCTCATGGCGCACAGGCCCTTCTCCCACCCGCACGCTGCATGGCGAGAAACCACCTGATAAAAAATAAGAGCAAAATTTTAACAATAAAAAAATATTTAACACCAACTTATAAAAACTATAATAACATTACTTATTTAAAATGTACCTATTATATATATATAATTACTGTTAAATTAACCCACTAATATCATTAATAAACTATGAATACAAAAAAATCCAACGTACCGAGATCATACATTACAAAAATTATTACGTAACAAGAAAAGCAAGCCACCATAAAAAATCAATACAGCAAACAATAAGGATGATATCTAATGTTATATTTGATTTCTGTAAGTAGAAGGGAGACAGCACACAAAAAATTGAGACAGCACAAGAGTCAAGAGTCTCCGTCATCGATCGGTGTTGGTTAGAAAACACCATGTTCGCACAAATATCTATAGAAATGTATACTTATAAGCTTCACCTTTAGATACCAATATAATAAGAGGATAAAATAACATATCATATTTCATAAAACCTGTGCATAACATCTATTTAAAAGAAAAAAAAAATTATAAAGAATTAAAATTTTAATAAATCGACCCCTTAGAGAATATTTATGAGAACATGTCAAAACAAATCAAATCATAACTTCATGGCTCAATGAGCATGGTATGGAAAAAATTATAATGGAGCAAAAAATCATAAAGACCTTACCATGTTCATTGTGTTTAGACAAACAATACACTGTGGAGGTACTACACCAGTTAATAGAATTATATATAATATTAATAACTTCTTATTAATAGTTTTTATAGAAAAAAATAAATATTGAGAATAGCACGACTGCGCAACGCTCTAGCAGTGGTTCGAGTGAGATTCATAGACGGATGTCGGATACTGAGGACAATAGGGTTCGATCGAACATGCTTTAACCCTCATACTTTATGGTTGGCATAGTTTATAGAGGTTTGTTCAATGAAAATAAAATCAATAGTAGTCTGCATTAATATAATTACTGAGACAAATAACTAAAGTAAAAACTGAAATAAAAAAGGCAAGCTTTCCAAAATAAAACTTTTGAATTGATTTCACACTTTGAAAAAGTTTTTTGAATAATGTTCTATTATTATTAAATTTTACATGTGCTAAATGACTAAATATTTCATAAAAATAGTAAGACCACCTACTGCCTAAAAACATTAGAAAATAAACAAAAATCTTATTACATAAAGTTAACAAAAAATAAACTATTTTAAGTAAACTAAAAATAAAACTCATTGAAAAAGACAGGGTTATTGGTACCGATTTTTATTAATTTTCAGTTATGAGAACAGGAAACAAGTTGTAAACAAAGAGTAAGCTCATAAAAATCTCGGCAACGACACACTCCAGCGATCGTACAACTAAAACCAGCACCCAAACACCTCAATATCTCGGAGATTAATAAGAATACATCATCGCGAGACTATTCTGAAGGCAATAAACGCTATTAATGCCGAAAACCTACGCCGGAACCCGGAAGAACAATATTTATAGAACATTGATGAGTGAAACACAATACTAAATCGAAGGATCTTACTTATCGCCGCTATGTAAACGGTAAACGTGTGTGAGAACGGGAGACATTAATTGAAAAGTTTCTTAGAAGTAAATAATAAATTAGCTTGGCTCGGTTTTGTATACAACAGCGAGTTTGACACTGACAACAGGCGACCAGCCAGCCATGACAAGACATGACAGCCAGCTGTCGAAAAACGCCATCTATCAGCGACCGCTGAAGTTATGAGCTTCATGACACGCGTCACAGCGTGAATCAAGTCATTTGCATATTACCACGAGTTGTCACTAGATGACAGTAGAGATCGTATTATTGCCCTTTTGGCGGGAAATATAGATTTCGATTATTTGTAGAGATAGTGGAGTAAACTCACCTGTCTGGCAGCTTATTGCCGCTGCATTTTGTTTCTATGTAGTTTCTTCTTTAACAGTAATAATAACCTGTAACAAAATTAGCATTTTATACTTTTTTGCATTAGAAGCGAAACACTTAATTTCTAGGTAAACAAGTAATTATATAAGTAATACAATATAAGTAGATGGCTCAGAAGCGTTTCTTATGGCAGTCTATGGGGGAGGTCTGTGATCAGCAGTGGACGGATAATGGCTAAAATGATGATGAAGTAGGCAATTAATTACCTATTTGTAATAATGGTAATATTCTAGATAAGTATCTGCAATAATAATTATTAACTGACAGTTTCATTATTTATTAACTACAAATTGTTGCCCGCTACTTTGTACGCTTTGGAAAACCAATAAAATGGACTATCGTATCAAGATAAAATATACTCCAGATTTTAAGTTAAACCTTCTGGAATAGAATTGTAAAAACATAATCTAATTTAGTGCAGTAGCTGCGTGATACCGGAACAAATATCCATACTGATAAGACAAAAATTCTAAAAATTATTGTTTTGGTAATATGATAAATGGTAATCCTGGTTGTTCTACCAGTATTTTGCGCCCGTACAAAGCAATGTATTTTTTTTATAGATGATAATAGAATAATAACCCCACCTGCGCAATCGGTATATGCTGGGGTACCAGTGAGAGATGAGGTAGATGAGGACGAAACAGGTCAGTTGGCCCATAATGACAAATTCACGAAGAATTAATCACGATGATTTCCAGGGAGAACCGCGTAGAGGTCGATCTGATAGGGTATATTGCTAACAATAGGGCTGTTAGATCCCTATTATTATTATTTTTTTGCTGGGTGAAAATGGTATGGTAGCCCCGCCTGCGCTAACGGGATACGCTGGCGGAGCACCAGTGAAGGGTGATAGATGAGAATGAAAACAGGCCAGTTAGCCCATCATGATGAATTCATCAGGAATTAACCATGATAGTTTCCAGGGAGAACCGCGAGGAGGTCGACCTGGTTGGGTATATTGCTAGCAATAAGATTCTCAGTCTCCATTATTACTAATCCCTTTTCCCCCAGATCCCTATTATTAAATCCTTTTCCCCGGAAAGTAAATACATTGTGCAAAACCGTAGTACTTTGTTAGTAAAAAATAAACTACGGAATTCCTGTTACATACATACTGATGACGCTAATGTAAACTTAGATTCGTCAGTCATCGGTTATATTCGTTTGCTTATTTATTATTAGCTAAGTACTGATATAATTGAACGGCTGTCGGCAAATTTGAATGACAGAATACATTCATACCGTAAAATGTGATACCTACTTAAACGAGGATAAAACAATTAGAAGTCTTGTTTTGAAAAAAAAAAAGTACAGAACACTAACTACTAACTAACACGTGATTCAGACATTCAGTAAAAAAAAATCATTAAAACAATTCAGAACTGACGAAGAATTCGCGTTATGACAATACAAAGAGCCAATCGAAGAACTTAAAAAAAAGATACAAACTTCTTAAATTTGCGTACTTAATACTTCACGCTCAGGTTATGGAATGAGTTCCCTGTCGAGGTTTTTCCAAGAGCAGCATGGGGTTCTTCAAAAGAGGTTTCTTTAGAGTCGACAACCCGCATATAACACTCTTGGTATTGCAGACGTTCATAGGCTACCATGACAGCTTGCCATCAATCCGTATGCTTCTTTGCCACCTTAGTGGTATAAAAAAAAAAATTAAATAGCTCGATAAAAATAGTTTACTTGACAAAAGAACTTGACAATCGGTAAGTACCTACCTATCTAGTACCTACATAAAGAGAGAATTTATTTACTCCTAGCAGACGTGCCATTTACCTTTTGAAGGCGAATTAATTTGAGGATTCCAATTCGATTTACAAATGAAATGAATAGATATCAAAGACGTTTGTCTACGCGTACGGCATTGATATTTCATTTCGACAAGATCAGAGAGCTGCCAGCAATGTGAGACGACTACAGGTGGTCGCGATATTATTGACGGCATTTTTAATCGTGAAATTTAAGCTTTATTGCGTATAATAAATTGTATATTCTACTATATGATTTTGGAGCAAACGATCAAATATATCAAAGAACAACATAATATATGTCTTTAATATACATCGTTTAAAAAAAATAGTTTTTTTTATACAACTTAGAATAGCAAACCAACTAACGGTCTATCTGATGGGAGGAGGTAATTTGAAAAGCACCATGGACATCATAAAATCTTCAGTGACTCCATTGTACCTCCCATGCCATTTCTGAAGATTATGGTATTTCACCTCCGTACTCTGTGATTTCACTGCCAGATCCCACTCTTCAATCCGAAGCACAGCCGTGTAAGCACAGCTACTTCACGTACAGCAAAAATACGAGTGAGACAGAAGTACCCAAGACGACGACGTTTGTAAGTCTCCCTCTAGTATAATATTATTATAAAGACTTCAAACTAGACAAAGTACGCCAAGAACTGTGTGGTCTATTAGAAAGAAACGAAATAATATTATGCAATCCAATATGTAATAAACGCAACTATTCGGTGTATCCTTATAGCTAACTATAAAAGTTTATTTATTTATTTGTTCTTTGCCGTATTTATTTATTTATACTTTATTGCACAAAGTAAAAAACGATAATTACAGTAAATATTAATGAGAAGTGATACAAAAGGCAGCCTTATCGCTAACCAATAAGACACACAATTGTATGTGTACAATATTATTATTAGTGTGCTAATATTACATAAAAAATATGACAAATCGAAAGCGGATAGGAGCATCAATGTCAGCGGGTAGAGCGGTGTACAATATTGTGACAATTTTCAAACAAGAAGAACTGGACACATTTAATACATAACTAATTATCTCGTATTGAAACACACATATATACACAAATATACACTTACACAGACAAATAAATATATGTTTATAAGGATAAAAGATACTGTTTAAGTCTACTCTTAAAAATATTAAGGGATTGATAAGCTATTAAATTTACATAATCATTACTCATGTTTAGTTATAACAGTACATCTCTTCCAATGTATTATAATTAGCATGTGGTTTCGAATTGTCCGCATCGCAGTACAACATCACTTGACGAAAACACAATGTTTCTCAAACATTTAGAAACAAAATTTAATTACAGACTTTTATCTGTAGTTACAAAAAACAAACATCCAGCATATTAAAGACGCCTTAATGTATTTCTTTTTATACAAACTTTATTCTCTGCTAAGCAGTAATTTAGTTGTATGCACGTAACCAAACCACGATAGCGGCCTGTCTCTGAATCTCCATTAGCCGGTACCAGTACGCACTAAGCGACTCTTTGATGTGCGCAAACTTTCCGTTTTCCTTTGATTGGTATAATGGAACCGTGCTGTTATTACACTAATTGAATTTTCGCAAAGTCCGAGCCGCATTACTGGAACGGATTTGGTCCAATGAACGGAGCTCACCTGTCGTTTTAGTGTATGTTTTACTCGATGATAGATTTTGTGATTACATAACGCCCAGTTGTTAAATTATTAATTTAATTTTGTATTACCTATTAAATTCATCATCATCATGTAGTTGCCACACTTGGCAGGCAGATAGGTAACCGCAGTTAGGTTTTAGAGATGTTTTAAGAAGAGACACTGCTGCCCATCCCTTCGCCCTCCCTTAGTCTCCTCTTCCGACACCCACGGGAAAAGAAGGGGCGGTCTACTCTACGCCGGGACCACACGGCTAATTAATATTACTTAATTAGTATATTACTAATTTATTACCTATTACATTAATTTAATTAAAATTAATTAAACTAATAAATTATTTACTCTATTAAATCTAATATTATAATAATAAAAGTGAGCTTCGTTCTTTTGTTTGCTATCATCACAATATTTGGCACATGCACTATTTGGGGTGTAGAAAATTATAGGATATTTTTTATCTTGATCAATCAATATGTTTCGGTCACACAGATAAAGTCATGAGTAAAAACTAGTAAAGCATAATCTCTATATACAAGTACAATAACATACAAAATCGAAAAAAAAAATTCCCGCGAAGTTTCTTTTAAAAAATATCTATTACTTTGTTCCAATTATACTTTGAAACGCTTACTTTGATTCGGCACATTCTCCCTATATTTTACGTTAACACAAAGGCACAACTAGTGTACGAAACATGTTTGCACCGCGCACTGAAAAATAATGTTGCAATATCGGCGAAATTGTATTCTCTAATTGAACGCTCCGTTTCAACTTATTGGATAAATCGAATAGGCATGATTTTAATTAATAAAGATTGGAAATTGGCCAATGAGAATGTATTGCATGTATGACACGATTAAAATATTTGTACAGACCTTATATTCGCATATAGGGTCAGCTAAGCCGTTGCACGTCGACCCATCGGGATCTTTTGTGCTTCACCCTGCCTTATACCATCATTTCATAGATCCTTTGTGTTACCTTAACGATATCCCGCGGTTTAAGATATCTGTAGTCCCCTGGCTTTGGATAAGCCGTTCCCAATAGACTCATGCGCATGCTCGCTAACGAATCACAGTTGCACATCAAGTGTTCCATGGATTCTGATTTCTCTCCGCATAGTCTGCACAGTGTGTCCGAAGATAGATAAAGAAAGTGTGAATACTTATATCAGAATGTACATAAGATATAAAAACAGTTTCATTGAGGCCTATAAAATCAAAGACAGCTAAATCCAAGTCTGTCAAATGTTCAGGAAACTACAAAAAATCATATTTTGTCACGGATATGAAACGATATTTTATATTTTAAACCAGTGCGAAGAAAATGAGTATATAAGTAAGAATTTGAATTTGAATTAATAGAACTCCCTCTATATTTGAGTACAGAGTGAAAATTAAATCGATTTTATGGCGTTAAGCTACTTTTGATTGAATGAATGCATACTCGTATTTGTTACTCTTTCACGCAAAAACTACTCAATAGATTCGAATGTTCAAGAAAAATAAAGATTTAAGAAACTTAATAGAAATTTTGTACACGGATAGGTTATGTCCTAGCTTAGCATAACTA